TACCTCGTTGGTCGCGAAACGCCGACACGTCTTGGCAGGTTCCAACAAGTCTTATTATTTCTTAATTTCGAGTTCTAATAAGAGACTGTAACAGAAACGAAATAACGATGCATTAAAGTACGCAAACGATTATTACAATTAAGTAATGATTAAATCGAAACCGTATTGCAAGAGATCGTAAGTAGTAATACGCGAATAGTAATAGTGGAAGGATAAACAGGTTAGAAATACGCACCTCGGTCGCGAAACGCCGATACGTCTTGACACGTCTTGCTATGTTTATTTTCAGAGTATGAATGATGGCCGTCCGCTGTGCTCGGCAACGCTCGCGAATTAGGCGGCGGGATGGGGGAAGCTCCGATGTCTCGCGAAGCTCGTTTACGAACCCGAGGGATACCTCGGATAGAAACCGCGGATAGACTGATTTTTAGTCAATTATTTACAACTTTAACTAGACAAGCAACGCGAATAATTCGTACTTCACAACGCTAATAGCAAACCGGTATCAAATCTTATTCGCAACACTACTCTGAAAGCAAACGCGAAAATACTCATCGTTCGCTACCTTGAAAACAAACGCGATCATTTGTAAAAAAGTTGAAATGGTTTCTACCGTATTTGAAAACTTGATGGGAAATTTAGATCAAACAATTTTTTTAAACGCACTCGGAACAAAATACGAAGAATACTTACATTTTTCGCACGTGGGCATCGCCAAATACTCTTTTTCGTATAGATACAGGTTTCCTGTCGAAACGTGTTCACAAACTCTCAAAGCATTATGGCGTCGCGTCTATAGCGTGACCGTAGTTTGACCGCAGTTGAGAGTCTCATGTGGTTGAATTGTAATTACGAGCTGCCACAGAAATAAAACACAAATTTGTTAACAGACACTTATTAATATTGGATAAATGCATCGATGGATAATGACGAAAAGAAGAGAACCGGTTAAAAATGAAAAATACGTTTGACCGTAGTTGAGCGCCCCATGTGTTTGAATTGTAATTACGGGCTCTTACAGAAATAAAACACAAATTTGTTAATATGCACTTATTAATATTGTATAATTGCATCGATGGAGAATGACGAAGAGAATAGAAATGGTTGAAAATAAAAAATACGTACCTTATTAAACGCGAAGCTGTCAACGCACTTCTCACACCACTTTCCAGACGAAGAATGACGAACAGGATCGGACACGATCACGCGCGAGGAGTGGGGAGTGGGGTGAGGGAGTCACGTAGTCCGTCTCGACTCTTGATGTGTATCTTCCAAATAAAGGTTAAACCTTATATCTCGAAGAACTGAAAATAAATCAAATTAAGACATGAAGAAAATAAAATTAATATAAAAAGATATCAAACAAACAATTAATTAATGATTTATCATCTTTATACTCCTGTGACGTCACAATGAGAAGCTGTCATTGGCTCATCTAATATCGATCTGTTATTGGTTGCATATATAACTAGATCAATTAAAATATATTAATTATAACCATATAATGCGTAAGTATTAACTTTCAATCTAAATGTCAATCAGTTTTTCATATTAAAGTTTCTTTTGTTTCTACTAAATTTTCTAAAGATATTTATTTTAATTCTCACTAGATATCCAACCTTCTTTGACGCGGTGTCGATAACATTGAACTTGACGCAGTTTGGTAAGAAGTCTTCTACAGACATAAACAAAGTGTGAAGTAGACGCCGAACGCGATATTTTTTCGTAACACAGGGATTAAGGGCACAGACAATGCATACTATAGACGCATAAAACAACAGTGTTAGTGTCACGCAGATCAGGAATTCATGAGTCCATCTCCAAGGTGAAGTCGAGAGGCCGGCGTCCGAGAATGTAAACACAACCTGACCGAGCTTTTAAAGGATAAGAAACTTATCGCATCATTATCCTTGGCTTAGGAATGCTAACAATGGTAAGAATAAAATTATTTTTAAAGAATATTATAGAATACACTAGAAATAAGTACAGACGAGTAACAGACAGGAACAGTATTCAGTGGGAGTCCTATGACACAAAAGAAAAACATCGTGAAAAATTAATATATATTGTAATATTTTATACATATTATTTGTCTATTGTTGTTGCGTTCACTCAATTTATATGAAAAGCATTTATTAAAATTTCAATTAAAAATGAATATATTTACATATTAATTAGTACATATTTCGATAAAATGAGTTCCCTATGTATAATATATCGATATTTCATCTTTAAGAGACACTATTGAATCTATCGAATAATCGAAAGTCGGATGCTGCTCATTGTGACGTCACAGGAGTATAAAGATTATAAATCATTAATTAATTGTTTGTTTCATATCTTTTTATATTAATTTCATTTACATCATGTCTTAATTTTATTTATTTTCAGTTCTTCGAGATATAAGGTTTAACCTTTATTTGGAAGATACACATCAAGAGTCGAGACGGACTACGTGACTCCCTCACCCCACTCCCCACTCCTCGCGCGTGATCGTGTCCGATCCTGTTCGTCATTCTTCGTCTGGAAAGTGGTGTGAGAAGTGCGTTGACAGCTTCGCGTCTAATTAGACCATTTCTATTCTCTTCGTTATTCTCCATCGATGCAATTATACAATATTAATAAGTGCATATTAACAAATTTGTGTTTTATTTCTGTAAGAGCCCGTAATTATAATTCAAACACATGGGGCGCTCAACTACGGTCAAACGTATTTTTCATTTTTAACCGATTCTCTTCTTTTCGTCATTATCCATCGATGCATTTATCCAATATTAATAAGTGTCTGTTAACAAATTTGTGTTTTATTTCTGTGGCAGCTCGTAATTACAATTCAACCACATGAGACTCTCAACTGCGGTCAAACTACGGTCACGCTATAGACGCGACGCCATAATGCTTTGAGAGTTTGTGAACACGTTTCGACAGGAAACTTGTATCTATACGAAAAAGAGTATTTGGCGATGCCCACGTGCGAAAAATGTAAGTATTCTTCGTATTTTGTTCCGAGTGCGCTTAAAAAAAATTGTTTGATCTAAATTTGCCATCAAGTTTTCAAATACGGTAGAAACCTTTTCGTAAAAACATTTACTCTTTCTTTCTAAAGGATCCTGACATCTCATCATCGTACTTGTGGATCCAGAGAAACTCGACGATGATCTCGCTGCTGACCTTGATGCTGACTTCGTTTCTAACGTCACTGATGACTTCGCTGGATGACTCCTACTACGCAACATCGTCGCCCGGGTGCTTGAATTCTACAGTTGGTGAGTCGCATGCTATTTTGTTTCCTCTGGTCCCCAACCATGTTGTAGGATGAAATATCCGAATCAACACGGGTGATCAGTTGTATACTTAGTATTTTTGGCGAATATAGTGATCGCGGGTATTTTTTGTACCCAAGCGTAGGAACATATACATATATGCCTACATAGGTCGGAAAGTAAAAAATGTCTGGGCACTCGAGATTATGCGAGTTCGAATTTCAGCTGTGTTGAAAGCAAGAAGGATAGACTCACATTCGCCGCCTTTCTCGAATCCTCGAAGCTATACTTTTTCAATCCCTCCCGTAGTCAACTCACATGTATTTACGCACACATTCAGCTCACTGCCCATTAATACTAATTCAGTGCCTAGTTTCTCAACTGACCGCCATCCATGAGAAGAGGCCGCTAAAATCACCTCCGAATTTTCAGGTCGGTATGGCAGTCAGATTCGGCCGCGAAAGTCCATAAGGTGAAAGGTCTATTCACATACCTCGTCTATGGTGCCGCTCTCGATCTACAATCGACCTCAATAAATAATAACTAATCAATAATTTCACTTTATTTCTTTATAATTTTCATTGTTATAGAAATCTGTACTAAGGTTGAGTCTCCAATTTGATAGTAAGATAATAAAGTGAAATTACTCGTTAGCTATTGGGGGTAGGTCTAATAAAGGTCAATACTTATTTAGTCAGAATTTGATATTCTTCCATATTTTGATATAAAAAATATAGTATTCTATTTACAAAAATAAAGTTGACCTTCAATTCTCTGAAATGCCTCCACTTATAAAAAAAATTAGTGCACTGCATAATGTACCTCTTTGAACCATGCAACTTTTGTATAAAAAACTTTTTCATGCAACGCATATTTTGAAAATTATAGAGCTGCACAACGCCTTGTATGTCAGTAATAAAGCCTCGAATACAAAATGGTAAAGAACTTTTCGAATTGATCTTAAAAAAAGGTCTCACATTTTCGATAATACCCTGTTGAGCAAATTTTATTCACGAATAACAAATAACAATTTTAGATTCGTTCGTACACTAACAACCGTTTGCGTTCCGTTCATACAGTCACTCGTAGAATTCATTGATAAATTTTTTAAATTGACATCTAGATAAACGAATTCTTTCAGAATTACAGTTAGAAAATCTATGAATTTTTAGCACCATTTATTACAAAATTTTACTTGGTATGACTATATCTTTTTATAATACTGATTTTGTATCCATTAAAAAAAAAACTTTAATGAATAGAATTTTGTATAGTTAGAACGTTTTATATATTTCTACTGAATATAAAACACAGAAAATATGAAATTAGCAAGCACTATGACACTTCAAAACAAAATTTTATACAGTCAGACAGCCTTGTTTACGCCTCTGCATAGTAAGACTTCATCAATGAATTTTGAAAAAATTAAAAATAAAATCGAATGATATAAAAATAACTATAAATCAAATATTAAATAATTTCAGGATTGCTTGGTGTATCTATAATTTTCTATCACATTTCGAGCTTTGACATCTCAAGCAATGATAGGGATGATCTTTAAAAAAGTAAGAAGTTTAAATATTTCAGTTCAGTTTAATATTCTTATCAATCGTGAACGGTCAAAATGTAAAGACTTCAAAGAGAAAACTAACGTTTCTATAAATAATTTCTTATTTAGGTTTCTCTTGACTAATTAACATTAATTCTTGTTTATATTTGAACATGTATAAAGATTCTTCACTCCTTGAGCTTCGACATTTTTACATATATCCCGTGAACCGGTTTGAAAAGGAACAACGGCTTCGGACTCAAAACGAACGGCACTGGAGTTTTGTCGCAGGTATCGAGTTTATAGTATTGCATAATTCTGATTACTGCCACTTTCGTTTGGTAGTCGGCGAATCTTGACGCTGAAAATAAAATCAAACGCAGTTGCTGTAAAACATAAAATCCATTTGGTTCTTTTCAACAAGAAGATAGTTTACCAATGCAATTCCTTGGGCCATCGCCGAATGGTAAGAAATACATTGGGTTTCTATGTTTGGCATTTTCGTCGAGGAACCTGTCGGGATCGTAGACCTCTGGCTCTGGATAAATATCTGGATCACGTTGAATCGCATAGATTGGCAGATAAACGAGTTGATCCTTGGGAACGGTTACTTTCGTCCCCGAAAACGTATAATTCGTCACTGACCTCCTGGCGAGATACAGTACTACTGGATATTTTCTAAGTGTTTCTGCGAATATAAAAAAAAAACATTATTGGTGATATGAAGTAAGTATACAAGATGTGGATGCACAACAAAATTCTCTCTATGCTATACAGGGTGTTCGGCCACCCCTGGGAAAAATTTTAATGGGTGATTCTACAGGCCAAAATAAGACGAAAATCAAGAATACTAATTTGTTGATGGAGGCTTCGTTTAAAAGTTATTAACGTTTGAAGTTCCGCCTATAGAACGGCAATTTGTCGGCCACGACAGGTTGGTCCCAGTGGTTCTCACTCAGCATTAGAGATTCTACTCACTGACGTATCGATAGCCTCGTAGTTTTCTGAGTGAGAGCCACTATCGCGCATACGCAGCTGTTCTCAAGTTGCCGTTCTACAGGCGGAACTTTAAACTTTAATAACTTTTTAACGAAGCCTCAATCAACACCTTGTATATTTCGAAATTTCAAGGTCGTTCATATTTTTTGATGGAGGTCGAGATTAATTCAATGATGTCAAATTATATGACCTTCAAGAGACCTTGAGTACGGAATACCCAATACTCGAGCATTTTAAATATATCAGTTGATTTTGATTGTAGGAAGAAACGTCAGAGGAAAATATTACACTCAGTTCCACAAGAGCGTGTCGTTCCTAATTTTGTCACTAGACGACGCATCTGTTTAACAATCGGTTAATTTAACTGTTTGAACACTTGGCTTCAATGCTTTGAGGTTAAATCAGTAGTGTGGGCTGTTATCTGCGTTGAAGGTGACAAAAATAACAATGAGTGCAGCGTACACTAGTCGCTTAGAAGCGGTGTTTCTCTGTAATCATCCAAAAGGACACAAAATGTCGTTAACAGTGGCCAGTCGCTACATGGGCAAGTCAGTGTCCTTTATTAAGAAGTGGGTGAAAAGGTATGAGGAAGTTAAAAATGTTGACGGCCTACCCGAACGTGGCAACGTCTTTCAATGCCAGAAAAGGACGACAAAGCAATTTTAAGAATCTTTAAAAAGAATCCTGGGTGTTCCCTACGAAAAGCCAAGTTAGTTTTAGCGAAAAAGAGTGTAGAAGTGAGCCTGAATACAATTCGACGTCGATTACATGATGCTAACTATGGGTGGCGGTGCACAAAGTTGAAACCATTTTTGACCGAAAAGCATATTGAAAAGCGTCTGTTATGGGCGAGGGCTAATATCGATCGTGATTTCTTCAACATTATCTTTACGGATGAATCCTCTTTTTGGGCCTGGGGTACAAGAAGGCATGCGTGGTCACCTCGTGCAGTTCCCGTTATCCAGCGCACAGTGAAGCACCCGGTAAAGGTGCATGTCTGGGGTTGCTTCTGTAGACAAAGATTTGAAGTTTTGTACCTGTTTACGGGCAATCTTAATGTCCAAAAGATGATCAAAATATATCAACATTGTTTATTAAAGTCTGCTGGAAGATGGTTTGGCTCAGATAACAGCTTGTAGGTGCTTCAAGAGGATAATAACCCTAAGCACCGAAGTCGTGCATGCACGGAGTGGAAACGCGAAAATGGCATCAAAACACTGGATTGGTCTTCTCAGTCGCCTGACGCTAATCCCATCGAAAACGTGTGGGCAGCAATGAAGGTCAGGCTCAGAGAAAAGCGGGTATTTAATGTGAAACAATTGACACGTCACATCCGCTAAATATGGAGGTCTCTACCCGAAACAATGGCGGAAAATCTCGCCGAAAGTATGCCTAAACGGTGCCGGGCTATAATCGACAATGATGGCAACTGAACAACATACTAAGTAAATGCATTGTAGTACAATGTTTATATTTTGAGGTCATACGTTCAATTATAAACAATTCCTTTTTTCGCAGAAAATATGACCGACACGCTCTTGTGGAACAGAGTGTATTTGTCTAATAGGGGAAAATTTGTTGACAAGCAAACAGCTTTTTCGAGGTCATATTTTGTAACATTTCAAGATGATTTTGGTTAGATAGAATATAAAATGTAATTTATCCAGGTCTAATGTACCATAAAGCGAAATTACAGAGGTAGCGAAGAAGAAATGTTTTATAACACTGTCTCGAATAGTAATACAACAGACACGAGAATTCCGCGCGACCGACTGGCGAGCTTCACTTGTGGGGTTCCCCTACGGTCGACCAGTACTCCAACGTAAAGCGCCATCGTGCGGCCATATGCGCGCAACAATTATCAATATTTTTTTACGCGGAATTACATATTTACTACTTTTCGTATTCAAGGTAATATAATACCAATGAACACACCACTCGTAAAACATATTTTTCTGAAAGTAATCACTGTATTTGTTTACACATATGTACAAGCGATTCGTCATTTGCCTTTGTCGTTTAACAATATCTCACTCTACTTTTAGATTCTTGACATTCTAATAAAATATTTGTGAAAAAAAAAATTGCAAATGTTAATACAAAATATTTTTTAATACTTATGTGAAGGTGATTGTTAAAGATACTGAAAAATTTATTTCCAAACTGAAGTGTACTTTTATATGTATTGATTTTGGAAAATCAATGTAATGATATTGCATCTTAGTATTATCTAATATTGAATGAATTATTTTTATGTCAGAGTTGTTGATAATTTGATATATTAGATAATCGATTACATCTTAAATGATTAGACTTTGCACTTAATAAGGTTCAATAAAATACGAAATGCTATCGGCAATTTCAAGACACATAAACAAAAAATTTATAAGACATTTAGAGAGTTATGAGTCGAGTAGAACTTTTCACTTAATAATTCAATTAATCCACCAATATAATTAATATCTTATTTAATCTTGCCAATAAATGTCATAGATCATACATGTACTTTTCGAAGGACTGTAACTTTATATATTAAAAATATAATATTTAATTTGAAATAAAAAAGTTATCCTTGAAATTTACATTAACACTTTTTTCACTGCAATCAATATACATGCTAATTCTAAAGATATACCTTTAACACATGCGTCTAGGTACTTCATTTCCCTTACACTCTCATATGTGATTTCGCCATTGTTCTTCTGCAGAACACCTTTAACCTCTGCTCGAAGTTTCTCCTGAACCGTTGGATTTAATGAAAGCTCGAACAAAGAATTGGAGATTGTTACCGAAGATGATTCGAAGCCAGCAATGAAGAACACAAAGGCTTGTGCCGCCAAGTAATGATCTGTCAATTCTATAGAAAAAATACAATTGTTAAATAAAAAATAGCAAACACTAAAATAATGTTGACAAAATTATTAAGACGTAGCGAGTCTATATTCTACCTTAAAATTACTTCAGATACTATTTTTTAATATCATACGGACTTTCAAACTCAGCGCTGCATTTATTATAAAGTTAAGAGACTTTAAATAGAAAAATAAAATATGTGTAAAAGATAAAAGATAATCAAAATTTTGTTTTCATAGACATTAAGAGAGAAGACAGGACTGTAATTTCACTAAAAAAAAACGAAAGACAAATTTTTCAGATTTCCTGAAAAATGTCACTTTCTAAAAAAAGTAATTTTTCATATAACTCTAAAAAAGTTTATAGAAGACAAATAACATTCAAAGAAAAAAGATGAATTAATCTATACCATCAACGCCAAGTTTCTCCGGATGTTGCTTCAAGTCCACCAAAATGTCAATGAAATCGTTTCTTTGAACATTGTTTTTGATCCTGTATTCTATAGTCTTTATGGTAATATTCGTAAGGAATTCCGTGACCTCGTGATCGACGATAAAGCGGCCAACGAGCTTGAAGATGAGCGGATACTCCCTCAATCTGTCTCTGAGAAAGGACTGCCAGGTCGTTTCGAAAATTTGACGACCTATTTTACGGAATTCGCTGTCTTCCGCGGCCAGTGCTTTCATCTCGATACCAAATGCACAGGAACCAATCACGTCAGTGGTATACTTCGCCGCGATTTCATGGGACTCGACTATTTCTACGCCGTTACCGACTAGCCCGTCCACGTACTTCACTAAGTGATTCGAGCACTCCAGCAACAAGTGAAACATCTCCTTCAGTTTACCCGAAGAGAAGATAGGTGAAAGTCTGGTTCTCAAGGGTCTCCATTTCTCCGACTCCAGCCTGAAGAGGTGCGTCGATAATGGTTCCTATAAATTATACATCGACGTGTCATGAAAAAAGGTAAACAATCAAAAGGTAAAAGTAAACTTTGTGGCACTGAGGTGACTCCACAACTTTTAGAATATATCGTGAAGATAAAAACGTGTCCAAGTTCACGACACTTTAGCCACCTTCTTCAGCTAAATCATCCTCTCGCAGCTTAAGATTCGTAATATGTAGAAAAATTTGCTTATTTATCGTCGAATCTGTAGTAATTATTCGGAGAATGTACTCACGGAATTACAGAAATTCGTGTCAACCAGAATTTTTTTTTTTTATTGAAAGTTTATAGTCGCATCAACTGCAAAGGTTATTAGCGACTGTACTATGAATTGCGGGACGTTAGGGGTAGGTGATTGGATGCTGTGCTGCCAAGAGAGTCTTCATAGTTTGTCTAGTAATCCGATGGTGTTGCAAAAATTTATCACTTCGTCTTGGTGTGATGACGATGCAAGTAGTTCCGTGAGCATAGCCGTGATGTTCAGTTTTCTCCTTGTTTGCGCATATTTTCTACATTCGATGATGATGTGGTCGATGGTTAAAAGTGTGTTGCATATTTCGCAGGTACTGGGAGAACTATTGTTCAAGAGGTATGCATGTGATAATTTGCTATGGCCGGTTCTGATTTGCGTTAGTGCTACTTGCTGTTTTCTATTGAATTTGAGGTTTGTTGTAATGTCGTAAAAGTTTTGAATCGATCTATGGATTAAGCTTGTTTTGTGGTTTTGCCATATTCGGTTCCAGGATTCTTTCCACAAGAATACGATGTGCCTATTGATATCTGCGGACATGTTGAGTATCGGTTGGTTGTCTAGGGTTGATGCAATTTTCGCTTCCAGGTCAGCCATTTCGTTTCCAAATATGTTTTGTTGGATTTGACCAGTTGGTCGTAGGTTTCTTACGTCGGTGGTTTGTTTCGTGTTTTGTATTTTCACAATGGAGGACAGGGAGTCGAAGAAAATGATAAATTTAGGTTCAGGGGAGCTGTCTATAAGATTAAGAGCCGAGAGAAGTGCATATGCTTCAGCTGTGTGTATACTGTTGATGGTTTAAGCCATATTTAGCTGTTTTATTTTGCATGACTACAGCTCCTGTTCTGCCCACCTTGTCCTTCGACCCATCAGTGTAGACGTGGGGGAAGTTGGTGTAAACTTTGCACAGAGTGGAGAATAGTTCTTTCCATTTGTTTACGTTTAGCTCGTCCTTTTTGTTCTTTGTGAGTGATAAGTCGATGGTAGGTGTACTCAATGTCTAGAGAGGTATTTTATGGGGTCTGTTTTTTTCCATGGCCGGTAGCTTGAATTGAAGTTCGTCGAGTATATTTGAATTTTGTGGTGGAGGAGAGAGTTGTGCAATTGGTAGTTTGTATTTCGTTTATTCCTTGGGAAGCAGTCTTCGTAGATAATTGGGTTGGTGGATGTGGCGGCCCTTACGACATATTTTAGGTTTAACAGTTTTTTTCTATCCCTCAGAGACGTTTTGCCGGTCTCAATTAAAATACTTTCAACAGGGCTGGTATGGAATGCTCCTGTTGTTAGTCTTAACCCGGTGTTGTGGACTGATTCTAATTTTCTAAGAGTGTCTGATTTGGCTGAGTTGTATATTATAGACGCATAGTCTATTTTAGATCGAACAGTTGCTTTATAGGCCTGCGAGAGTACGGTTTTGTCCGCTACCCAATTGTTATATACTAGGGCTTTTATTATTTTCATCCTTTCTTTACTACTGTTGATGAGATAGTGTACATGATTACTCCATGTAAGTATTGAGTCAAAGTGTACTCCGAGGATTTCAGTACAGGTAACAAATTGAAGCTGATTTCTTCCAATTTTTAAGACCGATGGAAGAATTTCCTGGCGTTTAGAGAATACAATGCATTCAGTTTTCGCAGTTGAAAATTTCAATCCATTTGTTTCAGACCAGTTGTGGAGTTTATTAAGAGACTGTTGGATGAGCTGTCAGCAAATACTCTTGTAATAACAGGAGGTTTGGTGATACAGCAGGCGTCGTTAATAGCTATTAGGAATAACGTGACGCTGAGGACGGACCCTTGTGGTACACCATTTTCTATTAAGATTTCTTGTGACAGACTATTGTTGAAGCGGGCTTGAATACTTCTATTGTTGATGAAGTTTTTGATGAAGTGCCACATGTAGCCACCGATCCCCATTTCATGGAGTTTGCTTAAGATGCGCCGTCTCCAAACCATGTCATAGGCTTTTTCCATATCTAAGCTAACTGCAAGGACGTGTTGATTGTTGCTGAATGCTTCTCGGATGTGGGTTTCCAAGCTGACAAGGTGAGACGTGGTGGAGTGTCCCGTTCGAAACCCGAATTGATTACGTGTGATGAGTTTGTTGGATTCGAGAAACCATCTTAATCGAGCGTTGATAATTTTCTTGAGTATCTTACACATATTACATGTTAATGCGATTGGCCTATAATTATTAGGTTTAGTGGGATCCTTGCCGGGTTTCAGTATTGGAACAACAAAGGCTTCAATCCATTTTTTTGAGAAGGTGTTTGTTCTATCCGTGGTCGAGTGTTGCTCGTTCGGATGTTGTAAGTTTGCACGTGGTGTGCCGACTACTTCAAAAATAGCGGTATTCACAAGAGACTGTATCGTAAACCTTGCCAAGTTCCTAACAGTGTTACTTGGCCATATAACATTATATAATTTAAGTAGTGTCTCGATTCCAATAGCAGGCAGGTTTTTTATTAGTTCGTTAGAGATGTTGCCAGGCCCGGGGCTGGAGTGCTTTACTCTTTTTAGTCGTTGATTTCTTTTGCAGAAATGGGTGTATTAAGATACAGACGAGTGATGTCGTCGGTTACATCTATTTTTTTTCCTTTTGGTCTGATTTGTATTGTCTAAAGTTTTCTGAATAGTTCAAAGAGCTGAAATTTTTTGCGAATGTCATTCCAAGCATATTTGCGATTTCATGTGGGTTGGATATAGTGTCGTTTGTGTTGTTCAGCATGAATGGTGTATGATAACTTCTCTGGTTTTCTCTTATTGCGTTTATTTTGTTCCAGATTTCTTTCGTATTCGTTTTGTTGGTTAGTGATGCTACGAATTCAGTCCAGCTGTCCTTTTTACTTTCTTTGATGATCCTCCTGGCGGTTCCTCGCATTCTCTTGTATTCAATTCTATTTTCTTCGGTATTATGTTTTTTATAACGATTGAATGCTTGTTTGTAGTTACGAAGGGCTTCTTTGCACCTATCGTCAACCAGAATTAGGCAAATTTTATTCGCGAGCAACGAATAAAGCTGTATGTGTAAAATAAAATAGTGAATTTACAAACAAAAAGTACACGCAAATTAGTCGACGAACAAATCTAAAATTCTTATTCGATATTCTTGAATGAAATTTATTCACATTTATTATTTATTATTTATTATTAGATGTCCAGAATCATTATGATTTTGACTGTATGAAGCAAACACCGCTATTCAAAAACATTTTTTTTTTTAAATTCATATTTTTCATGGATCGAATATTTCTTTCTCAAACCACTTTCCCCCCTTGTTTTAAAAACTAAATAAAGACCAAACGTACAAACGTAAATATCCCCAACTAAAGAAACAATACAATTGGTCGATTTTGTCACACTAAGTGTATATTATGAATAACAAATTGTTTTCAATAAATTGTCACCTGTTCCTTATCAATCATGAACTTTACATCCAAAACACCGCTGCTATCATTGATATCAATCAGATCAGTCCACAAGCTATTTACTTCTAGTAAGCTACTTACTCATATCTGTATATTATGTTAACAAATATTTCTTTGTTTATTTAAATTCAATTCGTAAATGAAATGTGAAATAGTTTCTTTGAACGAAGAACAATGCACAGAGCAAAATTTATTTTAAATGCGAGATTAATGCTATTTCGAGCGATATAATACAGAGAAACGTACGGATTAAAAAGTAATGTGATATTACGTTTAGTGTGGACACGGAGAGATAAAATCTTCATAATAACACCCATAAAGTCAAAATTTGTTTAGCGAAGTCAAATAAAAAAAACACGTTACAAGTTAAAATTAAAATTGATTGCACTGTACTGTAGCATTCAAAGGATCTTTTAATACCTTTTTTACGAACCACTGTTAAATATGATCTAGAAAGCATCATTATTACATGTAAACAAATTTATCTACCTATCAATAAAGTTATTTATCAGTAAAAATATCATTGGCGTATCTTTAAAACACTTAGATTAAGTAAACCTTAATATTTATAATTTTTTTAATAACGTCATTAACATTAGGAATTGATGACTTCTATTTGTCTCGTTATAATTTGAAAGAGCAATCTCTGAATAATTTTGTATTCAATTCATATACAGTGTGAACCTCGTAACTTATCCAACTTAATTTTTTCTGTTATTAGTGGTCCGTTAAAAATGTTTTTATCTAGTATAATGGTTTAGGGAGAGCTTTAAGATAATTATACTAAATTCTTTGCTAGTTATTTTTTTTCTATTTCTTGTTAATAACATGCAATGAAACTTGTGAAATTTTTCTTAACGTTTTTCTTTTGTTTAAATAGAAACAAATGTATTCACTATGCTGCTTGTTGAATTCGTCTTAATATCCACTGAACGATAAGTGTAACAAAAAATAAGTATCTTTATAAAAAAAACAGGTCATATTGAAAACTTCGGGGAAAAACAATTAGCAAAAACCATGTTATAGTAGACAAAAAGCATTTTGACTTTTGACAAACTGATCAAGTTAAACGGTTCACCCTGTATATGTACAAATTAATAAGTAAATTATTTTCCTTTAAATCAAAGATTCTTGTATATGTAAAAATTTATGGACTGACTTAATGCATTGTATTAATAATAATACAGTATTAGTGGCATACTAAGTCAATAACACAGGCATACGTATTCATTATTGAGATAAAAGTACGTCAAATTACGCTAAATAATGACGTTTACATGCTTATAACAGAGCAAAAAGACAGTTGCTTTATAGAGACACAGAGTAAAACTCAGCTAAATATGAAATGCTGTCGCCACTATTGACGCCACAGCTTTTAGTCGCAATTGTTTAACGAGGAAGAATCGTGATTTACGTACCACTTCTGCAGCACATGGTGATCTATTAGCGAAGACGGCAAAGTCTTTGATGAGGACGTCCTTCATTAAGTTTGGGTCCCTCAGGACCAGGAGGGGCCTACGTCCTCCAAATATTCCCACCATCGATTCATCCTTGTAGTCGTAATACGCCTTGACGAAAATATCACTCAACGAAGCCCTTCCGAGAAACACATCCTTATAATTACCCAAACAGGGAATAGGTCTCGGCCCCTTCACGCCTCTTTTCTCCCAGAAATCGTAGTTTGACGTAGCATAATAATAAAACAAAATTAATACTGCAACGAGGAGCCCGAGACTTTCAAACGCTGGCCAAGTCATCCTCTTTGCACGTGGACGATTGCACACTAGCTTTCCGTTAAATTCGATGAAATACTATGCTATAAAAATGTTCAAGGAACGGTAAAGACGAACACATTCACGTAAATGTTTTCCTTTAGAAGTTTCGTTTCAACGCGATAATTAAATTGTCAGTTCGACAATCACTGATTTCTTCTTCGGTTGCGCTCACAATGATGATATCTCTTCATTAGCGTTCCCCTTATATAATACACGTTTGATACCATGACTTGCATGTGATTTCAATTCAGTGCCTAGGTACACCTACACCGAGGCGAACACATTTGTGTGGAATTAGTCAAAAATTATTTAATTGCGATCAATGTACTGCGCGAGGGCACATCTCGAGACTCATAACTAGACTGCGGATGTTTATGCATTTATGGGAAACTTTAATCCTCAAAAAACTACAGAATGCATTTAATATGCAAAATATAAGAAATACTTCATGTAAGATACGAATTATTATATTTAGAGGTTGAGACAGCCCTCTGCGAAGCTTCCGTTTCATTAATTCTATTAATAAAAATGTGAATTTGCATAAAGATCCGCAGTCTACTCATAACACTTATCAAAGCGTTCCAATGTATGCTACACGGAGCGACAGAACTCATTATACACAGGGTGTTCTTTAATTAATTGGAATCCTGTCACGAGGTGAATCTACGGATGAAAATACAACAAAAATCAAGATTAACACAATTGCAGTTCAGACTCTTTCACTTTTCGGCCTGTGAAGAAGAAATTATAATCAATATCAATTTTGGGAAAATTTGTTTTACGGTAGAACACGTTTTATAACCTGGTCATAGTTGACTGTTAAATAAAATATATATACTTTTCTTAATGAGCATATGTCTGCTAACACAATTACGTGAACTTTCTTTTTAAGGTGAAGCAGCTCTTATTGAGTAGTCATTTGTCTTTAGTGTAAACATAAAAAAAACTCACTCCTGTTGAATAGCCAGTTCTACGATTGTAATTTATTAAACAAAAGTTAGCAGTACTTTTCAGAGGACTTTATAATAAACAAATTTTTAATTCTGAAAAATCATCAATGGTATGCCCAAAAACCACTTGTCTACTAGAACAAAGTATCGTAATAAATTGGTTGCAGAAATAAACATAAGAATTATACGATCATTTATTAACCCTTAATAATTATTTAATATATGTCAATGTAATTATTGGAAAATTTATGTAATCGTCTATTAGTTCATTATTTTTTAAATGCTTTAAAGGAAAGTGGATTTCCATTTACCAGTTTGGTAAAAATCAACATTAAGTAAAATAATTCAGATGAGAATCCACTTAAGGGTTAAACCAGATATCAAATATCTTTAATATAAATGTGAAACAATGCCACTTAAAATAATATTTTCCTTTTAAAAAAGGATTCCGCCATTTCTCTAAAACTTTATATATTTAACAAAAAATAGATTTATTTATTGACTTATCTATACATAAAGTTAAGTTAACACGATTTGCCGAAGTTTAAAGTTTTCATTAACCTACGTTGGCAATTTCAATTCAATTTTGAATTGCAGTCGAAAGATTAAAATCCGCTAAATGATTACGATAATAAAAATTCTGTATTTATCGACTAATCTAAAATTATCTTAAATTGTAATTACAAGACTCAGATAATAGAGACGACATATATGTACATATATAGACATAGTTAGAGACGTATTATTACTTTACGTAGCTGAAAATAGGAACATTCGAATGGATTGCTAATTATATCACGTCGTATCGATAGAGTTTGTTTTATACACGTTATTACCATGCTCAAGTTATGTCAAATGACATTAAGCTTTTATACAGGGTGTTCGGTCACCCTTGGGAAAAATTCTGAGACATTCTAGAGCCCAAAATAAAACGAAAATCAAGAATACCAATTTGTTGATTGAAGCTTCGTTAAAAAGTTATTAATAAAATTGTTAATAAAATTTGTCCACCTACACAAATTTTTTTCTCGAAAATTCGTAGGATTTCTGGGGTATGTCTATTCACCGAAAATAATTGCAATTGACCCCTGCAACTAAGAATAATTTTTTCAGAATGATTTGAAAGTTTTTAATTTCGTCGAAAAATTTCTCCATTTATTGAATTTTTTTCTCGAAAGTGGTTATGATTTCGGAGGTATGTGTACTGACCAAAAGTGATTGTAATTGACCCCCACAAACGAAGATAATTTTTTCAGAACGATTTGAAATATTTTTTTTCGCCGAAAAATTTAGACACCTGTCGATTTTTTTTAAAAATTAGTTTTTCATTTTTAGTAAATTTGTTTGACGCTCTACAGAAAAGTTGTCTAATACTTTTTTGTAGGTACCTATGGGCTCTACATCAGAAATAAATTTCACTGAAATATATTTACTATTGTAGGAGTTATGGCTGTTTGAAAATTCGACCATTTTTATGTGGTTTTTCTTACTTTACGGGTTTAAGGAACAACTTTTCAAATAGTTTTGGTATTTCTACATATTCTTCGCCAAAATACGCGTCGATTGCATTTTGAAATATTAAAATCCTTCCATCTCTTCAGGAATTACAATGTTTTAAAGATGCGCATGAAATTTCGGGTAAACATTTCTGGCCACATATTATATTTTCGGTAATGAATTTTTTTCTGGAAAGTGTGTAGGATTTCGGGGGTATGTCTATTCACCAAAAATGGTTGTAATTGACCCCCGCAGCCAAAAATATTTTTTCCAGAACGATTCGAAATTTTTTTTTTTCGCCAGTCGGTACGGAACTTTAAAGGCTAATAACTTTTTAACGAAACCTCAATCAACAAATTGGTATTCTTGATTTTCGTGTTATTTTGGTCTCTAGAATCTCCCATTCAAATTTTTCGCAGAGGTGGCCGAACAGCCTGTATGTACATGTGTCGGTAAATTCTTATCTTAAGTAATTTTCCTTAAGCCGGGTCTACAGATTCGGCTATTTACTAAGTACCGGTTGTTTGTCAAGCACTTTACTAGGCAAGAGGCCCACTTTACATATACGCACCCACACGAGAAAAACTAGTCATACGCAGCAATTTTTAGCTCAGAATGATCCTCGACGTTCTCTTCGACACGCGACCAACGCGACAATGTTTCAAGCTACCAATGAGTTACCGAATTTTAATGTGATCTTTCTGAAATATTCTTACAACGAAAATGACACCAAACACCTATTTGAATGATTTTAACAAATATACGAAACAAAGTGTTTTATTCCAATTATTAAAATTTTATCATATTACCAACCGAGTAGCGAAAACTCCATCTTTGCCAAATATACATAATAAGCATGTGGGTACTAATATTATGAAACTTAAAATCAAAGCTAACATAACTAAATAGGACTTAATTATCGAAAGAAATACATATTTAAGATCACTTATATATTATTTTTTTTATGAGGATGATAGATTATTTCTTTCATTATTGTCGTTTCCCTGAGAAAGTTAAGCAAACTATGTATTTTATCATTACCCAGATCATGCTGCAATTAGATATTTAATTGAGTTCGTTAACCATTACTTTACCTAATTTATTTGTTTTTTGCAGTTATTACGTTCTAAAACGTAAAACACTAATGGTTGTAAAAATTACGACACGAATTCGCTCGTGTCAAAGTATCAGACATGCCTACTGGAAAGTTAAGAGGGAAGATATTGTTTCCTGATAATAAATATCGTACACAAACAGTTTGAATAAGATATCTGCCACGGAACGCGTTAAACCTTGAACAAGAAACTCTTTGCAAATTCAACATCACGTGAATGCTGTTACTAACCCATATTTCGTAATACATAATCACCACCACACCCAATGCAGCCAATAAGATCATTGTGGCCAAACCTAAAGTCGAACCATAAATATCTTTACTATTACTTAACACTAGAACTACCGAAGTGGTCAACATGACCCATTTGTAATTTCTAATAAAATTTGTAAAAAAATTTCTCGTCTGAATTTTTGTAAACTTACAGTGGTTCTCTATTAGAAAATGAATATCCATTTATTTCCATTGTATTATACATTTCTTCAAATATCTATCGTTTTAATTCCCTTTAGTTCTAGTGTTAAAAGCATTATTCAAAAAGTTCATTTTTGGCATATCCGATAAATGGAGAAATTTTTAATAACCATCTGGTGTATTTAAGTAATTGAAATCTCATATATTCGCATGTCTGATCCTCTCTCTAAATATATGTGAAAAAGATCTCTATTCTTCAATTTTTATATCATCACTTACTTGTATGTGAGATTTTTCAATAAATAATTTATTTTGAAATGACACCGTTATTTCGTGAAGTATTTCATATAGAAAATGAATTAATGTATTTCGAATTGAATACCAGTCCACGAAATAAATTATTTGTCATTTTATACTATTATATTATTTGCTATTTATTATTAGGTTTGACGAAAATTATTTGTTTCTTAATAGAGTTTTGTTAAAAGCTAAAACAAATTTTTCCTACGATAAATAATATTGTAATTTGTTAATATCACTGATAGTGTATAATGTACAGTTATTATATTCTTTACTTATATGTATATTATTACAATTAGATACTAACATATTAATGTAATGAATATTAGTGTCAGTAAAGTAAATATTCAATCCTTTTTCTGAACGTTGTTTGGAAACAAAAACTTGTCAATTAAGAAATAAATGTTATTTCCTCTAATAAATAGTATTTCAATTTTTTATTAATTGATCTAATGAGGAATCTAAGATCAATTGAATTATATTATTTATGAGATATCAATTAAGATTATTTGAAATGATTAGTTTGAAGTTATTATTTGAAATAAATTTTGCCTAGGTCTGGCTATCAGAGTAGCCAGAAAAGTGAGTTAAATCCCATTTTTGAGGAATGGAGAAAGGCAGCATGTTAATAAAAAAATCCTACCACAACAGTAAAATCTCTTTTACTAATAGTTATTCTTCAACGAAGATTTCATTCTCATATTTGTGTCACTTTTCTGATTAAAGTAAGTCTAAATATCGTGTTTGGTCCAATTATAATCAGGGGAGAACCACAAATATGATAATAAATTCTCATTAAAAAATAATTAATAACAAAAATTTTGTAATCGAATTACTTATCAACTTATCTTATTTATTATTCACACGTCGAAGGCTCGTCATTTCTTTCTTTTCGCTGCCAGCGAAGAAAAGAACGTTGCCACCTCTTCTCTACATGGAAAGTTTGAGCCCCGAGTCTTTTATATGTATAAGGATAAGACACTTAACGCTCTTATCTTGAATGAAATTAGTGAATTGTATAACATATCCACTTTATTTACAAGTGGAGGCATTCATGAGATATAAAGGTCAATTTCGTTTTCGTAAGTAAAATGTTTTATTTTTTATGGCACATTTTGAAAGAGAGAAAGAAAGTAAAGATATTCAAATATCGAGTAAAAATATTGACCTCCAAATTAATAATTATCGAGATACTCCCATCCGTTCCGCGAAAATGTTATCAAAGATTTCAAGAAGACAACGGATAACATTAATCACGAATATGTATAATGGATTATCACGATGAGATAACATTACATTTATTGATGAACACAGCCAGTTACTCGCATCCGAGTTACTGGAATCTTTAATGATGTAATACTGAATCTGTTATACTAAATCTCTAACTAGATTTTAGAGAAAGGAAGCTATACATCTCGTTAACCAATAGATTTATTACCATTGAAAACTAATACATTTTTGCTTAGAACTGAGATTCAGTACAGATATTTATTCATATTTTAGCTAACTGTCAACAAATAATTATCTTCGATATTTTAGTTTGAAATTTTTGTCCTAATAATGTTTGCACTCGAGGGACTTTTTATGTATCTAGCAAATGAAGGTGTTTCATTTGCTTCGATTCAAATTTTATCTTCTTCAACATATTTTGTAAAATTTGCAAATTATTTGTAGCAATTTGTAAAATTATTATTCGAATGGGATTGAAAATTCCAACTGTTCAAGATATACATATGTCCATAACCTATCTGATCCTGATTTACATTTTTTTAATTTTGTTGCAATTAATTCTTCTACGTCTTTGCATTATTCACACAGAATACAGCTATTAGTAACAATTTGCAACAATTTTAATTACACAAGTAGTATGCAAAACTGTTTGAAATTGCATAAAACATACTGTTGAGCGCTGAATCGACCTTCAATTCGCGCTCACGACGAGGTTCCTGGTAGGGAAAAATTCTTCTTTCAAGTCTCACATCTGCGCACCAGCACACAGCCCTACTATGATACTCCCCCAAGTACAAAGGAGAAAGTTGACCCCTGCTGGTCGACCAACAACTGCAACATTCTCCAACGTCCTCAAGCGACGTCTTCGTTCCAACGTGACATGAACCCCCTTCCAAGGGCATCGTTGCAAGGGTGCTTGAAAGGGAGGAAACGGCGTTGGAGTTGTGTTTCAGACAGTTCGTTCTGTGGCGCTGCTTTGCTGCGGGTAGGAACTCTAAGAATCGTAGGAGGTTAGAAAAGGAAAGGAGGGAGTGCATTCCTTCGGGCCCTGCTCTAGCGGACTCATGAGTAAGGCTTTCTAGCAGGCCCTACCTTACATGACTGGGATATCGGTGGGGGAAGCCGGTTGAGAATTGTATATATAGCACCGAGAGGTCAGTCGAGCGCTTGTGAGAGCGCAACCCCTCTGGTAGCGAGCATGGGAGGCGACGCCACATTACCTCCCTACCAGTGTTAACGATACCGGATTAGTCTACTATTTACAGGACTTATCGAATATTATGTACATTTTCCTATTTACAATGTTCCGTTCCTCTTGGACTTGTCGTCGTCGTGCCTTTGTGTAGCGCCTCTATCTCGATTGACGATCTCTGGAGACTTTTCTAATCCTCGCTAGAACTTCGATTCTATTGCGCCGTAGGATATTGCTTTTTGCTGTTGCGTGGTCGGTTCTCTTGATCGTCTGGCGCGGCGAGCCTTTCTCGTGGCTTGCACTGTTAAAGCCATCTAGAGTACATGCTGCTGTCCTACCTGTGGCCCCACTATGCGTGCTATTATTGCTGTTGCTTCGAATTCTGCCAATCTGTGTCCTTCTGGAGACTACGGCCTCAACAGGTAAATTTAGTCAGGACCGGCGATCGAGTGAACGAAAGGCCACCTTTGGAGAGGGATTACGAAAGAGATATTGCTATACGATTAGACACCGTTGTCCTTTGGCGCTGCCTCCTTCGCCCTACGCTGCGTGCGTTCTGCGTTTCCTGAAAATTCTCGAGCTACTTCCTAGTGTTATCCACCACTTCGCCGTTCGGGTCACCAATTGTAGCGCTGCTTTGCTGCGGGTAGGAACTCTGAGAATCGTAGGAGGTTACAAATGGAAAGGAGGATAAACAATCATCACCATAAACTTTTTTCATTAATTCAAATGTTTCTGTAAAAGTTTTCCCGAGCTTGAAACAAAATTTAATATTTGCTCTTTGTTCCATTGTGTTTCTGCGTCGAAGTGTCAAAAGGTACTGCCACTTTAACCGTTATAACTTGACGATCCGTTAATTGATTCCAATAATGATGCTTTTGTTTTGTAGAGGAAACATACAACTTTCAGGTTACGCATTGTTTCAATAGATGGCATTAGCAGTTTTCATTAAATTTAAAAAATTCCGTTATTTTTCCGACACACTGTGTGAGCTACTTATTGTAGCGTGACGTCAGAGCGAGCCTGTATGGTGGGAATAAGGCGTCGCGTAGACCTTCTCTCCTTGAGAGTTTAGTTTGTTGATGCCTAGTCAACAAGTCATCTCTGGATAGTAGTGAAAGATGTCTAGTTTAATTTGAATCGCCTGTGAGAGTGGGGGGTTCCGAGCGAGACACGAGTTGCAGGGTTTTTAAGACGAAGATTAGCGTTTTTGTTCCCATTAATGTTTATAATATATATATTTAATTCATTTTCCTATAATAATTTGTTATTTTATGAAAAATTGCTAGCAAAAAATCTTAAGGTGGGGATTTTTGGAAGGGATTAGGCGGATTGAGTGGCCTATCTATTGTGAGTACTCGGCAACTTACGATCTCTGCATAGTACACGTTTTACAAACAAATTTAAAGTATCTAGGAATGTATCCATGTTTCAAGTTTTTATTCTAATCTTTTTATACACATATCTTCAAAGGAATGCATTTATTGTAATAATATACAGTTTCATTACAAAAAAAATTGTTATTGCATATTACAGGTATGTCGTTGCGCCAATTGCTTGTCTTACTCAATGTACTTTTAATCGTTTTCCATTTTTTTCACTGTCGTAACGAAAATTTCACCTCTCTTTGTCACGATTCCATAGACTTAAGAGAATATTGATAACAACTGTACAAATCTGCTAATGCGGATGATCGAGAAGATTAATTTCATCAATTTTAGATAAGGTCATTTTATATTGAGTAAACGTAATACATGAAATATACACAGTAAATCTTCTATCGATTGCTCATGGAAAATTTCTTATCTCCGTTTGTCGAATGTAATACTTGCATGACTGTTTCAGAAATTGAATCGTACGTTTAATGCGTGTGTAATGGTTCGAAATCTCGTAAGTTTGCATCTTTTATGTACAGATACATCTGCGTTGCCTAGTTGAAAGAGAATTGCAAGCATAGGAATATGTACTTCCTAGCATCGCGAATTTCCTGGTCCCTGGTGCTTCTTCTTGCAAACTGAGATTTCAGTCTATCCTTGCAAGTGAGTTGAGAATTAATTGTACTGCCTTATTCTTGAGAGCGAATTTTGGTGTGATGGATTTCTGTAACGAATTTAAGTAAAAAATGTTAATGGTTCCAACGAATAATAAAACTTCTACTGGTGCTGATGATTAAGAAAATTTGTAAGGAGTAAAAATTTTATTTTCAAGCAAAGAAAAAATCTTACATACAGTGACTGTCGTTTAAAACACTATTATTATAGTAAACTATATTACAGTAAAAAAAAGCTTTTTGAACGATCCACTTGTAATGAACCACTCTGTATATTAGTGTTATTTTTATAATACTGCTATTGTTAACAAAATCTGTTTGAAAAGTTTATATTCTTCACTTTTCATTCCTTTCCTCGAAAATATTTTGTATTATTATTAGCATAACTTTGCATTATGAGGACATTGAATCCATCTAATATGTATTTGTTTGCCCCAATATTTGCCAGTATTTTAATTTGTTTTTTGTACTTAAAGAAACTACGCGTGTAATCGTCGTGTACTCTTAGTCGTCCATTAATGAAGTATATAATTACCGTCGACAAAGAGTTGTTGCAATACTACTCGCCTCAAATTTAATAAAATTACTTACATTATTCAAATTTATTTAAATTAGAAGTATTATAAAAGATTCTAAATCGTGTAAATGAATGTGGTACATCCTATAGTCACAATTGTTCACAAAGAAATATTATGTTAATTTACCTCTTCCGGAGGACCCAGTGGTCTATCCGTGTTGACGGAGAAATCTTTGATAAAATCATTTGATATCGGATCTATGTCCTTCGAAGTTAAAAGAAGGACCAATGTTTCTTCCAAATGTACGCACTATCGTTTCGTCTTGGTACATACTTGAAGAAATAATCACTCATCGACGCCTTCCCGAGAAACACATCCTTAAAATTACTCAAATGAGAAACAGATTTTAGCTCCTCTCTGTCTCGTTGCTGCTACAAGTCGATGCATGACGTTAAGTAGTAAGCAACCAAAAATGTCACAACAAGAATGAGTCCGAAAGATTCTAACATTGGCAACATTATCGCCTTTACGCGTGTAGAACCGTACACTTTCTTTTAACTAATTTCGATCGAGTACTACACGATTAAATTCCACATGGCCACGGTATCGAATATACGGGATAAGAGAAATATTTAGAGAATGGTAAAAATGAGTCCATTCGCATAAACGTGTTTCTTGCACGTTCACTTTCGACACGATAATCAAAGTCGGGCTCAGTGTACGACGGTTACTGATTTCTCTTTTGGATACGCTCCGAATGATAATTTATATTCATTGACATACTTCTTATATAGGATACTTTGGTGTCATGACTTGCAACTAGATGGAATTGAGCATACCATCTTAGAAAATTTTGCCTCGTCTAAAAACGATAATAATATTTAATCTGCATGAATGCATTGATGACAGATGCCCCGACACTTTTTTTCACCTGTTCTAAGTCCAACATTATTAAGTTTCGCACATGGTAAAAAAACCGATTTCCTGCTTATCGGTAAGTAGCACCAATCGGTATCACAAACGAGGCAATACATATCTAAATCGAAAATCATACAAATATAATAGAGTGCAACTTATGCAGCTCTATAACTTCCAAAATATGAGTTGCACGAAACAATTTTGTATACAATAATTGCATGGTTTAAAGGGATACAATATATTCAAGGTCCACTTTGTTCTTGTAAATAGAATACTATATTTTTTATATCAAAATATGGAGGAATATCAAATTCTGACTAAATAAGTATTGTCCTTTATTAGACCTACCCCCAATAGCTAACGAGTAATTTCACTTTATTATTTTACTATCAAATTGGAGACTCAACCTTAGCATACATTTCTATAACAGTGAAAATTATAAAGAATTAAAGTGAAATTATTGATTAGTTATTATTTATTGAGGTCGATTGTAGATTGAGAGCGCCACGTAGTCGATCGGTGAGGGCGCCACCATAATGCAAGCGGCTGCGCCACCTTGATTGGTTAATACGCCTTGCGACACGTGAGGGAGGAGATGTATTGAAATACAGTTTAGCATAAAAAAGGTCATCTCGTGCAAACTATTTCTTACCCTGTTCCATTTTTGCCACGTACCTCATCGACATTATTACTTATTACTGTTATTCCTTATTATTTGATATTACGCGAAGAAAATTGTCAAGAAATAAAGTGAAATTACTCGTTAGCTATTAGGTTTAGGGCTAGTAAAGGTCAATACTTTTTTATTCGTAATTCGATATTATTCCATATTTTTATACAAAAAATATAGTATTCTATTTAGAAGAATAAAGTGGACTATTTTGGAAGTTATAGATGTGCACAAGTTGCGTGAACCATCCTGTATATGCAATATTATTTATTTCAATTTTGTTATGATTTTATTATGTCTCGATCCACATTACCTCGAATAATCGAGACTATTGTATTCATATTAGAACGATAATTTGAAAATCGTCGAACAGTTTGACGGCCATTGTTAGGTGTACGTGACTTCGCCAGCCAGCCGTTATCGCCTATTGTCACCTGTACGTGATTTTATTGTTTCCGTTGTAGAATATGGTTACATTGGTCACTATACATTTATAGCTCCTTGCAATAATATTCTTTACATTCTCGCATACCACACTTCGTTCTACTTGCTTCAGTCAATTCAGAAAGCTGTTTCGATGCGTCTTCAAAAATTTAGCTGTTCATTGATTATGTTTTCACAATAGAATTTTTAATTCAGATATAGTTTGTAATTAAAATTTCGAAAGATGATTAAGAAGTATATGAATCTGAAATTTACATTAAACTATGTAGAGCTAATACTCAAATATTAATAAAATATGAAATTTAATAGACTCACGTCTCATAACAGTTTGAAGTTGTATTGCAATTTTATGGTCACTGATGACCTGCACTTGATACTTGTAATGTTTTTTTTTTATTAATGCAATTTAAATCTCAAGAAAGAGATTATTTTGCAGTGCTGTACAAACGTTTCAATACATTATAATACTTCACATAGTACAATAAAAATTAAAAACATTCGTATGCCTGCTGAACAAACAGTTTAAAGATGAACTCGTTTCTTAAATCTTTAACTCACTGTAATTCAGAAACGAGTAGGTCAGTTTATATCTCGGCTGTAGGTCTGGAGAGTAGAACATTACATGAGAGCGGAAGATAAAGATGTAGTTTTTGCAAATGTTTGATAAACTTTGATCTGTGTTCTTCAAGTGTGGGACATTGCCATAGTACATGGTCAATATCCTGAGTTCCATAGCCTCATTGACATTGTGGATCGTTTATTATGCCCCCGAGCGAGAGAGCTGGCAATTTTTTACTAACATTATTGTTATTTGAAATGCTGCAAAAAGTACATCATTAAATTAATGTTTCTATTTTTTACACTATAATTTAAGCAAATTAGAAAACTGGTGTGACAGTCAACGTGTTAATTTCCAAAGGATGAATAAGCGAAAATACGCGTTAACGTGCTCGTTTTCGAGTACGACGGTCGACGCGTGAAATTTTTTAAGTCCCACTCGACTCCGAGCGATCGCTCCGGCGACAAAAATCGTTGTAGGACAAAAATTCGACACGCTATCCTGTAGGAAAAAATCAGGGGAACACAATGCCATCGTTAAAAACATAGATCGTCGTGCTCGTTTTCTAAACGGATGTAAACTGCAAATACAGTAATCCCTCGCTAAAAGTTCAATTGTACATTCTTCTTCTAATTCTTACCCGTGAGAGCAAATATGGCTTTGTTTGGTATCATTTCCATTGAAGAAAGCTCAGCAATGTGATTAAAATAATTTCATAAAAATATAAAAATCTTTGTTTTGTTCTTTCTAATCGCGAACTATAGCCAACATGAAGTTTGTTTCTAGGAATTGGTGGGGATGAGGAAAATAGTAGCGAACGTTAGCGAGAGAGCACTGTATTACGTCCCTTCATCTTCGTTCTTTATTGGCGTAAGAAAAAAAGTAATTTATATCTATTTGTGTCATTTGCATCGTCTTTGCTCTGGAAAAATCATATGTGATATTCCCCCCCTTTTCGTTTCACACTCGATCGACAATGGGTAAATGACAATGCATATTAACTAACTCCCTCAAATAGGAGGAGGACAATCTACAGTAATGATTTGGTGGGAAGTCAGCCATAACGGGCCACGAACAAGGGACAATTAGAGAAAATCAATGTTGCACAACGCGTTTGCATGTTGCATTTAATAATGATGCTTGAGTGAAACTCAATTCGCCCTTTGACAGCATAACGAACCGGTGCGCGTACGTACGTGCGTGCACACGAACTTTTTACCTCTCCAAATCATTTTTGTTCGGGCGAAAGGAACGTGTAACAGCACCAAGCCGCGTTACCAGTCTCTGGATTACTGTTGTTTCTTTCTTCTATATATTCCCTTTTTTTTTTAGAAGAAGTGTAGCATATTTAAAATACCAGTTTGTTTAAGACGAAGAACAAATTACGACAGAGAGCGAAAGCAAATGAAACTGCATAATATCATAGGGACACCAATAAATTTTTATATTTCATAATTTCGATAACAATGGAAAACAAAAAGTATCTGAAATTTTGGTGTAATTGAAAAATTACATTGTAGCGAGATTTCCCACACTCGCCAGCAGAGGGCTACGCTCTCTCGCAAGTACACGATCGACCACCTATATTTACAATCCTCGACCGACTATCCCAAAGTGACTCAGACAAAGAACATTTTTCCGATGCAAAAAAGAAATACGATAGAATGCGTCGGGGCAATCGTCTCTCGAGTCGTCCTTGTCGTAAAGAAGTGAACGTGAAGTGAAGTGAACAAAAGATTGACACCCGAACGAAGACACCACCAACGTGTTTATTACCCCACACACTGTTCTCCCCCATTTCGAATTAGCAACTTATATTCCTAAAAAAATTAGTAAATAACAGAACAAAATTTATTTTTAATTAAATATTGTAGTTGAAAATTAAGTAACATTCATAGTTCTTCAAATACTTTGGTATTCCAAACTACCAACACGTTCCTAAATACGCTGCATTTCTTTTATAAATAAAAAGAGCACGAGATGCGAATAACGAATAAACTTTTTGTTTTACCGCAAAAAAGGAAACGTGTCGTTATCATTATCATAACCTATATTATACAGTATAATCTACTTCATTTTGCTATATACATACACGATATTAATATACTATTGGAAAAATGAGAACGTTTTTTGTACAAAAGACATTCGATTTCAAGAACAAAGTATAATATCGGAATTTGAATATTTGAGGAGAATACTGCTTTATAAAATTGAAACCTGTTACATATCATTCATGCATGGGGCTGAAACGTTTGGTGACTTGGGCGTTGGCTCGAGCATCTAGCGAGCAACCCTTTGAACGAGGTTGACTCATGCCGTATGCGCACACCCGGCCCAATTTTCATTGCATTTTATGGTAATGCCCCGCCTTAGTACTGAGCATTTTCAACTATATAAGGGCCGCGGTTTCTTACTCGGGGAACTCAGTTTTACCTAAACTCTTGGCACGACGTTACTGTGACACTCAGGGCAAGATCGGGCTATAATCCCCTTCAAGCAACTATCTACGACTATCTACCTTAGCGGTTTATCAGTGAGTGTCCAGTAATCGAGTGCGAGCTCCCGCGAACGCGCCGCGTAAAAGCCGATAACAAATCTTTCGCCTTCGAGGCAATTTAGCAATTGTACAACTTCTTGTAAATCCATAGCTGTACTTGAGCATCGTCAAAAATATATATTCAAGTTATTATTCCTTACGTGTGTTATTCACTCAAAGCAACCCTGAACCATATTAACCGTAAGGCTAGGGGTATCTCACGAACCCGGTACACCTTTACCGCTCGAGGTGTACCATCACGACAGAGAGCAAGATCCTAAAACATCCTAAACCCCTACGTGGCTCCCAGGGTATAAAGCCCCTGGTTCGTCCACTTCTACTAGCGGCTCCCAGGGTATAGAGCCCCTGGTTCGTCCGTGAAACCATTCATTTTCCCTATAAATCTAACCCCGTAGCTCCCAGGGTATAGAGCCCCTGGTTCGTCCACGTAACCTCCACCTACGGCTCCCAGGGTATAGAGCCCCTGGTTCGTCCGGACCTCCTTTCTTTTCCTAACCATACCCAAAACCACCGGTCGAGTACTGCCCCTCGACCGAATCCAGGATCTCGCGCTCCCGCTCGTAACAAACCATATATTAAATTTGTAGGACAGTTATGTCGTTTTTATATACAATTTTAACGGTATTGCAGTATAAACAAATAATGGGATCACATACACTCTACCTCTTCAATATTAAAAAATAAATTTGTCAATTGTTCGAATACTTGGACAGCTTCGCTATCTAGAGTAAAGCCACAAAGTCAACTTTCAAAATTAAATATTTACAGACGCCGTTACGTTAATAATCATGTATTCAAATATAATATATTTATTCATACTAGTGATGATACTTGTTTACAGTCTCATGTCGGCTGAGAGTCTGTTGCATAATATAAAAAGTATTCCGTTTGCTATTTGCTGCGTAATATGCAAAATAAGTAAAACATTATTACGTATGAATATAACCTATAAGTAGGATATTAAATAATAGCTAAAAAAAAATACTTTTCTCTCTAAAATAATTTTATCAAAGAAAGATCTTCTGAGGATTAGAAGAATCGTTTAAGGACAATCTTCCACTTTTAATATTTAAAAAAAGAAGTAAAGGAAGGTGAACATAATGAAAGTATTTTGTCTTTTTTTAAAAATAATATTTTAAACACGTCGAACGATCTTAATGACCCATAACCCGTAGGTCAAGCAGTAACTTTGAATGTACACGAATTGCGAGGACATTCGAAGGTATTCAAAGAACATCTGACATTTTGGAAATTATTTTTGAAAAGGTTCGTGAAACATTTGTGAACAGGACATTTTTTAATTACGTTAGTCTATAGCTTCAGCTTGTTTTGTTTTGATTCTTGCAACACCCTGTATTCCAACCCTTCGAATTCGATGCCATTTGCAGTAAATTTCTGTTTGTGAAACTTTAACGTTTAATGTCGATGTAATAGTTGCCGTATTAGGTACCTGCTTTTACATCTTTTTTATGGCATAATTCGTCTAAGAATAAGCTAAAATTCTACAGAAAGCTGTGTGCTATAATTTGAGATCAAAAGTCGCATCGTGTCTAACGGTTGAATACAATTTTTCGAGAATCAAGAGTAACAGAGAGTCAATGAGTTATAAAAATGCACATGGAATTATGAACGTTTGGTGGCACGTGGCACGAATGAGTGCCGTATGTGCGAGATCGTAAAGTTCAGAACTGATTGTGAGAATCGAGAATAAGTTTGCGACAATTTTGTCAAATCGATCTGTTTTAATAAACTTATTTGTATGAAAAAAAACTTGCAGATATTCTTCAAATATAGATCTCAATATACTTCCTCAAACTAGATACAAAAACATTTTACCGTTTGCCTTCCAAAATTCCAAAGAAGCACTATACTCCCTTAATTGACACAATATTAATATTTAATAAGTACTGAATATGAAGAGTTCTTTTTGTTGCAGTAAATCCAAAGTGCCGTACTCGATACATCAAAACAAACACCATTACTTTCAAACCTAACTTAACTTCCAAAGTTTAATATCATTAACCACTCGAATACTATTGATTTGACTGCTAAGTAATTGCGAAATTTTTAATAAAATAAAAGACAATTTTTTCATGAAACGAAATAACTGTATTTAGTAATTGTCCATCTTTAACAACGATCTTTCAGACAATCAAACAACAATATGGGTTTGACGTTTCGAATACATACAAATACCTAACAATTCAACTAAATCCATCTGTCAGAGAAATCCGCAATTACATAGTTGTCAAACCAATATAATAATACTGATAATACTACAGTGCTATTTGATCGTGTCTGTAAAACTCTATGGTGGCCCCTTCCCTTGACGACCTAAGCACATGCTTATTTTGATTATTGGTTGATCTAGTCCTGACTAGATCCTATTACTCCTCTCTATTTAGGTCAATACAAACTAGACGTCATCTCAAGATAGGAGCACGTCGAGCTGTGTACCTGGCCATTTCGAATAAAGCTTCAGCTGAACATGTTCACACCCCCTATGCCCCCTATCTCCATTTTCCTAAGGGATGTAATCTTGTCGCGGGTACCAGCTGAGATGGATACGGTTCCGCATTAGCAGGACTTAGGCAGGTACAATCCAGGAGTTGCTACAAGACACTGATCATAATCAACGACAATTTTGGTTGTTTGGAATTCCAAACATGGTTTATTGAAGGACTGTTTAGGACGCGTTTATTTTTCAATATTACTTAAATTACTTAACTACACACAATTTGGTTATCTGGCAATTTTACCTCTTACTACCTTTTAACAATAAGAAGTGACATATACTAAAGCCATTACGCGACATAGCCATAAAGCCATTAGTTTTTGTGGTCCGATAAAATATTAAATGTAATTTATTCAGGTCTAATACATCATAGAGCGAAATTACAGAAATAGTGAAGAAGAGATGTTTTATAACACTGTTTCGATAGTAATACACAAGCACGGGAATTCCCCGCGACCGCGTGGCGAGCTTCACTTGCGGGGTTCCCCTACGGTCGACCAGTACTCCAACGTAAAGCGCCACCGTGCGGCGATATGCGCGCCACAGTTTTCAAGGGGTAATTTGGACCCAGCTACTATACAGCGATGACTTGGTGGTTAGGTACGCCGATTGGCCGTTTCTTAATAGCGACGCCTGCTCTCACACGCATTGTCACTATTGGCTGAGACGCTCACAATTACAATTCCATCGCGTGACAAAGGACGCGAACGAAACGTATAGGAACAGAGTAGGATAGGACAAGACTGAGAGGCATTGGCGAAACCGTACGCTCAAAATACTAGCCATGAATAGAACAAAAGTGTATCTCTTGTGGTTATGGAGATCCTATTACTATGTAGCGTGACGTCAGAGCGGGCCTCTATGGTGGGAATAAGGCAGCGCGTAGACATTCTCTCCTTGCCCTTGCCCCGTTTAGTTTGTTGGTGCCTAGCCAACAAGTCATCTCTGGATAGTACCTACCCCTTGGTATCGCGGACCACTACCCCCGTAGGAACCAGCAGTGGGTGGGATTTGTAGGCCAGGGAAGACTGGCCCACGAGGGATGGACAAACTCGGACTTGCGAATTAAAACACCTTCCACAATTGAATTTCGTATTTAAGAAGGATAGAACCGGACGAACTCGGAGTATACAAGACAAGAGAATAGAGTACGAATAGAACAGTATACAAGATTAGAGTAGAATGCAAGAGGATGCACATTTGAACGGACTATATCATTGTTACATTTCCTGTTAACACGTTGTCTTTGTATACATATTTACTAATAAAGTATTGTGTTTGTAAATAGGTATTATATTATCTATTCACGAACTTTCTAGGAGCTAACAGTTGTCTTAACGTCGTTTTATATAGTTATGTTCTCGGTCAAGTGATTGACCAGACCTGTAACTCCACGAGTGATTAATAGTTACCATTATAATTCAAATAATGTTTTAACTTTTGGAACGTAATTTTATTGTCTTATCGTATGTATATTTAACTGCAGCTTTTTTATTATCAAGATGTCCCTTGTACGTTCTGCAATCATCGTCTCTGATGTATGACAAATACTTAACGCCACGAAAGGCTGGGACCTTTTGCATTCTACTTTTATGAATATTCATTAAATAATCTAATTAATGCACCTTACATCCAATGTAATTCTTTGGCTCATTTTTCTGCGACTCTAGAGCCTCATTACTATTTTCGTGTCACTCGCAACATTACCAACAGGTTACACAAATGAACACAACAGGAAGTGAAACAGAAAATGAAATTACAGAAACATTCCTGGTCACACATTATACTTTCGGTAAAGAATTTTTTTCTCGAAAGTGCATAGGACTTCAGGGATATGTGTATTCACCAAAAATGATAATATTTGACTTCCGCAACCGAAAATAATTTTTCCATAACGATTTGAAATGTTTTTTTCTTCGTCCAAAAATTTAGGCCGTACCTTCTGTCGATTTTTCTTAAAAATTCGTTTTTGATTTTTAATAAATTTGTCTGTTGCTGTACGGAAATGTTGTTTAATACCTTTTTATAGGTGTCCATGAGCTTTACTTCCAGACTAAATTTCAATGAAATCCATTGACTATTATAGTAATGAATAAATTAAGTAGAAATATTAGGTATGATATAATAAACTGTACTTTATAGTTGCAAATTAATATCTATTTTTTAGTATTTTTGTATAGATACACTGTAATAGTACAATAATTAATTATACCATGAATTATAAAACGGTTAAATAAAAATGATAATTTGCAATCGTGACGTCGTCTTTAAATGTTGAAATATTTAATAAATACTTGCCAGAAGGGAACGAGTCTGGTACGCCTTCAAAATTATCCATAACGTAACCTTCCTTTCCATAAATCCCCTGAAACATAATCAATCGGAAAATATTATATCAGTAGTTTAATCGACAGTTTTTCATAGCATCGAGAAAATTTATTGGCAGTATTATTATTATTTGTATGATTTTATGTAAAAATGTTCGAAAATTCACACAGAGATCAAAACCGTCGCTTATACAGGGTATTCGGCCACTCCTGAGAAAGATTTTAATGGGAGATTCTAGAGATCAAAATAAGACGAAAATCAAGAATATCAATTTCTTGACTGAGGCTTCGTTAAAAAGTTATTAAAAAATTAAATTAAAACATTTTAAATCGTTCTGGAAAAATTATTTTCGGTTGCGGGGGTCAATTACAATTATTTGTGGTCAATAGACATACCCTCGAAATCCTAATCATTTTCGAGAAAAAAATTCCTCACCGAAAATATAATTTCAGGCCAGAAATGTCACTCCAAAATGTTTTGCGTATCTTTAAAACGTCATAACTTTAGAACGGATTGGAGGATTTTCATGTTTCAAACGGCAAACAACGCGTATTTTGGTGAAGAATATGTATAAATTCTAACAATTTTGAAAAAGTTGTTCCTTGACACAGTAAAGTTAAAAAAACTCCAATTTCCAAACAGCCATCACTCCTACAATAGTGAATATATTTCAATGAAACTTTTTTCTGAAGTAGAGCTCATGGGTACCTACAAAAAAGTATTAAACAACTTTTCTATAGGGCGTCAAACAAAATTACTAAAAATCAAAAACGAAGTTTTAAGAAAAATCGATAGAGCGATATTTTCCGGCGAAAAAAAATTTTTTCAAAACGTTCTGGAAAAATTATTTTCGATTGCTGGGGTCAATTACTATCATTTTTAGACAATATACATACCCCCCAATTCCTTCGGATTTTCGAGTTAAAAATTCAGTACGGGCGGAACTTTAAACGTTAATCACTACTTAACGAAGCCTCCATAAAAAATTGATATTTTTGGTTTTCGTCCTATTTTGGCCTCTAGAATCTCCCAGTACAATTTTTCCCAGGGGTGACCGAACATCCTGTATAGTTTACCTTTTAACGATGTATTTATTTGTTTACATACCGGTTTTGGGGGACAATTGTCACCACTCACATCGAGGGCTCTCATTATAGGAAGTGCTATGTTTTGATTACCGGAAGCTATTTCGCAAAGGTCCATTTCCATATAAAGCCCCATATCATTCGTGTATTCGCCCATCTGAATTCCCTTTAGATTACCTGCCGCCTGTGAAAAAATTTACGATTAAAGAATGTCGATTTAACATTATAGCTGATTTTATAATAAAATGTATAATGCATTGGGTCGTTGGAGAGATTTATAAGATTTTTAGTTGTTTCTATAGTACTATGAGTACATACCATAGCACCTTTAGGGAATTCTTTAATGATCTCAAACCGTGAAGTCAAACTACTCCCATACTCGCTGTCGTCGTTCACTTCGAACTTGCATGAGCCTGGTTTGAAGTACTCCTCGTTGACATACACGCACTTGGCCTCGTCAAACATCAAGTCAAGTTCAGCCTAATGTTAATGATAAACAATTAGAATTTCGGAAGAATCTTCGTAGAAAAATATTACATTAGAAATCAATATGAAAAGTGTTCATAAAACTCAAATTCTGTAACGCTAGTGAAATTATACTAATTCATTTTCAGTCTTTCTTTAGTAACTTTTGTTTACATTTTTAGTATCAAAATAATCTCCAGTAATATTTGTACGTATATTTCTGCATCATTATTTTCACAAAAGACACTTAACACATGCTGTGCTATATCGAGAAATTTTCTATTGTTTAACCGTATTAAAACGAAATCGTGTTTTACTGCGTTTAACTTTAATAAATGTGGTACAAGAACTTCAAACAATGTTCTCTTCGTGTCTGCCTATTTTATTCATTAAACCTTATCATATAATAGGTCGGTGAGTTGCTAACATAAAAAACACAAAAATATATAGGTGTCAATTTCTAAAAAAAGGAATAACACTTTACGACCATCGTCATAAATTTCTACAAATTTGTTCTAACCATTATATTGTGTATAAAAAATACTACATTTGTCTCAAAGGATACTCATTGAAATCTGTGTAACTTCCAAACTTTTAATTTGTCACATTGACTTCGAATAGATTCACCTTCAATGTGTACTCTATTATTTTACTTATTTAGCCACAAATGTTATTATTAATTTTGTACGAAATTACACCATACAAATCACCAACGTAAGAAAAATTCTTGAATTATTTTATTCTCACCTGCACCACACACCATCTTAACATACAAAATATGGATAACACGAAAAACATTTTCTGATCGTTGTACCAAGAATTCCCTCCCGACTTGTTCTCGAGCGATACTGAATACTATTTCTATCATTCGTCGTGTTAGCCAACGGGGACATTCTACCTCGTAACGCAATTACTACGAAATCTGTGATTTTATCAAAAGTCATTATCATCCGTGGCTGTGGGATCGCGACAATGAAATCCTATTTAGGAAACATATACCAAAAGTCGTAATTACGAGAATCACGGCAGTAAAGCGATTCAACTATTCAGTATCATTAACTTAATGACCAATAATTATTTGATATCGTGGTTACTTGTTTAGAATAATTTGTTTCCGCCAACCACTGACAAAATGATAAATTAAATAGTTTTAGGATTTTAGTATTGGCAAATTAAATTTTGCATAATACGATATTCTAATAATTTAATCAGTATATGGACTGATTTGGATAACCGTCCATCAATTGATAATTCGTCACTTACAGTATCGAACTGATAATTTACATTGTGCCAACATCTCCTGGAACGAATTTCCGCGCTGAGAGTTAAATAAATTCCCAACAATTCTTGTTAGCCTCAGCAAAGCGATTGCATGCGTTCAGTTTACTCGAGCAATTATTTGATCTCCCGTAACATCCTGCAGACATCGTTTGGAGGGTTCGGTTGCAAAACGAAAGCTACAGCCCCGGCGATATCGTGAATTTATCTTTCGGCTAGCGTGTTACGTATTCCGTTAGACCGTGATAACTTTTCTGCTGCTACGAGAAACCGAAAAATAGCGGAAACAAGTCACGTTATGCTCGCTTTGTCGATAAACTGGTCGCATGCCAATGTTAACGGTCGATAAGCTATTCCATTTGGTATTCTTTCTGATACATAGCCGCACGAAAAGGAGAGAGGACATTGAACGAGGTTGATTTCTGTCAGATCGAAAAGATCGTTTCTATAATATCAATGTAGGGGAGACCGGGGCTAGAAGTTCCGGGGGTAAGTTGTTTCGACGATTATATTTTTAAGAGGAAAAAAGATAGCGTTGCGCTTTCAATTATTTTGAAAACGTAAACTGATCGCGCCACGCTGTCAAACTTTTTAATAGCATCCGTGACAACGAATTGTGTAGTTTTAGACAAGAGGTAGTCACGTATCAGGTAAGTACAGTGAGTGTAAAAAATATTCGTACACTAGTCAATTTGAACAAAAACTTTGCAGAACTTTGTTTATTACAAAAGTATGTTAACAAAAACATGCATACATATTCTTAGAAATCTCTGGAACAAATGTCATTAACAACAAATTATTTATTTATATTTATTATGAAAATATTAACAAATTTCCAGAAATTGACCTAAAATATATGCGTAATAAGTATTCGTACAGTCTTTGATTCGTAACATTCCACATAGAACGATTACAAGATAATCCATGATATGTAAACATACTTAGCATCAGTATGTCTGGAGACGCTGTCGGTATAGGTAGTATCCCGACGTCAAACATTATCAACGAAATTATCAGTAAAATGGGACGAAAACGCAAGGAAACCTCTGAAGAAGAAAGGAAAATTGTTATAAATTTACATAATAAGTGTAAAACACTGAGTGAAATTTCTAAAGTTTTAAATAGACCGAGGTCCACGATTCAAGGAATCATTGACAGATATGGCGATCGAAAAAATGTAAAAAATAATCCAAGAAACGGACGTAAACGAATAATAAATGAGTATACCGGCCGATGGATAATTCGAAAAATAAAGCAAAATCCAAAGATAAGTACGGTGAAAATCACAGCTGAACTTAAAAATGATCTGGACATTAACGTATGCAGTAGCACAGTGCGTAATTTTTTACGGGATAGAGGATATCACGGCAGAGTAGCTCGTAAGAAATATTTCGTAAATGAAATTAATAGAGAGAAACGATTGCAATTCGCGAAAGAGTACATTAATGTTCCTATGGAGCACTGGAACCGTATTATATTTACTGATGAGAGTAAATTTAACATATTTGGGTAAGATGGACGATGTACAGTATGGCGGAAAAAAAATACCGAGTACCAAAAAAGAAATTTGAAGCCGACCGTAAAGCATGGAGTAGGATCAGTTACAGTTTGGGGCTCTATGAGTGCGAGCGGGGTTGGCTCCCTCCATTTTATCGATGGTATCATGGATCACAAAATGTACATCGATATTCTAAAAGAGCATCTTCAGGTTAGTGCAAATAAAATGCAGTTACAGGGCAATTATATATTTTTGCAAGATAATGATCCAAAGCATAATGTTTATAATACACGTCAGTGGATCCTATATAATGTGCCGCAGCAATTAAAAATCCCTCCACAGTCTCCAGACGTAAATGTGATAGAGCACTTATGGAGTCATCTTGAAGAAAAAATTCGAGACCATCACATTTCTTCGAAACAAGATTTAAAAAATGCACTTTTAGAGGAATGGAACAAAATTTCTAGTACTATAACCAAAAATTTAGTAAATTCAATGCCGCAAAGGCTTAAAGCGATTATACAATCTGAAGGAAATCCCACTAGATACTAAAATAGCAAATAGACTGATTTTTGTTACGTTTATGTACTAAAATTTATAGTTTTTGTTGTAAAATTAGAAGTGTACGAATACTTATTACGCGTATATTTCAAGCCAATTTCTGGAAATTTGTTAATATTTTCATAATAAATATAAATAAATAATTTGTTGTTAATGACATTTGTTCCAGAGATTTCTAAGAATATGTATGCATGTTTTTGATAACATACTTTTGTAATAAACAAAGTTCTGCAAAAGTTTTGTTCAAATTGACTAGTGTACGAATACTTTTTACACGCACTGTATTTACGAAAATATTGTTTCGTGTAAATAATTATCATCTTTAACTAAAATAGTATTAAAGTAATGCTTGAAAAAGTAGTGTGACGTATACGTCTGTGTTAACTCTTTGCTTTGTCCAAGTACGATACTTGGTTGAAGCACGATTCATTGTTACCTTTCTGCTCGAGTTGTAAATTATCGTGTATCTCATCGTAGTACATAATTGGCCGGTCTCGTTTACGTGTCTTACGTGGAGAAACTTTGTCCTGACATTCACGTTCATCAGACAAAAGCGAATCTGCCAGTATTCGTAGATTATAGCGTTCGACAAGGGGAGAGAATGAGATTGCCACCGACTGTAAACGAGATAGAGCAACAAGATCCGGGCATATTCATGCATTTGGTAGCCAGTAATTCAATCCCCTGTGCAAATGGTCGCTAATGGTCGAAACTTTAAAGAGGTGTCAAACTTCTGTCGATGGTTCGACAATGATGCAAATTAAACATTTATTTTCATTATATTTGTATAAAAATAGTATTAACCTCTTTGTTGGGAATTCCAACAATAGTTAGGACACTTCAAGTTACACAAGAACATTTAACAGTTGCAAGTTACACAAGAACCTTTACAAGTGACATCCAGAACAAAACCAAGTTACAATCAGGACAGTTCCAGTTACACAAGAACAGAACACTTAAAAGTATCAGGACAGTTACAGTTACACAAGAACATTGAAACATTAATTGTTAACACCTGTATATATATTTGTTAACAAATTTAAAATATTTGTAATTAGGTATTGGACTTATCTATTACTAAATAACTCGGCTCCACGAATCTTGTGGGAGCCTAGACTGTTAATTGTGGAATTAGATTTTTGAAGAGACACCTTGAATCTAGCAAACAATTTGGATGTTCCTTCTAAGAAATACAAAGAAACTATTGCTCTAATATGAAGAGTGAGACCAACATTATTTTAGAACAGTTGTCTCCATTATGCATTACTTCAAGGCAACTAGCAAAGGAAAATCATAAATATTGAATGAATTTATTATCTTATATTTCTGTTCATTTCTAGTAGTAATACAATCACGTAAAAAAGTGAAATTGTTATTGATTTGACCACGCCATCTTTTAATCATCAAAAAATAAAATTTAATTCTCCATCCTGTGGCGTCGCCTCCCATGCTCGCCACCAGAGGGGTCATGCTCTCACAAGCGCTCAAAAACTTTCCCATGTGCGTACGACCGAACACTACAATCCTTTACTTTTAGAGTAGGAAATCTGTAAAAAAATTTTATTTTATTAAATCTCTCTTTCAGATATTTATTGCACTTCAATTGATGGAAAAATCATCAACTTCGAATGATCTCGTATCATTGAATAATGAGGAGGTCGATGGTTGAGGATTCCCAGTGGTAGGAGATACTTTTGCAGGAATTTTTTTGTAAAATCATAGCAATTTATCGCTAATGTTCGCGTCGCGGAACCGAGCCAGCCGGAGGTTATCGAGCAAAACGTGCAATATATCATTGATTGACTTCGCAAAACATAGAAAAAATTCGTCATAACTTTTCAATATTCTAGGCAGCAATAAATTACTATAAATTTTTTTCAGTAATGAATCGAATAGAGTGTTCGATCATAAAATTACAGGATTTTATAATTCTTGCTAGCAATCTTTTTATATTAGTTACTTCGAACGGAGCGAATACATTATCGATCGCTCTTACGTCCGCATAAGATTACGACACTTACGACTTCTATTATTCTTATTTACGTCCACGTTTTAATACGTAATACGTTTTTGTTCTTCTTATTACCAAAGCAAACTAAAAAGTACTTGTAGATTATATAGGATATTATACTACGTCGGAAAAAATAGTTTCACGACATTTATGCATTTAATTTGATTGGTTAAAAATATTTCTGTCGATGTCGAGAAACTGTAACTTTTCTTCATGGTAGTTTTCTAAAGTGTGGTGAAAGTTTTGAAAGTCGAATTTACTCCAGGATAAAATTTAAGTAGAGGAAAAAAAATAAACCTTTTTTTATTGTAACATTTTTTTCTTAAATTATCAATATTTAAAGTTGTGTAGTAATTAAAAAACAACCTGTAGATAACTAAAACGTTTCTTTATATTAATACATTAATCATTGAATGACGTCTATTTTGACCCAAATCTGAATTTTATTATTTCGCATTCCAGCACGAGCTTTCCTATTGAATTTTTACGTTATCGTGTTCGTAAATTCTTTATTTATTTTACTGTAGTTAATTTTACAAGCTTACTTAAAATTATTTACCACAAACCGAAATTTCACGACTCCGAAAGAAATAATTTTCATTGTCAGGGGTTAACCATGAAAGTTTAACACAAGAACCACCAACAATTACAGTGTATTTATTTGTACCAAAGAGATTAAAACGGTAAATACGCGAAGAAATGTATAATGCAATGGAAATAAATGTTTATTCATTCTCTTTTATCAAGTTTTATTAGAAATTACGAATGGGTCAATTTGACTGTTTTGGTAGTTTTAGTGTTAAGGGGTAAGACCACTGTAAAAACTTGAAATAAAGCGTTTTTTTGAGACTTTTTTTTTAGATTGATGGAAAAATAAGAGGATAATAATATTCAAGAATGTTATTAACCATGTCGTTAAGTGTTAAAAAAAAAATTTATTCAAAAATAGAGCAAAATGACGACGCTAGAGCCATTCTCGCAAGGCGTGACTGACGCAAAAAAAAACAAAAAATTTTTTCTTAATCTACATGGGTAGAGCTAGAAAAATATGTAGGGGATCTTCGATAAGTTAATTTTAACATTATTTATTGACAAAATGATTGCCCCATCTTTTGTACAAAATTGAACTTTCTACTTCAACTGCTCGTCAATCACACAAAACTTAATGTTTCAAAAATCCCCTACGTATTTCTCTAGCTATATTCATGTAGATTAAGAGAAAATTTTTTGTTTTTTTCCAGATACAAGCGTCAGTTACACTGCGTGCCGCAGAGCGCCTCAAATTCAAAACACGTGTGGGGCTACCTTTTGCTTGCGAGTAGGAACTCGTGAGAATCGTAGGAAGATTGAAAAGGGGAAAAGGAGGGGGCGCGTTTTGCCCGGGCCTGCTGTCGGACTCATCAATAAGGCTTTCTAGCATGCCCTGCCTTAGACAACTGGGATATTGGGAAGTCGGTTGAGTATTGTTTATATAGCAACCGAGGGATTGGTCGAGCGCTTGTGAGAGCGCGATCCCTCTGGTGGCGAGCATAGAAGGCGACGCCACACACGCCTCGCGAGAATGGCTCCAGCGTCGTCATTTTGCACTATTTTTGAATAAATATTTTGTTTAACACTTAACGACATGGTTAATAACATGCTTGAATATTATTATCCTCTTACTTTTCCATCCATCCAACAAAAAAAGATGCTTTATTTCAGGTTTTTACTGTGGCTTTACCCCTTAACAACTATCGAAACATCTTTCTCATCCAATCTCTGACGTAGACGTTTTCTCTTTTTTCTATGAATCATCTGTGAAAAAGTTTGGAAACCACTATTTCGATAATGGATGTAACCGCTGTAATTCTCGAAAGATAAACCGACAAACCAAAGTGATCGAAAACGTGGATTTTCGAAAACGGTGTCTGTTCGATGATATCGCGCATGTCGCTGGACACTCGACGGTGTATGAGCTTATTCCAATTACGTGCGGATGGACATACGGCTAAACTGATTTCGTCAATTCGTTTACCACTTGATCTAGCCGCGCATTTCAATTATACGTATACTCTTTGTCGGAAATATACCATACATCCCATCGCGGCTCGCTCACGCGATTCACATAGCAACGGTTCCTGATAAAATCGTGGGAACGGATGCAGTTCACGGTACAATTGAATTAATCTCGATCGAGCTACACGATCTCGAAAACGAAACAGGAAATCGCGTTGTCGCGCGCAAAATCGAGCAAACGCGTGCTACCCGAATCTATTGGCCGTTATTAGCCGTTACTGTTTTCCAGAACGTTGCTCGTTATTGGCCCGCCTGTGTGTTCTTTTTCCATCCCGGTTCGTTAATTATGGTGTAACCGGTGCTGTGCGGCTAAATTACTGGGGCAGAAATAATTTACACGATTACGAAGCCGACTAAATGTTCGCAACGTGATATTAGACCGATTTTAGGTACAGCACTGTATGCTTGCACTGTATGCTTCTCAAATTGAGTCATATACAGTTGAGGATAGAATTAAGTGGGCAGGTAAAGAAAATAAGTGTAAATTAAATTTAACCACAGTAGTATAACTACGAGGATCGTTCAATAAGTCTTTAGCGTCTCGTAGCATCGAAAATGGTTTGTTTTTAGGAAGCATCATGACTCGCTAGACAGCTGTCAAAGTCTCAGTTATATCTGTAGAAGAAATGAGGTCAATTATGTGTAATCCAATATTATTTCGGATAATAATGAAATATATATTTAATACATAGGTAACATAACTTTCTGCTGTACACAACTCTCAAAAGACAATGGAACCGACACGTAGATTCCCCTCGCGTACCAGTGCTGCCAACATTAGGCCTACTTCACACTACATTCACTCACCAGACATACAACTAATAAAAATAACCCTACAATATCCACCACATGGTTTCATCTTTATTGTCGATCGAAGCAAGAAACTTCATCTTGCATCAAAACAATGCACGGGTACACACCTGTGCAAACGTTTACATGCTTGTACACAAACAAAAAGACAGTTGTTTTATAGAGAAATACAGGGTGTTCGGCCATCCCTGGGAAAAATTTTAATGGGAGATTCTAGGGGCCAAAATAAAACGAAAATCAAGAATATCAATTTCTTGACTGAGGCTTCGTTAAAAAGTTATTATAAAATTAAATTAAAAAATTTCACATCATTCTGAGAAAATTATTTTTGGCGAATATCCCCGAAATCCTACGCACTTTCAAAAAAAAAGTTCGTGCATGTGCCTAAATTTTATTAATGATTTTTAACAATAATTTTGTTAATAACTTTTTAACGAAGTTAACAAATAAGTCAGTCAACAAATTGGTATTCTTGATTTTCGTCCTATTTTAGCCTCTAGATTCTCTTGTTAAAATTTTTCCCAGTGGTGGCCGAACACCTTGTATAATATGTAAATGCATAATCGTTATAACACTTTAATTAAATTTAATTTATACTTATTTTCATTTCCTGTCCACTTAATTTTGTCCGCAACTGTATTAATACGCACGTACACGATAATTACTGTTTATAGCATATCATTCTTAGTTCGATTAAAATTTTCAACTAGAAGCAAATACGATGATGTGCTAAAGGGGATTCCCTAAAATCTCGCGGTAGAAAAATAGGTAATATTTGGAATTGTTTTTACAGAAATGTACGCAACCTATGGAATTCAAACGTTGTGAAATTGTTTACATACTTGTAAACACAGTACATGAATTTTGTTACGTAATTTCCTTTAATAATATACTTATTATGTATTAGTAATTTCCTAGTGTCATGCATTGTCATCGAGACCGGTAATCATGATTGCGTCGCATCGTGTAATTGCAAAACGAAAACTGTAAGCAAATTATTATACTAGTTGAATGTAGGTGTCGTTTGATCCAGAATAAAGAACTTGGAAAGAAATACAATGATTTTTACTACAATTTTTGCACCATGATAACTTAAAGAAGAAAAGCCTAAATATTGAGCAAACGATAGTTGTGCTTTTGTTTTCGTAACCTTAATTATTCTTCCATCTCTTGTAATTTGAAGTATTTTCTTTATTTAGATACACTTACATCAGTGATTGAATTGAGACCATAACAGAAAACTTGATACAACGTAAAATTTTTAAAATTGCGTTCGATTGAATGTTTTGATCTTGTTGATCGTGCAACTTTCGACATCTTTACTATTTGAAATGACTTTGAAAAATGACGTAGAGTAAGGTTAAAGGGGATTGAATTAAGGTGCATCGTCCATTCTTAACTGAATATCCAAATTGCGTTTTCTCTCTAAATTCATTTGATCAGAGATTAAAATGAGATTATTTTGTTCCTGCCGAAGAGCTCGTCTCAGTTCTTGCAGCCTCCATCCTGCTTCTATTTGTTTCTCCGCTATCTGCTTCTGCAACGCTGCTATCCTTTGATTCAAAGTATTGTAGCAATCCACTTTTAATGGACTACCCGTGCCGCAGCTGACAGCCTTTGGAGAGTCTTGTTGCACCATATCCGATGTCAGTAGGCAAATCTTATCGTGAAGATCCGCCAACTGCGTCAACGTCAATGACTGAAAAGAAACAATCTTGGTTAAAATGGATGCTACACACGCGTTCCGGCGTAATTTTCAAACTATGGATTTTTATTATTTAGGCTTTCGAATGTAGGCCCTTGTGGAGAAATTGTTCCAAACGTTTTGCAACCATCATGGTTTAAAAGACACACTGATACTACTTGGTGGTAGTACCACTAATGGTACTGTGGCGCTGCATTGCTGCGGGTAGGGACTCGAAGAATTTCGAAAGAGGACAGAAAAGGAAAGGAGGGGGCGCATTTTGTCCAGGTCTGCTAGCGGACTCCGTCAGTAAGGCTTTCTAGGCTGCCTTAGACGACTGGGATATTGGGAAGTCGAGGATAGCAACCGAGGGGTCGGTCGAGCGCTTGTGAGAACGCGACCCCTCTGGTGGCAAGCATAGGAGGCGACGCCTCAGTACTAATGGCCGTTTATAATTCAGTTCGCTGCTTGACAATGGTTTAATTTGGTCAGCTGAGTAATTATCCACAACTGGGAGTGCATAGTGAAGATGATTTTAATGATATTTTGTTTTGAACTTCTCCACAAAAGCAGGACTCAAAATCAAAAACGTCAATAGCAAAAACAGATAGAAAAGCAGGACTTAAATTAAAATGTCGTTAAAAGAGTTTAAAAATGTATTTTTTTATTATGCAAAATGTAATTACTATGCATTTTCATAAATGAAAACATTATAAATCAATACTTTACAACTAATATATCGGCAATTTAACAGAAAGATAATAATAATGGTATTTTGTGGGTAAATTAATTAAAAATATCGTTAGCCTTACATTCAGCCAAGAATCAGCATCGAAAGCTATTGTGGGTCTCTCGCCAAGGCCTGCATCCTGTAAAATTCAACAGCAATGATAGAATTAGAATAAGAATGGTATTTCATTTAATTCAACTTGAAGTGAAGATATCCCTCCCACCATAGAGATATTGCTTTATTGTAATTAAAATGTCTGCGTACAAAGATATTTCTCGTAATATAAAAAACATGTTAAATAAATGGTGGAAATATAAGACGGGTCAATAGTACCATTTACTTGGAATAAATTCCCCAGAAATGCTGATATTTCAGTCGAAACAACAACTGCCCCCATAGTTGTTTGTTTTGACCGATGATATGTTTATTACGTACCTGAAATTGTTTCAATATCTTAGCAATATTTTGTATTTCCTGTTCTGTTCGATAAATATTTTCGGACAATGTTTTCGATTTATTCAACAAATCTGCTATGTCTTGTTTCATTTTCGGATCGATGCTCACATCGTCGTCCATCTTTTCTGCCATTTTGGGTTCATCTTTAACTTTACCTTCCAAATAACTGATATAATCTCGTACACGTTGTATGCCTATTTTAAGGGAGCAAAATACCTTGACCTAATTAAGTAAAGATTATCTTAATTGAAAGTAAATAATTGAGTTCTTAATTTTATCAAAAATTTAATCAAATTTAACATATCCAAAGTGATTGAAAATAACACTGTGAAATTAATTAGTGAGAGAGTACGCAAAAAGAATTATTCCCCCATATAAAGTACTGACTAACCACATACAAAATCATTCGTTTAAAAAAAACAATTTTTTTAAACAAAATATCTTTTGAAGCTTTTACCTTCGTTCTGTTTTTCAAATTTCGTCTTCAGAAAATCGTTTGTCTTAATGAAGTCACCGCAATCGTCCACAATGTCTTTGTCCATTTCCGTCTCCTTCATCTCCAATTTGCGCTCTGCATTAATTTCATTCCCAATTTACAATTAAATAATCATGAACAGATAATGATAACAATAATTTAAATAATGTAAAAAAAATATTTTATAAATAAAGCAATAAATTTTATTGTAAAGAAATATTTATATTATCCAAAAGATGGCAAAAAATCATAAAAAATAGTACACATATCATTATTACACATACTTAATGGTTCTTAATATTACTATAAGTGCCAACGAACTTATTACAGAACCTAATACAGCGACCATTTTATTCGGTGACTTAATTTCGATAATAACTCTAGAAATAGATAATAGTTCTAAAAATATAACTTAAAAAATCATTACGCGGTTTAATTTGACGTATCGACGTTCAAACAATTTTTACTATTCTAATTAACAAACCTGAATGTGCTTTTAGCGTGGCATGTTCATCCTTCAGGTTTTCCAATTCTCCACGCAACTTCTCATTTTCTTCGCGGCAATTTTGCAGCTCGCTTTTCAACCTGGCATTCTCAGATCTGAGCTCATCGTTTTCTTTCTTCATTTTCTCTATGTCAGCCTTCAACGTCGCATCATAGTCGTTCTGTTTGTCCTTCTCATTCTTCAATTTATCGTTGGCGGTCTTCAGCTTTTCCAAATCGCCCTTTAACGTATCATTGGCTGTCTTCAGCTTCTCCAGATCGGCCTTCAACGTATCGTTCGCTGTTTTCAACTTTTCCAAATCATCTTTTAAGCTGTTCAACTCATTTCCCGCGTTGTCCAGCTCGTTCTGCAGCCTTTCTTTCTCCGACTTCAATTTATCTAACTCCGAAATCAATCTGGCCACCTCTGCCCTACAATCTTCTAATTGTTTCTTCAAAGCTTCCAACTCCTTCACTGTATTCTCAAGATCGGCAATCTTCTTTTTCAAATTATCACTCTCGTTCTTCAGATCGTTGATCCGACCTTCTGCCTCCGTTAGTTTGTTTTTCATCGTAGCTAAGTCCGTTGTCATTCTCGCGTTCTCGTTTCTCAACGTTTCCAGTTCATCGTTCATTTTCGCTATGTCTGTTCTCAGCTTCTCGTTTTCGTTTTGCAATGCTTGATTTTCAGCGCGAACTTTGTTCAACGCTTCTATTAAATCGTCCAGTTCCTGCTTCAACTCGGCCAACTCTTTCACGGCCGCGTCTCTCGCGGCTGTCTGTTTTTCCATTTCTTCCCTAAGATTGCCCAACTCGTCGCGAAGACGGTAGAGCTCGTTCAGTAATTCTTGTTTCTCAGCTTGTAAATCTGAGAGTTGACCTTCCAACGTCTTCGCCGTAGCTTCAGCAGCTGCGAGAGCCTTTTTTAATTCTTCGATCTCTTTGTTCAACCGACCACTCTCCTCGTTGAGCCTCTCTAGGTCTTGCTTCATTTTGCTTAACTGCTCTTGCAATTTGTCATTTTCTGATTGGCAATTCCGTAAGTCTGACTGTAGCTTGTCGGACGCTGCCTTCTCTGCAGCTAGATCCGACTTCAATTTATCGATCTCCAGTCTCTGCCCGTCACCTTCGCCCCTCAATTTGTTAGACTCTTCTTCTAATCTCTTTCGACCCTGATCGAGACTCGCGTTCTCCGCTTTCAGAGCGTCTACTTCGGACTGCAGCTTATCGCGTTCATCTTTCAGATTGTTCTTCTCGACGGTCAACGCGTTTACTTCAGCCTTCAATTTATCGTTATGATCTCTCAGCGCAGAGACTTCTTCTCTGCACGCATCGAGGTCGCTCTTCAGCGCTGAGAGCTGCCTCGTCAAATCGTCTACGTTGTTCTTGCACTTGTTATTCTCTGCTCTGAGGTTCTCTAATTCTTTCTTCAGTGCTTCGAGCTCTGCCTTCAACGCCAATAGTTCTGCATCGTCTTTATCTTTCGTTGACTTTATCGCTTCGAGATCTTTCTTTTGCTGCTCAATTTGCGACGTCAAATCGGCAAGCTTCTTATCAAGGTCGGCTTTTTCGTTCTGAAGTTGATTTAACTTTTCTTCGCAAGCCTTCTTCAATGTCTGTTAAAGCGAGACATTAAATTCATAAATGTTATTTGAGTTATTTTGGAGACTCCCAATTTATAAATTATTGTAATATACAGGGTGTTACCGAACTGGTGTTACAAGCGATAAATGGGTGAATCTACATGAAAAAATAAGTCGAAAAAGTAGACATTTTTCGTAGGAAGCTTCCTTTTCGAATAAACCAATGTTAAATGTTCGTAGAGTCCGTGTACACTTGCATATGATTTCATTTATTTACGTTTACGTCTAAATGATGAAGGATCTCACTATGTTATTCGAATTGCTGTTACGATTGTTTTGCTGAGATTCTGAAGGATAAACGTTGAAATAAAACTACTTTCAAGAAGTTTTTTATAAATTCAAAAATTGTTGAAAATGTCTGTTTTTTTTGCCAACATAATTTTATCGTGCGTATTACACTTTTGTGAACGTTTTTCAGAGTATTTTCTGTTGTTAAATGTGCGAATTCATTTTTAAGAGTATGGATGAGATATGACAACTAGACATGGCATTGGTACTATTTATCAACTCAAACGCAATGAAGATTAGTCATTAACATCGATTTAATAGAAAATGAAACTTCCAGTTCGAAAACACCCTGTATATGTATACAGAGCCACCCTTGGGAGAAATTGTAATGGATGATTCTAGAGGCCAAAATAAGACGAAAATCAAGAATACCAATTTGTTGATGGAGGCTTTGTTAAAAAGTTATTAACATTCAAAGTTCCGCCTGTAGGACGGCAATTTGTCCATCTACTCGAATTTTTTTCTCGAAAGTGCGTAGGAATTCGGGGGTATGTGTATCGACCAAAAATGATTTTAATTTACCCCTGCAACCCAAAATAATTTTTTCAGAACGACTTGAAATTTTTTAATTTTGTTGACTTTGTCCATCTACTCGAATTTTTTTCTCGAAAATGTGTAGGATTTCAGGGGTATATGTATACACCAAAAATGATTTTAATTGACCCCCACAGCTAAAAATAATTTTTTTAGAACGATTTAAAATTTTTTTTTCGCCAAAAAACATGGGCACCTACTCCCTATCGATTTTTCTTATAAATTCGTTTTTGATTTTTAATAATTTTGTTTAACGCCCTACAGAAAAGTTGTTTAATACTTTTTTGTAGGTACCCATAAACTCTACTTCAGAAAAAAGTTTCATTGAAATATATTCACCATTGTAAGAATTATGGCTGTTTGAAAACTGGACCATTTTTATGGGGTTTTTGCGATTTTGTGGGATCAAGGATCAATTTTTCGAATATTTTTTGAATTTCTACATATTCTTCACTAAAATACACGTTGTTTGCATTTTGGAACATTAAAAATCGTTCAATCAAGTTCAAGAGTTATGATGTTTTAAAACATTTAAAAACAAACATTTCTAGCCAGAAATTATACTTTCGGTGAGGAATTTTTTTTTCGAAAGTGCGTAGGAATTCAGAGGTATGTTTAATGACCAAAAATGATTGTAATCGACCCCCGCAACTAAAAATAATTTTTTCAGAATGATTTGAAATTTTTCTAATTTAATTTTTTATTAACTTGTTAACAAAGCCTCAGTCAAGAAATTGATATTCTTGATTTTCGTCTTATTTTGGCCTCTAGAATCTCCCATTACAATTTTTTCCAGGGGTGACCGAACACCCTGTATAGTATACTATAATATATATTATAAAATTCAAATTAAAAAGTTTTATTCGTATTGAAGATTCTTTTTCATTTTCAAAAGAAATTATAACTTTTTTTATTATTATTGCAGTTGTCGTTGGTGTTGGTGTTAAAATGGTAAAATATGGCTAATTTGAAGCTCGTGTAAAATCGCGATAGCACATTACAAAGCTGAACTTTACCCAAGATCAAATATAGTAATAGGAAGAAAATGGTTTCCAAAAAAAAATATATATTTTATATAAAGAATCGTTTTATTACTAAATTAGGTACACCATTTGTACCACGTAATGTAACATGATACTTGTGTGTCCAAATAAAAAAGAAACGTCAAAGAAATTATAATTACGTTACTTGTTCTAACGAACTTGCATCACATGTAGGCGATTGTTTCAAATGATACTACACGTTAAAGAAATATAAAATGTAAAAGTTTCTATAAAGTTTTAAGTCAAGTACAGGGTGTCCCAGTTTCTTCCGGCATAACTTGGCCAGCGTGTTCTATAATCAAAATTAAGGAAAAAATGTTATATGAACATATGCTCTTAAAAGTTTTATTACGAAGTTATAACTAATAATACAAAATGATAATGAACTGACATTTCGTTGACACAACGTATATCTATTTGTATTTACATAAACTCTTATGTTTACTTGCTGTCCAATACATTACACAGTACCAGTGCAGCAATAGATAAATGACCATTATACACAACGATGAAAAGGTCGAAGAGGACCAATACATAATGGACTTCAAGATCACCAGATGTCACGCAAATGGATTTTTACGTGTTGGGGTTGTGAAAGCAAAAGTTTATAAAACACAAATTAACATTTGTAAGCAGTTAGTACAGAGCATTAATAACGTATTTGCTGCGATTAGAGAAAATGAAAGACTCAGTTTTTGTTAGATGCTAATAGTGTATCCGTAATAACGGATGCCATTTTGAAATGTTATTACATTAAGAAGATCTACTGTTATTTTGCTTAATTTTGTTAGTAAACACAGAACTTCAATGAGATTACGTGAGTTTCTGTAACACTGATAGTACGTTCGTATGCTGTGTCGACAAAACATCAGTTCATGATCATTTTGTGTTGTTAGTTAGAACTTCTTAATAAAAAATTTCAGAACATATATTCATATAAAATGTTTTTCTTACTTTTTCTTGTAGAACACGCTGGCAAAGTTATGTCGGAAAAAATCTGGGCCACTCTGTATAAATCAAATAAAATAATTGATTGCAACGTTATACCATTTAATTTGAAGCGATTCGTTGTTCACCATTTCGTAAGAAAATGCAAGAGGTTAATATAATGCAATATTTATAATAACCATCATCTTGTCTCCCAATAGTATACATATAGCATATCAGTACCAATTTTAGATTGCTACAAGCTACTAATCGACCATTTTCTGCCATTATCCAGTGAATAAATAAGCGTCAGTTGATTTTACCTGGCATTCGCTTAAATCTTTCAACGCTTTCTCGAGGTCAGCCTTTAATTTATCCAGTTCCATCTGAACCTTACAGTTCTCCAATTTCCAATGTTCGACGTCAGCCTCCAACTTGGCAATCTGTGCTTGCAAATCGGCAATTAACTTCTTTAAATTGGCGATCTCGGATTTCATGTCAGCGTCCTCTGCTTTCAAGCTCGATAACATTTGTTCCTGGTCCAACATCTCGCCTCGAAGGCTTTTATTCTCCTCCTTCAAAGCGTTATTTTCAGCCCTGGCCTTGTCGAGTTCCGCGCTTAAATTCTGTAGCTTGTCCTCCAACATCGCTAAGTCGTCCCTCATTTTTTGGTTGGCGCTCGTCTCCTCCGCTAGTTTCGACTTCAAGTCGTTCACTTCGCTTTCCAGAGCTTTCAAATCGTTTACCAATCTATCATTTTCGCCTTGTAAACGAGTCAACTGGTCCTCGAGGGACCGAATTTTATTCTTGGCGTCGTCGAGCTGAGGCTTCAGCTTGTTTAATTCGTCGTTCAACGATTTCAATTGACTTTGCAATTGTTCAATCTCAGCTTTCAGTTTCTGGTTCTCTTCCCTGCACGTGTTTACCTCACCTCTCAGCTTCTCATTCTCTGCCTCCAACTGACTCTTCTCTGTCCTCAGCTTTTCGTTATCAGCGATGTAATCGTCCAGCTGTTTGCTCAATTGATCCCTCTCGTTCTGCAAAGCAGTCTGTTCCTGCTTCAACTTACTTAATTCGTCGAGCAAACTATCCTTTTTATCGATTTCGGCTTTACGTTTTTCATTTTCTGCCTCGAGGGCGTCGTTCTTCGATCTAAGATCGTTGTTTTCGGTTTTCAGTTTCTCCATCTCGTCCACGCACTTGTCGATGGCTTCCTTCAAAGCAGCCATTTCCGATTTTAATCCTTCCATTTCGTTCTTACTTTTCGCCAATTCGCCATTCAAACGCTCCAATTCTGCGTTCAGACGTTCCAATTCAGCGAGCAGTCGATCATTTTCTAATTTCATTTTCTCAACTTCTTTCGCGTAGTCGTCGAGTTTCTGTTCCAGCTCTATATTTTTCGCTTTCAAATTCGCGTTCTCGTTCTCCAAACGACTTTTCTCGGTTTTCAGATTTTCCACTTGCGCCTCCAGTGCTTCCATTTCGGATTTCACGTTCTCATCCGCTGCTCTTAACGCATCAGCATCGGCTCTCAGCTTGTCCGCTTCGTTCTTCGCGTTTTCAATGTCTCTTTTGAACGCCTCTATATCCCCTTTCAGCGAATCATTCTCGACCTTCATCGCATCAAGATCCTTTTTTAGCTGATCCCTCTCCGATGTCAATTTATCGAACTGTTCACCGATGTTATTCAATTCGGCTTTCAAATCTTCGTTCTCCGCTGTCGCGTCTTCCAGCTGTTTCTTGATGTTGCCGTTTTCTTCCAGCAGCGCATCGCGCTCCTGCATCGTCTTATTTAATTGTTCCTCGAGTCTATTGACCTCTGCCTCCAGATTATCCAACGCCTGTTTCATGTTTGCGTAATCGCTCTTCAAGACGTTATTTAAATCGTTCAGCTTCGCGATCTCGTCCGCCAATTCCTTGTTTTCCCTCTTCAAATCCTCGAGCGCCGCTTTCAACTTTTCGTTCTCCTCGACCATGTTCTTCAACGCTTCCGCCGCCTCTTGGAGCTTCCTGTTTTCTTCTCTCGCGCTATCGAGCTGATCCTTCAGTTCCAAATTCTCCTTCCGTAGCTTTTCCATCTCGTCCAAGTTATTTTCTAGCTCCTTCTGTAAAGCGTCCTTGGCCGCTGTCGCTTCCGCCAGTTGACCGGTCAGCGCCACGACTTGTTCCTTGGTATCGTTTAATTCTTTCAACAATTTCTCCTTGTCCTCCCTCAGAGCGCCCATTTCTGCTTCGAGATTTTCTATCGTGGCTTTCGCCGTTGCGAGCTCGTTCCTCAGGGACGTCATCTCTTCCTCCATGGCTTGCAATTTTTTCGAAAGATCGTCTCTGTCCGAGCAACACTCTTCGAGATTCGCGTTTCGCTTATTGCACTCGTCGAGTTCGTTCTGCAAGTTCGCTATTTGCATCTTCAAATCGTCGATCTGTTTGTTCAGGTGTCCCTCTTGAGCTAACATTTCCGCAATCTTATCATCGTAAACTTTCTCTAGCTGATTCTTCTGTTGCAGTATGTCGATTATTTGATTGTTCCTGTCGGCCAGTGCTTTTCGCAGTTCAGTTAGTTCGTCTAAAAGTTTGTCCCGTTCCACTTCGAGATTAGATAACTGTGGTTTCAAGTTATCAATCTCAGACCTTAATGTTCCCAAACCGAGCAGATCTATTTCCGACTGCCTCAAATCATTCAAGAGGTCTCTGATCTGAAAATAAATATCATTCTTTGGTCAGTACTAAAGTATGCTTGAATTTATTATTTTATGCGTGAACTACACAGCCAGAAATTTCTATAAAATTGTTTAAGAGGGAAAACCATTGTGACGGCTGAAAATAAAGGTAAGCTTCAAGAATTTTTTGGGCGTTGCTATGAAACTTTTCCTGATAAATGTTTAATGTTTTAGAAAGTACATTTCTTGAACTAATTCTTGTAAAAATTTCGTATAAAAATATTAATTATTATAGCCATAATAGGAACCAGTGTGAGAAGCCTTCAAAAATTTGTTAGAAATGGGCGAACGTGTAATTTTTCACTGCAAGTTGTGGAACAAAAAATCTTGCAATTTTTGTAAACTATAAGACAGTAGTTTCAGTTGCACGTATGGATTTTTAAAAATAATTATTTATTATAAAATGGTGGAACTTTGAAGGAAAAATTGAGATTTGTGACAAAATCAATATTTCTTTTGATACTACGTCGAAATTAATTATTCGATCGAAAATTTCCATACGTGCAACTGAAGAGAATAGTATGAGGAACAACCATACAAAATTTTAAGCAAATCGGATGAAAATTGACTGAGTTATTGAGCCGCTCAGTTTGAAAAAGTTGGTTCGAGAAAAACGCATTTAACACTGAAGTGGACTGTCAGTCTCAACTGAATTATTTTACTTAATGTTGTTTTTTACATTGGTAAATGGAAATCAACTTTCCTTCAAAGCATTCAAAGAATAATGAACTGATGGAGAATTACATAAATTTTCAAATAATTACATTGAAATATATTAAGTAATTATTAGTTTAAACTTGGAAATAATCCACTTAAGGATTAAAGTTTCATCCGCTTGACACAAACACTCTTCGTCCACACTACTTATCGCTCTAGACTAAACAGTCTTGGTCCTTATAATTATCTCGATCCAAATACTTTAAGCGTTACACATATTATATGTTCTACATCTACTAAATCTTCTGTAACTTTGCATTTTTGCGAATTTTACTTTAATATTTTAGAGAGTTGTGGCGCTAACGGACTCGTCAGTAAGGCTTTCTAGCAGGCTCTACCTTAGACGACTGGGATATTAGGAAGTCGGTTGAGGATTGTATTATTACTAATACAACTTATAAAGACACTATAACTTATAAAGACATTTTTTGAAAATATCTCGAGATCTACTAATTTTTTTGCCATGGTACCCTAATCATTTTATACGTAGAATGAACAGAAGAATCGATCTATGTGAAAAAAAATATGCATTTCTATTTAAAGAAATGATGCAATTGTTAACTACACATGCACTGCTGCATCTAAACAAAATTTAAAGGCCTATAGATGTAGTGCTCTTCGAACCATTTATCTTTTTCCTTTGGCATTTTTTCGGAAATGCAATAATAACGGAGTTATGACTTGTAACAATTGCGTGGACCACCCTGTATAGCCACTGAGGGGTCGGTTGAGCGCTTGTGAGAGCGCGACCCCTCTGGTGGCGAGCATGGGAGGCGACGCCACAGGTATAATAATTGAATCATAACGTTTGTCCCAGAATGTGCAGAAATGGTTTAAAATAAATCAAACATTAATATTTTAATAAATATTATTTATTTCGCATTAAATGAAATCTGATTGCATGCCTCTGGCTGTTGGAGATGATTGCATTGCAATCGTCGTTCATCGATTATCGCTGAATTTATTGACAAAAATACAATTTCTTTCCTGAATTATTCACCATATTCACTTGGTTTGGCACAGTTTAATTATTTTTTATTCCCAAAACTTTATTTGACAATAAATTCAAGAGGCAACGACGAGCATCATCAACGATATACCCGTTAATGAAAAAGTCGTTTGAAACACTCGTTAAATAATCAATTTATTGTATAAGTGCCGTCGGAAACTATTTCGAATAAAATAAACGAATTATAGAAAAATACTAATTCTGTGTTTTTTATTTTTAAAGCCATTTCCGGAACTTTCGGAACAGAAAGTGTATTCAATATATCATATATTAAATGTAATGGTTTCGACTCATTAGTATTTCGTTAGCTTGAGAAGCAGGTATTACGTAATTATTTCAATATACCGAGACGACTGGGATATTGGGAAGTCCGTCGAGGATTGTATACAGGGTGTTCGGCCACCTCTAGCAAAAATTTTAATGAGCGATAGTAGAGGCCAAAATAAGACGAAAATCAAGAATACTAATTTGTTGATGGAAGCTTCGTTAAAAAGTTATTAACAATTAAATTCAAAAATTTCAAATCGTTCTGGAAAAATTATTTTCGGTTGCGGGGGTCAACTACAATCATTTTTGGTGAGTACACATACCTCCGAAATCCTATCTACTTTCGAGAAAAAAAATCGAGTAGGTGCTGAAATTTTTCGGCGAAAAAAAATTTTTCAAATCGTTCTAAAAAAATTATTTTCGGTTGCGGGGATCAATTACAATCATTTTTTATCATTACACATAACTCCGAAATCGTACGCACTTTCGAGAAAAAAATTCCTTACTGAAAATCCAATTAGGTGCCTAAATTTTTCAACGGAGAAAAAAAATTGCAAATCGTTGTGGAAAAATTATTTTCGGTTGCGGGGGTCAATTACAATCAGTTTTTGTCATTAGACATACCCACGAAATCCTGCCCACTTTCGAGAAAAAAAATAGAGAAAGTGTGAAATTATTCGAGAAAATTAAAAAATTGCAAATCGTTGTGGAAAAATTATTTTCGGTTGTAGGGTTCAATTACAGTCATTTTTGGTGAATAGACATACCCCCGAAATCTTGCGCATTTTCGAGAAAAAAATTCAGTAAGGGCGGCACTTAGATAGATTTATTTCCTGCTTCCCCTTAGGGTTACACTTCCTCCCCACCTTACATTTCCATCTCTCCCTTAACCTAACTTATCCTACTTATCCTACTTATTCTACTCTTACTCTACTCCTCACTGCCCTTACATCCTCCCCCCGCCGCTTTTCCCCTCTCTCTCATTTCCTTTCGCCGCACGCTCTTATCCTAATCCTACGCCACTCGCTCTCTCTCTCTCTCTCTCTCATCTCCCTTCGCCGCACGCTCTTAGCCTAACCTTACGCTACTCGCTCTCTCCCTCTCTCCCTCCTCCCTTCTCTCCCACTCCTCCACCCCCGCTCGCCCTCCCCGCCGTCGACTTCCATTTCCGCCCTTGCATTCCATTCCTTCATTCACTCCTCCCCTCATCCCCCCCTTCCCCCCTCTCCACCTCTTTCTCTTTCCTCCTGACCTCCAGCCTCTTTATCCACCCCTCCCCTCCCCCTCCCTCGTCCAAAATCTCCCTTATCCTTTCCCCGATCCCCTTCCCCTCTGCCTCATCCCCCGTACATCTCTCCAAAACGTGCTCCCATGTCTCCTCCTCCCAACCACATACCCTACATCTCCTCTCTTCCTCATCCCCCCAGTACCTCCCCCCCCCTCATCTCGTTCCCCATCCTATACCTAGCTAGCCTTCCATACCTCACTTCTCCCCACCCTGCCTTCAGGTACCCCGGTAACTCCCGTCCCACCAACTCCCTGTACCACCTATTATACCTCGACTGCACCACTTTTCCCCATCTCTCCTCTTCCTGCCTCCTCCCATCTTCCTCCTCCCATCCCTCCCAGCCCGCTCGCCCACTTGCCCCTCCCTCTCCTCCCCTCAATCCTCCCAACCCTCTACACCCCAACCTGTCTCTCTCCCACGCCGACAATTCCTCTCCCCCTTCCCTTCCCCTTTCCCTTATCTCTTCCAGGCACCACCTAGCCAACTCCCCTCCCTCTCCCCTACTCAGTTTCTCCTCATATCTCCCTGCCCTTCCCCCCGCCCACGTCCTCAACTTTTTCCTCTTCGTCTCCTCCCTTACCATATATCCTGGCGTCCTCCAGTCCACCCCCAATGACCACCTTATATACCTCTCCTGCATCCTCTCCATCTCCTCCCTCTCCCTCCACCCCCAAATCTCTGCCCCATATCCCGCCACCGTCCAGACCAACGTGTCGAACAGCCACATCCTCCTTCCCCAGTCCCTCTCAAACTTCCTTTTCCCGATTCCCCATGCCTGCCTCATTACCACCCCCGCCTTTCTCACCCTATCCCTAACCTGCGCCTCCTGACCCCCGTTCCTCCTGAACACGTACCCCAGGTACTTAAACTCCTTCACCTCCTCTATCCTTTTCCCCTTCCACCTCCACTCCACCTTCCTCTCCCTTCCTCCCCCCTTCCTAAACCTTACCACCTTCGTTTTCTCCACATTAACCTCCAACCTCTTTCTATCCAGGTACCCTTCGAGCCGCCTAATCATACTCCCCATCTCTTCCTCGTCCTTCGCCACCATCACCAGGTCATCCGCATACGCCAGCGCACACACTCTCCTCCCCCCTACCTCCACCCCTCCCCATCTTCCTTTCCTCATCTCCTCTTCCACATCCGCTATTAACAAATTGAAGAGCGTCGGACTCAGGGGGCACCCTTGCCTCAACCCCTTCGCCGTCCAAAAACCCTCCCCTACCTCCCCCCCCACCTTCACCCTGCTCTTCGTCTCCCTATAAATTTCCCTTACCCTCTCCCTCAACCCTTCCCTCACCCCTCTCCTCTCCATCGCCTCCCACAGAGTCCTCCTGTCCACCGAGTCGAAAGCCGCCCTCAGATCCACGAACAGCGCCACCAGCTTCCCCCCCCTCCTCCCGACCTGCCTTCCAATCAGAAAATTTAACACGTAGATATGATCCACCGTACCCCTCCCTCTCCTGAACCCCGCCTGATTCTCCGGAATCATCCCCCCCACCTCCACCTCCCGCTCCAACCTCCCCAACAGTACCGCCGCATACACCTTATACAAGGTCGGCATCAGCGTAACCAGTAAGGGCGGCACTTTAAACGTTAATAACTTTTTAACGAAGCTTCCATCAACAAATTGGTATTCTTGATTTTTGTCTTATTTTGGCCTCTACTATCGCTCATTAAAATTTTTACTAGAGGTGGCCGAACACCCTGTATATAGCAACCGAGGGGTCGGTCGAGCGCTTGTGAGAGCGCGACCCCTCTGGTGACGAGCATGAAAAGTGACGCCACAGGGTCATTCTTAAAGCCCCAAGCATTGAAAAGAGATAAAAAAATTTTCGATTTTCTCAATCCGTCACAATGGTTTCCCTCCTTAATGAAATCTTGTAATTCGAAAATACAATAGTAAATAAATATGTAACTCAATTATTATCAATAATACTTTTAACCATATCAGAAAACATCGATTCTTTACCTTCTCATTTTTTAATACAAATCATTAATCAAAAAAGGTTTTTCGTTTAAACAACATCTTTGGATTATAATAACTTTGTGGGAAGAAGTCAAGCAACAAACTTTCCAGGGTCATTTTAAAGGATGAACTATAGAACTATAGAGAATGTTTAACCAAACAGGAAGTCGATTCTACTACTCGAAGAAAAGATATGATTACCAAAATTTTTACTCTTAACGATACCTTGTCATTTTTGCTCTGAAGTTCCGCTTTCATGGCAGCAATTTCGTCGAATAACTGTTGCTGATCGATCATCTTTCCAAGTTCTTTATTTAGCGAATCGATAAGCGTATCCTTCTCCTCTAGTTTCTTTCTCAAATCGGAAACAACTTTCTCGCAATCTTCTAATTTCGCCAACAACTCGGATATATCAACGTACTCCGGAACCGTAGTTGTTTCGACCGTTTGTTGCGGTAACAATCGTTCCGTCACCACAGGAATTTCTTTCTCCTCGAGAGCTGCCAAAGCGCGCCGTAACTCAGCCACTTCGGCCAGGAGTCGTTCATTTTCAACACGCAGATCCTCGCAACTTTTCGACAGGTCCACCAACGTTTCTATCGACCTCTCTACTACTTTTGAGACCTGCTGATCTGCTGTTTGGCCTCCTTTCATGAGTTCGCGCAGCTTCGCCCTCAAACGATATATCGCTGGACAGCTGACGTCCTCCTCGGTCTGCGCGAGTTTTAATTTCAAATGCGATATCATGTCCCTTAATCTGTCACGACACGAAATTTCAATTCTCGTTACAGGAATCCAAACGATTGGGAATAATACAGAAACGCTAATTGCCATAATATGAAAATATATTCTCTATAATCATATACAATCAAACCTCTATTTTAAAAGGATGCTCTAGAGTTTCATTTTTTTGGTCTTTTTGAGAATTTTTTTTTACAAAAGAAATATAAGTTTCTTAATGTCGATATTTTGCATATTTATGTTTTACAAACGTTCACATTTTTTTCAAGTGATAGTAATCAAAACTGACTGTACGTGACCATAAAAAATCATTTTCCTTTATTTGTATTTAAAAGGATAGTTTAGAATAGTTTCTAAAAACTCGAGACAATTAAATCGTCTACGTATATGATCCAACTAATTTTTAGTGTACGTTTAACACTAGAAGTACCGACAATTACAGTGTACTTATTTATACCTCAGAAATTAAAACAATATACAGAGTGTTCAGCCATCCTTTGGAAAAATTTTAATGGAAGATTCTAGAGGCCAAAATAAAACGAAAATCAAGAATATCAATTTTTTGACTGAGGCCTCGTTAAAAAGTTATTAAAAAATTAAATTAAAAAATTTAAAATCATTCTGGGAAATTTATTATTGATTACAGGGGTCAATTACAATCATTTTTGGTGAATAGACATACCCACGAAATCCTACCCGCTTTCTAGAAAAAAATTCAAGAAGCTGTGAAGTTTTTCGACAAAATTAAAAAATTTCAAACCGTTCTAATAAAATTATTTTTAGTTGCAGAGGTTAATTGTAATCATTTTTTATCAATGGATATACCCCCGAAATCCTATCCAATTTCGAGAAAAAAATTCCTTATCTGAGGCCTGAAATGGTTCTCCAAAATTTCATATGAATTTTGACACATCATAACTCCTAAACGGATTGGACAATTTTAATGTTTCAAAATGCAAACAACGCGTATTTTGGTGCAGAATATATGGAAATTCCAAAAATATTCGAAAAGTTACTCCTTCACCCCGAAAACTGACAAAAACCTCATAAAAATGGTGCAATTTTCAAACAGCCATAACTCCTACAATAGTGAATATATTTCATTGAAATTTTTTTCTGAAGTAGAGCCCATGGATACCTACAAAACAGTATTAAACAACTTTTCCATACAGCGTCAACCAAAGTAATGAAAAATGAAAAACGAATTTTTAAGAAAAATCGACAGGAATTTTTCGGCGAGAAATAAAAATTTCAAATCGTTCTGGAAAAATTATTTTCGGTTGCAGAGGTCAATTACAATCATTTTTAGTGAACACATATACCCCCGAAATCCTATGCACTTTCAAGAAAAAAATTCTTTACCGAAAATATACTGTGTGACCGGAAATTAGTATCCTTGATTTTCGTCTTATTTTAGCCTCTAAAATCTCCCATTAAAATTTTTCCCAAGGGTGGCCGAACTCTATACGTGAAGAAACGTATAATGCAATGGAAATAAGTGCTCGTTAATTCTCTTATTTTTTTATAAGAGAAAAAATTTAAATTTCAAAAATTCAGTTCAGTAAATTTTTTAGAAGTTTTATTAGAAATTACGAATGGGTCATTTTGACTGTTTTGGTAGTTCTAGTGTTAAAGAATTGCAGCTGGTACTCTTTCTTTTCGAGAGCAAAACGCTCCCGCATATGTGCCATCTTCGCTCTGATGCATTGAACCGACGCGCAAGGATCGTCACAGCAATCTCGTTCGGCAAGAGTTTCTTCTAGATCCCTCACTTTGTCTTCGAGCGCCGCGTTTTCATTTTGCAGCCTTTCGATTTCTTCTCGGGAGTGCACCAACAACGGGTCAGGCTTCAATATCTCATCCGCGTTCACATCTAGGCGAAAACAATCTTTAGGAACATACGTAGGTAGCACTCTAAATTTTAGCATAAAATCTCTTAAATTGTTGGAATATGGAAATTCGAGTATGGGGCTAATCGCAACATATGTTATTATACGACACACATTGTATCGGTGCCATTTAAGCTTTATAAAAGTGCTGTGCAAGTTCTCGATCTCTCTGTAGAATCTTGTGCCGGCAGTTGAAGCCTTTGTCTTTCTTTGTACACAAAGTGTTGTGAATATACAATTGTGATTTAGTCAATTATTATTTCACCAACCAACATAAATAAACATAATATAGACTGCACTCGAAACGAGTGGAATAACGAATAAAGTTATATAATCCTTAAACTACAATCGAGCGAGTGACTACTGTATTAGGTACACAGGGTGTCCCGTAACTAGTGTAGGAACCGGAATTGAAGAGTAGCTGAGACGATTCTGAACAACAATTTCCTTTGCAAAAATATTGGATGGGGCTTCGTTTTTTAATTATTAACGAAAAACACTGGCCAATTGTTGTTCAGAATCGTCTCAGCTACCCCCATTTCCGGTTCTTACACTAGTTACGGGACACCCTGTAGAGCATAAGTGCTTAAATACTATTTGTGGTCCGATAGTAATATAAAATGTAATTTATTCGGGTCTAACAAACCATACAGAGAAATTACAGAGGTGTTGAAAAAGAGATGTTTTATCCGATTGTAATACACAAGCACGAGAATTCCCCACACGGCCACGTGGCGAGCTTCACTTATGGGGATCCCCTACGGTTGACCAGTACTCCAACGTAAAGCGCCATCGTGCGGCCATATGTGCGCCACGCTATTTTATAGAAATTAACAAATTTCCTGCACTCGAAAGGAATGATATAACAAATAAAATGATATAGGTAACTTTTGAACTATTATAAGTCATAATTAACTTCCGATGCAGCTAAGTAGAATCTATTGTTCGTATCTACCCGCTATGAGTTACCAGGACAACAAGTTTTTGTTTTCACTATATAGACGAGGCTTCAGTTAGTCTTTTGTCAACTGTTTTGTGTGATACATGTTACGTTAAACTGTTTTGTTAACCTCTGAAATGGAGAGTCAAAAAGTACATATTCGTCATGTAATGCTTTGGGAATTTAAACAAGACAATAGTGCTAAGGCGACAGCTGAAAAAATATGCAATGTATATGGTTAAGGACTAATAACTGTTCGGGCAGTTAGAAATTGGTTTATAAAATTCCGTTCTGGAGATACGACCTTAAAAGACGAACCGAGGCCGGGACGTCCTTCCGACTTTGACGACAACCTTTTAAAGGTAATATTGGGGCAAAATCCACGTCAATCAACAAGAATTATAGCAGAAAGGTTGAATACATCACAAGCAACTGTTAACCGCCACCTGGAGAAATTAGGTAAAGTCAGCAAGTTAGGAGTATGGGTACCTCACAATCTCAATGAACGGAATAAAGAAGATCGCATGTCAATCGCCACAAGTCTGCTCTTACGTGTAAAAATTGAGCCTTTTTTAAACAGAATTGTAACAGGCGATGAAAAATGGGTTTCCTATGACAATATAGTACGCAAAAGACAGTGGCTTGATAAGAATCAACCACCTCTACCAGGTCCGAAAGCAAACATCCATGGCAAAAAGATTTTATTGTGTGTATGGTAGGATTGTCAAGGAATAATTCACCACGAGTTGTTGAAGTCAAATTTAACGATTACTGCGGATAGATACGTTCAGCAGTTGCAAAGAGTGCAAAAGAAACTCCATGAAAAGCGTCCTGCACTCGTCAATCGCAAAAGCGTCATTCTTTTACACGACAGTGCGCGACCACATACAACTAGGGTGACTCAAAAAAACATTCTTGAGCTTGGATGGTCTGTTTTACCACATCCACCTTACTCCCCGGATCTTGCCCAGACAGACTACCAGCTTTTCTGTTCCTTACAAAACTTTTTGAATGGAAAAACCTTCAATTCTGAAGAGCAAGTCAGGCAGACTGTCGAAAACTTCTTCTAGTCCAAACCAACCACATTTTACAAGGAAGGAATTGATAAATTTATAGGAAGATGGGAGAAGGTTATAGATAATAGTGGTGAATACATAATAAATTAATATAATTTTGTTATTTAATGAGAGCAAAATAAATGTCTGATAAAAAAACGGAAGTTACTTATGACTCGACCTAATACAATGGAGCGAGGGATTACTGTATTAGGTATAGAGCATAAGTGCTTTAATACTATTTTATAGGAATTAAAAAACAAAATTATTTAATTTCGTTTTATGACATTGTTTGTATCTGTAATCGTTTAAGAGATTTTTCCAGTTGCAAGAGGCGCATAACTTTTTCTGCAACGCTCTTTTTTCCAATATTAATTTCACGAAACGTCGTTGCGTTCCATCCAACGGGACACTGATTCGCGAAGCAACGATGAAACACGAACGAAAAGGTATCCAGTATCCGTTCTGAATTCCAATTAATCAATTTGGCACGAGTAAACTAGCAGACGCGCAGAAAAGGGTAGGAAATATCATACATCGATACCGAATGACTGGAGGGCTTGTTTCAGAGACCTATTTTCGCTCTCGAGCTGAAGTCGTTCCATTCGCCACTTCTTCATCTGACACTTCATTACGGTGAGCTTCCTCAGGGCAAACGAGAGGTCGTAGATCTCGGAGTCTTTCGACCTGTCGCTGAAGGGATTGTAACTGCAGCAACAACATGGCTCATTCGGTGGATCAATCGATTCACGTGACGACGATGCGTTGCATCCACACCGACAAAACGACGATGAATATTGAGACTCCATCGTATAAATAATCCTTTAACATATTCTTGAATTAGGAAAACCGTCTAGTTACGAGGATCGTTCAGTAAGTCCTTGGAAAAAGATAGAAAAACAAATTATTTTCGGTAGATTTTCTTTTATTTTTCAACATAATCTCCCTTTAGCTCTATACACTTTTCCAAGCGTTTCTCCAACATTTTTAAGCCATATAAAAAGTAAGATTTCGGAAGATCCTTAAAATAGGTATCTGTTTGGGTGACCAAGCCATTTTTTAAAGTTTGGAAATAAAAAAATAACTGGAGGCCAAATCCAGTGAATACGGTGGACATAACTGAGACTTTGACAGCTATCTAATGAGTCATGATGCTTACTAAAAACAAACCACTTTCGATGCTACGGGTGCCAGGTTTTGGATTTTTCCTAAGGACTTATTGAACGACTCTCGTATGTACATTAGGGTGGACTTCATTTTTGATTATCGAGATTTTTATGTGCGACCATCTGGATTCGTTCAACTTGATAAAAAAAATAATTCCTACAACAGAGGAGGTCAATAGAACAATGGAAAAGGGTGCCACAATTGATTTAAAGTTTGGAAAATTTCAGTAATTTGACTACAATCCTATATGAAACTCTATTTTAAAATTTCGTTTGAAGAATTTGTTATTATTTAATAAAAGTGTTATTTAATTATAACATTTATCTATAGAGACAACTATAAAGAGCTCATAGAACTAATGATCGGTTTTCGTGGATGGCCAAGGCTAAACAGGGTATTCTACCACCGAAAAAAATGTTAATAAATGGATAAAATTTTAATGGAAGATTCTAGAGGCCAAAATAAGACGAAAATCAAAAATATCAATTTCTTGATTGTGGCTTCGTTAAAAAGTTATTAAAAAATTAAATTAAAAAATTTCCAATTTCTCACGGAAAAATTATTTTCGGTTGCCGGGGTTAACTACAATCATTTTTTATGAGTAGACATATCCTCGAAATCCTACGCACATTAGAGAAAAAAATTCGAGTAGGTGCTTTTGTCGGCGAAATTACAAAATTTCAAATCGATCGAAAAAAATTATTTTTGGTTGCAAAGGTTAATTACAATCATTTTTGGTCAATACAAATACCCTCGAAATCCTACGCACTTTAGAGAAAAAAATTCTTTACCAAAAATTATATAATTTCTGGCCACAAATACTTCCTCGAAAATAACTTCTGAACGGATTGGAGGATTTTAATTTTTCTAAATGCAAACTACGCGTATTTTGGTGACCAATATCTAGAAATTCTAACAATATTGGAAAAGTTATTCCGTCACCCTGCAAAATGAGAAAAACCCTAGAAAAATGGTCCAATTTTCAAACAGCTATAATTCCTACAATAGTGAATATATTTCAATGAAACTTTTTTCTGAAGTAGAACTCATGGGTACCTACAAAAAAATACTAGACAACTTTTCTATAGGGTGTCAACCAAAATGACTAAAAATCAAAAATGAATCTTTAAGAAAAATCGACAGAGAGCAGGTGCCTAAATTCGGCGAAATTAAAAAGTTTCAAATCACTCTGGAAAAATTATTTTCGATTGCAGGAGTCAATTACAATCATTTTCGGTCAATAAACACAACCTCAAATTCCTAACCATTCTCGAGAAAAAAATTCCTTACCGAAAATATAATTTCAACCCAGAAATGTCACTCAAAAATTTCTTGCGTATTTTTAAAACGTCATAACTTCTGAACGGATTGAAGGATTTTAATGTTTCAAAATGCAAATAACGCGTATTTTAGTGAAGAATATGTAGAATTTCTAACAGTATTGGAAAAGTTGTTCCTTGACCCCGTAAAGTGAGAAAAACCCCATAAAAATGGTCCAATTTTCAAATAGCCATAACTTTTACAATAGTGAATATATTTCAATGAAACTTTTTTCTGAAGTAGAGCTCATGGGTACCTATAAAAAAGTGTTAGACAACTTTTCTATAATGCGTCAAACAAAATTACTAAAAATCAAAAACTAATTTTTAAGAAAAATCGACGGGGATGTGGTGACTAAATTTTTCGGCGAAAAAAAAATTTAAAATCGTTCTGGAAAAATTATTTTCGATTGCAGGGACCAATTACAATCAATTTTGGTGAATAGTCACACCCCCGAATTTCTGCGCACTTTCGAGAAAAAAATTCGAGTAAATGGACTCGACAAAATTAAAAAATTTCAAATCGTTCTGGAAAAATTATTTTTGGTTGCGGGGGTCAATTATAATCATTTTTTATGAATACACATACCCCCAAAATCCTACGTACTTTCGAGAAAAATATTCTTTACTGAAAATATACTGTGTGACCAAAAATGTTTCTATAACTTTTTAATGAAGCCTCAATCAACAAATTAGTGTCCTTGATTTTCGTCTTATTTCAACCTCTAGAATCTCCCATTAAAATGTTTCCCAAGGTTGACCGAACACCCTGTGTATGTATAGATCATAATTAAAATAAAAATCTCATTTTAATGAAACCGTCAACATGACGAGTTACATTCAAAATATGTGCAGTTAATGTCCTTAAATATAATGTTAACACAATAAAACATTCTATTTTCAGTAAAATACAAATAATTAGTACGCTTCGTAACTGTAATTTATATAATTTCCTTACTTTATTCTGCAATCCCTTCGATTTGTATTTCAGCTACTAATTAGGTAGGTCATATTTTACAGGTTATCCGACTATAATTACTTTCCCTTTATTTTCTTTCTCTACCAATATCACCGATTCACTAATCTATTTAATTTATTACCCTAAACCGATTACAGAACGTCCGACGCACCTAAAAATATAACTGACCATAAAAAGACTAAAAATTTATTCGACCAACGCGAGGTTGAAGTAGTCTATTTCGTCACGGTAGTCACACTTTTATTGTCATACAACTTTGAACATCGATAAAGATCGATTGTATCGAACTTATTCTATAATAAATTTCATGTTTCGAAAAAATTTTGATGATTTTTAAATATGCTAGAAAAATCATCATTTTGAACAACTTTTTCCTCTGAAAAAATCGTGGGTCTAGTTTAGTTTTTGAGATAATTGCGAAATACACATTGTATGTATTCTACAAAAAAAATATATATCATAATTTATTTAATTCGTTCTAAACAAATGACAGACGCGAGCATTTATAATTCCCATGACGAATGTGAAAATATTCGTAAAATGTTCACGTCATAACCTTAAGATTTAAGCTTCGTTCGATAGAAAAATTTATTATAATAATATGAAGTAATTCGGGAAAATAGAAAATTTGCAAAAAGTTGGGAAATTAAAAGCAAAAATGTGTGCTAAATGACTACGTATCTTTGAGAAAGAGTCTGTATTAAATGTAACGTTTAAATTTATATTGAGGAATAAACTTGTATAGAATGCTTTTCAAAGGTTTGTACGATAGGTCTAAACAATTACATTACACTATTCGTCTATTTATTATGAAATATGTCTTGTAATAAAAATAATGCTCACTGATGCATCGTTAAAGTTTCAGTAATATCATATTTCTGATTTGTATAAATTAATTTCTCTTATCGAAAAAGATATTTTCAGAACACGTTTATAATCTGTAACAACAGATGGGTGAAAATTTTTTCGTTTTCTTCTAAATTTCTTACAAAAATATTCAATTGCCGTGGATAATTTTTTGCAAATAATGGTATAGCGATGAACTGTGACGAACTATGGTGATTGGGTAAGTCGATATTAATTGATAAGCAACGTTGACGGTAAACTTGACATTTAAGGGAGACAGCTGTAATGACCTTGACCTTGACATATGTTGTCAAGGTCACCCATGAATGACTCTCAGGTTTTAGCCGTTACACGTTTTTTATTAAAAAGTTATTAATAAAAATGTATTATTAGTATTACACTAGAATCTGCGTATACGTATACTCAATGTGACCTTGACGTTCACACAATTTATGAAGGTCACACTCTTGTGCATCCCCCAAAAAGTTATAGCCACCTCTCATTTTTCATTAAAAAGTTATTAGTGTATGAAGATTACCGCAAACAAAAAACAAGAATATCGAATTTCGTTCCTTGAGCCCTGCGGAGCACAAAATAAAACATCCCCCACGAGTTGAACAGTATCATATTAAATTCGTTTTGCTAGACCTCCCTGAAAAACTATACTAACTAATATGGACACCTATTTTTAATAAAATTTAATTTTATAAAATAATATAATATTTTGTAATATAATAAATATTACATGATTATATGCTAATAACTTTTTAATAAAAAACGAGCGACGGCTATAACCTCTTGGATGTTACTCAGGAGGGTGACCTTGACAACATATGTCAAGGTCAAGGTCATCGGAGCTGCCTCCCCTAAACGTAAGGTTTACCACTAAAGACTATTAAACTTGACTACTTGACTACTTTACCACTTTGACTACTAAAAAATATAAACGTATACAATTTTCTGTAACTTCCAGTTTGAACGATCCGACCAATTAAACAATTCCCCGGTTACAACGTATCTGGCAAATTTCTGTTAATATTAGTCGAGAATTTCTATTTGGTTGCTACTCGTCGTATCGATACTCAAAGAACCAATTATGGAAGAGAAATATCCCGGCAATTGCCTGCCAATCGGCGCTGATGACGACGAGTACAAAGAGAAAATGGCGGATGTCACGGCTGCCACATTGTGCAGGTTGAACAGCATAATGAAGCAGATGAGGAATTGGCGTGACGATCGCGTGAAACTGAGGTCCAATATCTGGAGACTAAAGTTGGCTTTGAGGGTCGCTGGACGGGAAACGGACGACACTCTGCACGCTGACCCGTTGATCGAACATCAGAGAGCGGAGATCAAGCAACTGAGGGCAGAAAATCAGGCGCTGAAAAAGGAGATAGCTGACATTAAAACGCTCGTGATCGAAGAGGGCCACATCGCGCCTAACAACGCTTGGGAATCGGACAAGCAGGATTTCTTCACGGAGAAGGAACGCCTGAACAACGAGATTCTCTACTTGGGAAGTCGGTTGAAAGAGATCGAAGAAGGGGACGAGCATAGCTCGGAAATTGAACGTTTAAAGTGTAAATTGAAACACTTTATGATGGTCGACCACACCATGGAGATTATATTCACCGACATAGTGAACAAAGTTGCCGAGACGATGGCGAATTTATCCGAGGAACTCGTAAACGTTAGCAAACAGTTGTACGCGTCCAGATCGACCAATGACAATTTGTACCAGAAGATCGACAAGTTGAACGCGATGCTGCGATCGAAGAATGGCAACGTCGTGGATTATAGAGGGAGGATCGTCGAATTGGACAATTTAACGAAACAATTAAAGTCTGAGCTGCGCACGTTCAAAGTTAATTTACGAGACAAACTTTTGGACAAGAATTCAGATTATAATGTAAAAAATGCTGAACGACTGGTGAACGACTTGAGGATCAAGCTGAGAAACGATCACGAGGCTATGCTTGCCGCTGGAGATCCTGATTGTTTAAGTTACATAAAAAGGATCATCGAGCTGCGCCTAACTTTGAAACAACTGCACGTTGAACTGTCAAAGTCCACAGTTTCCGTTTCTTCCATGGATTTCGAAAACACGGCAGAGTACGACGAGTACGTAAATCAGATTTCCATTTTGGAATTTACGTTGAAGGAGATCGACATCGAGATTTATAAATTAAAGGATGATCGTGTAACGAGACATTCCAAGTTTGGCAGGGTCAAAGGTAAGAAGTATCTGAACAAAATAGAGGAGCTCCAAACGATCGTCGAGAAGACGAGGATAACGATGAGAGGATCGAACGAAGGAAAGGGCATTAAAAGATTGGAAGATTTTGTTGATAAAATATGTCGCGGAATCAAACAGTTGGAAGTGATCGTCGTGTCTGACGATAGTTTGAGTTGGTTCGCCAGAATTGACCAGCTGGAGGAATCGATCGTTCGATTGAAAGTGGAATCGAGCGAGAAAGACGAACGAGCGAACGTTTGGAAGCAGAAATTACAGGACGCGGAAACGTTGCACAAACAGAGGGCCAAAGAACTGAGAGATGCACGAAGAAAAGTCGACGCGATGACGGAAGAGAATAAAACGTTGAAGGGGCGAACGGACAAAATGGAAGAAAAGATGTCGGAGCTTCAACGCGAACACGAAAGTACCAAGAGAGAGGTGGAACAACTGCGTCACGTTAAAAATGAAGCGAATCTAACGAGGAAAAAATTGCAAAATCTTCAGGCGGATAAAGAAGGGTTGTTGAAGGAAACGGGAAGATTGCGAGACACTTTGCAGAAAAGAAACGATGAAATTAAGCTCGCGATTACCGAGAAGGACTCCATGGAAAAGACGTTGAACGCGAAAATTATGGATATAGGAAGAAATCTTCAGGTTGCTTCCAAGGAAAAAATAAAGCTGTTGAGTAAACTAAATAATCTCGAACGGCCAAGAGAATCGCTCGAAGACAACGATGCTCGGCTACAGCAACTGAAAGCAGATTTAGAAACGTCGAGGAAGAGCTTGAATAACGCAAACTGTGAAATCATCGATCTGAAAGCCAAATTGGATCATTTCACCGATGACAAAGCTAGAATGGAGGCGAGCATTTCTCGCTTGGAATCGAAAAAAGAGATGCTTCTGTATCAGCTGGGCGTTGAGAAAACTACCGCCGAGGAGAAATTAAAAGAACTGACGAGATTAGCGTCGGACAACGACAAGTTGAACGACGAAAGGGTCAATCTGGAGAACAAGATGGAACAGTTGAGAATGGAATTAACGGATTCGAGGACGGAAAAAGAATTGTTGAAGAACGCTTTGGAAAACGCGAACGCCAAATATTTGAAGCTACAGGACGAAGTTAACGAATATAAGTTCGAACGCAATGTTCTACGGGAAGAGATTAGAAAGTTTGAAATAAACACGAAAGATCTGACGGCCAAGTTGAAAGACACGCGAATGCAGTTGGATGGGGCCGGGGATAAAATAAGAGTTCTGGAATCTGAAAATTCCAAGTATCATTGCAGTTTGGATGCCTTGGCTTTGGAGAATGCCGGCTTCGAGGACCGCGTGCAGGCGCTTCTGGCGGAGAAGAACGACCTCGTGACGCGTATTAACGAGCTCGACCGGGAGAACGTCACGACGAAGGATCAGCTGAATAAAGTTAAGAAGGAGAACGAATATTCTGTCATCGAACTGAATAAATTGCGGGTGGAGTACGACAAAGCGAGAACGGAGAACGCGTCTTTGCTCGACGCCCTCGATGGGACGAAGAAAATGAACGAGCAGCTAGAAAAATCGACGGGAGAGCTGAAAACGAAGCTGAACGAGATCCACAGCGAGTACAGGGTTCTTGAGAATCAACTGAAAATTTTCGAGACGACGAATTCTGCGCTAGAGAAGGAAAAGCAAATGTTGTATCGCGAGTATGTGGCCAGTCTGCAATCCGGGATACCGAAAGCGGAGAAAGAAAGAGCCGCGATAGTCGACGAAATTATTTTGAACGAGCACGGCGATCAAATGTTCGGAAACCCGAAATTCGAGAAACGCGTCGGCGACAAATTGAAGACGAGGAACGCGAGGGACGAGCTGAAGAAGCTGGTAGTGGAGAACGAAGCTTTGAAATTCGAGCTGGCCAATTTGAGGAATCAGAACGTTGAAATGAAAATGAAGTTGATACGCGCGAAGGAGGAGTTTCTGAGACAAAAGATGGAGCACGCGCAGAACGAGAGGAACGAGACTGCGATTATGCCTATCATGAATCTTTATTACAAAGAGATTAACAGCTACGCGGGTCAATATCCCAGCAACGCCGTAGGCGTGTTAGCGTGCATCGACCAAAGAAACGTACATTACTGTGGATCATCGGCGGAAACGAAAGTGGAGACGGAAATAGAGAAACTGTTGGAAATCATGAACAAGCTGAAAATTGAAAATGTCGCCTTGAAGATGGAATTGAATACTCTTAGATGCAACTACGTTGCTAGTTTCGCGGAAAACGAGACAAGAAGGAACGAGCATTGGAGCGCGTTGGAAGAAATACGAGCTTTGAAAACGGAATTGACGAAACTGAGGGATGAAAAGGAGTCGTTAAGAGTGCGACTGGACATAGCTGGAACTAAATTAAATCAACTGGAGTCTGAAAAAGCCGCTTTAAAGGACGAGCTTTATACCTTGAGAAAAATAAATTCCAACCTTGAACGCACTGCGAACGATCTATGATGAGATTATCAAACGCTGAGGAAAAGAAACGTGAGTTCCAAAAGCTGCATAATGGAGACCGAGAAGAAGTATACGATGAGTCCCGGTAACCCGAATAACATTGACGATGAACTGAAAGATATTTTGAAGAAACTCATTTCGAACAATGAATTTCTGCATTCGACGAATGAACCAGTCAGAAATTTTAAAGAAGTTTTTGTAAATCCTGTTACAACATAATTTGGCAATTGTAATTTATAACGTATAGTACAATGTGTTGTAGTAAAACAGTGAAATTGAAAGTTCTCTCCTAGAGTTACATTTAAAAAAAACGTTAAAAATCAAATCACTTGTTCACAATAAACATTATCTTTTGGATTTAGTGTCTTGTTTTGGCTACAAATCTTGCATAATTTAAAAAAGAAAACTATTTCGGAAGTGAATCATACTTCTTTTATCTATTGCAAATCGGTGTAATCGAATGGTTTCCACGTTTTTTTGACAAATTACACGAATTCTTTTGTTTTTTAACGAAATGAAAACTGTACGATTCAGAGTAGAGAATCGAGCGATTAATTTCATTGGAGTAATCAATCGATTAACTGATGCAATTGAAAATTTAGTCGTCAGAAGTACACAAGTCGCGAGTGTTAATCAAAAATAGCCGTTTCAGCTAATTCAGCTTTTTCATGCTTCCTGGATGTTACCCAGACCTAAACAGACGCGAAAAAATGATTGCAACACTAAAAGCAATCACGATCAAATTCATATTATTTGCGACTTGCAACGTATTTCGCAAAGCTACTGCATACCGTGCTACGTGCTAGAATTATTCGATTTTAGTTCCTCTTAGTTGCACATACAGTGACTCAAACAATTGTTCAAATGTTCGAACAAACAGAAAACAAGTCACAGTACACCTTTCTCAGAATCTTGCTTAAGACTGTTGATATATATACGAAAAATGTAAACATTGCGTCGTTACTTCACGACAGTTCGAGCCCTGTAATCGTACAAAGCGGACGTGTATTACGAATTATATTCTGTGCATTATTTGATCAATTATTTGTGTTAAGCTTAATTGTGCAAAATTCTTATATTTTTGGCATTCCTTAGCACAAATATAATTACTGGTAAGTCATAACGTTATTTTTAAACATTTGAGAATACGTTTGTAATAAAATAATTAGTAAGAAAAATATTTTTAGTCATATTTCATAATGAGACCAATAAAAGCAAGTAAAATATCAGAAATTAAAAAACTATTAATATCTGTGCTTTCTCATCGCGAGATTTCTAAGAAGGTACTGTGCTCTGTTGGTACTGTGTCATCAGTACGTAAAACTTTAAAAGAAAACATACTAAAAAATAAAGCAGGACGAAAATCAAAGTTATCCACCACCACAAAGCGATTAATCATACGATCAATCCGTAATGGTAGCGTTGATAATGCTGTACAGATGCAAAAAAATTTAGTCACACACCATAATATTAACGTAAGCGCTGAAACAGTGCGTAATGCACTGCGAGAAGTGAATTTAAGAGGACGTGCAAAAATAAAGAAACCTCTTCTTACAAAGCGGCATAAGAAGCTTCGACTGCAGTTTGCCGAAAAATATAAAAATTATACAGATCTCGATTGGGCACGAGTAATATGGTCAGACGAGACGAAAATTAATCGTTTTGGGTGCGATGGACGGGAATGAACATGGCGAGGAAATAAAGAACAAATACGGTCGCATCACGTTCATCCAACACTGAAATTTGGAGGAGGCCATATCATGGTTTGGGGTTGTATGACCAGTGAGGGCGTCGGATGCGTTGAAAAAATTGAAGGTCGAATGACTGCAACATCATACACATCCATCCTGCAGAAAAGTTTAATTGGAAGTTCGGAAAAATGGAATAAGAACGCAGAAGAAGTCATTTTTCAGCACGATAATGACCCTAAACACACGGCAAAAATCACCAAAGAATGGTTAACAGCTCATGGTTTTACTGTTTTAGACTGGCCCCCACAGTCTCCTGATCTAAACCCAATAGAATACCTATGGGGTTTACTAAAAAGAACAGTTGCCAACTTCGATCACAATTCAAGAAGTATTATTGAATTGTGGTCTGAAGTTAAAACTGCTTGGGAAAATATTAAGGCTGAACAGTGTAAAAGTTTAGTAGATAGTATGCCAAGACGCATAGAAGCCGTATTGAAAGCGAAAGGAGGGTATACGAAGTACTGATATTTCATTTTTTCAAACTCAAAAATTTGATCATTACATCATTTGTTAATGTTCTTTAATTTTTTTTTAAAAAGTGTAACATATTTAAGTTAATTCTGTATTATATGAACTATGAAAACTATGTATGTAATTATAATAAAATATTTTGTTACATATCTTATTAACATGTGTTCAATTAAATAAAAATTTAAACAAAATTAAACATTTGATCAATTGTTTGAGTCACTGTAAATGATAGTAGCATCTTTCCACATATTATATTTAAAAACTTCACTAGTAGCAGTCATGTATATACATATTCTGTATTTATTTTTACTGATTGTAGTTGGTAGCGTTGGAACGGAGATATGAGGGGGAATCCCGTGGTAGAGTGCCCGGTAGTGTGTAATGGCGTTGTTAGGGAACACGTATAAAAATACCTATGTACAGTGGTGGCCAGCTACTTATAATAAGTAGTATCTACCTATAAATTCCAATTTATTAAAATTCCCCAAAAATTAGATTTTCTGTGAAATTTAATCTATGATCAAACTTGGGCAAATTGTAATCTGATTACATTTGCCACAAGACCCTCGAGCGTCCCATTGCGACGCAATATAAGATTTAGAGTAGGTCCAAGTGTTAGGGTAGGCCCAACCACTTGCTCGCCCCTTTATTAGGCATTTTTCGTCACCTGTGCGAGTGGCACCTTAAGGCTAGACGTCGGCTAGGTGGTTAGGGGCGCCGTGCGACCACCCATATTTCTATTATGTTTACATTCACAAAACCCTTTCCTTTTCCAAAACAGCCTTATGCATACCTCCACTCCGTTTCCTAGGTCCCAGCCTAAATTTTTTCCCAACTAGCCAATGCTTGATAAAACCACCACCAATTTTCCATTCCGATTCTGGCGTCTCCAACCCCTAAAATTACATATACAGTGGCGGCCAGCTACTTAAGACCGCTGGGTAGTTAAGGAAATAAATAATGCTAATATTTTATTCATTGTATTTTTCGTATACTAAACTCATATGAAATATATTTTAAAGTATGTTATACCATAATATCGCAATAATTTTATTTACAATACTATTAGCTACAAATATTTTTAACATTTTCTCAGATTAGGTCGTTATGACAGCGAACAATTACTTAAGACCAAATCAGACTAATACTATAAATACAGGTAAAATTAATGAAACTTGTTAATTGCGGAAAAATAAAACTTAGCAAATAGTTAGTAACGCGTTGCACTCCCTTTTTGTCGTATTACTTCTTCACAACGTCTTGGCATAGACTCAATTAAACGGCGACAACGCTAGACTGTAAATATTATTTCACCCTTTTTGAATAACAGCGTACCATTCATTTAAATGTTTGGGCTTTTTATATTTTACATGTTTCTCCACATCAATCCATAGCATCTCAATAGGATTGAGGTCTGGAGATTGAGAGGGCCATGGTAAAATGTTTACATTTTGCTGACATAAAAATTGTTTAACCCTACAGGCTGTGTGTTTCGGGTCATTGTCAGCTTGCAAAATCCAATTATCTGGCATTTGATTTCTTGTAAATGGGAACCATACCTCATTTAATATATCAATGTATTTGTATTGATCCATTATTCCTTCAATTTTATGAATTAAGCCAACACATTGTAACGAAAACGCTCCCCAAACGTTCACTGAACCTCCTCCATCTTTCACGGTTGATTTTATGCATTTTGATGAAAATTCCTCGTTGACACGACGTCGAACATACAATTTGCCATCTGACCCCATTCTCTTAAACTTGGACTCATCGGTAAAAACAACTTTTGACCAGTCTGCTATTGTCCAGTTGCGATGATTCTTAGCGAACTGTAAACGAAGCTTTCGGTTTCGTTTGGAAATGAGTGGCTTCTTGCGAGCGATGTGACCCATAAGATTGAATTCGTTTAATCTTCTTCGCACTGTTCGAACACTAATTTTCCTGATAATTTCGACACCAGATTCATTGAGAACTTGTTCGGCTGTTTCGTAACGATCCGCTTCAGAGATGCGGTGAAGAATTTGATCTTCTCGCGCTGTTGTATTACGAGGCCTTCTTTTACGCAACACGTTACAAACTGATCCTGTTTTAGATATGAATTGCATTGCCTGTATACACGCCGTTTTGGAAATATTTAATTTTGTAGCAATTGCTGAAAATGAGTATCCCTCATCTCTCAATAATTTAATTTGAATTCTTAGTTCAGGAGTAATGTTCTTCTCTCGACTCATGATTCTTGACTGATTAGCAATTGTTTGCGATCTTGAATGCAGTGATCCATCGCAACCATGTCAACAGTGATGGTAACTAAGGATCTGATGCAACTATGTAATATGAAAATAAGCAAAAAATGAAAAACACGAATCAGTCTTAAGTAGTTGTCCGCTGTTATAACGACCTAATCTGAGAAAATATTAAAAATATTTGCAGTTTATTGTGTTGTAAATAAAATTATTGCGATATTATGGTTTAATATATTTCAAAATATATTTCATATGAGTTTAGTATACGAAAAATACAATGAATATTAGCACTGTTTATTTCCTTAACTAACCAACGGTCTTAAGTAGCTGGCCGCCACTGTACGTCCATTGTTAAAATAGAAATAAATGTGTTGAAATAATAATAAGTTGATTAGAATTACTGGCCTGAACCAAACACAATCCCAATATGCTCCTCGCAGTCGAGATCGAGAGGACATTCGGTTACAAACAGTCCGTTAGACACTTTCCGTCAGAGATGAGTCTGTTGGACGCAGTATTAACCCCTTAACGCTCAAATTTGTCGGGTTAACCAAGAATGATCAGTGTTCTTTATTGGATTTGTTTCCAAGTTGTATAAAAATGCGGTTTTCGTTAATTGCAATGTTATATCCGACGTATAATTTGAAGAAAAACAAATATTGTCATCCCTTAAACAATTAGATCAAAGAAATATCGTCTTTCAAAGCAGTCAGACTCGGGCATGAGCGTTAAGGGGTTAATACAGTTCGATTTTCACAGTCAGTTAAACTGCGGAGTTATTACATTGGTAAAACCTACGTGTGGCTAACCTCTAATAAACATTATAATTGAGGGTAGCTTTTTGGGTGTTATTATTCCACCACCTAACCCAGCCCCCTCAACGTTATTTGTAATATTCTTATTACGTTTTGACTCGGTCCAATACTAATAGAATAAGACCTATACCATACATTGCTTAAATTATTAGCATTTCCACTTTCTTAGCGTGTATCAATTTTGTACATTTCTTTAGGTAGATCTGACGTCGAGAAAATATGATCTGCTAGAAGTAGCTTCTCCATCTTGTAGATTCTCATCTAGTCTACTACATCAGCACAACAAATTATTCCACTCCTTCATTTGGATTGCATAGTAATTATAAATATTCTTTCACATGTCACTAACATTAATAGCAGGTTTTGTTTCAGCTCAGAATTAGATCAATCACAAAGGCCTTTGAAGGAAGATGTCACTGAGGGATGCCCAGAGGGATTCATTCGTCGTGGGATTCATCCGCCGAGGGACTTTTAATTTTAAGTCAATTAGTCTTAAGCTTCGTCACAAATTTTAAAATTAACGTCGAAGATTTCTCTATTGTATGTATTTCCGCCTCCTACCACGCAATTATTGAATAACTGGCTTTCTTTCTCTCTTGTTCTCTCATTCTCTCTCACTGCTTTTATGTTGGAAGCAAGTGGTTGGCCGTTTACTTGATCTAAAAGGTCAGTTGTCGTCCTCTGGTGAGACGATCGAAGGGAAATTCACGTGGCGAGATCTTGAAGCATCACCTCCCGTACAGGACTTTTCTCACTCTCCGCAACCAAAACCTGGCTAACCGACTGGGTTGGCAAGCAAACCCTTCGTACTCACCGCCAAAGTACGATCACAAACTGGCGCCCAAACAAGGACTGAGAGGAGGAAAGTCGAATGAGTGAGGGAGTCCCTCGCGTTAGGAGTCTGTGATAAGCAAATCTCGTCATAGTCGCCCAGAAATACAAGCTCGACGACCAGAGGGCCGCCGACGATCTTCGAAACTGGCTACGTGCCTACCTGGGCAGGATGGAGTCGGACAACCTCGCTCCCACCTTAGAATCCCCGGACGTCATCATGGGGAGGGATCAGGCAGTGGAGAGGACACTATGACAGTGACAAGGGGTGGGGTGGTTTTGACGATATCGCTAGATATACGCCTTCAAAACTTTGCTCTGGGAGGCGATCATAGGGGCACCATCGCGTTCCCCCGTACCTGAAGAGGATTGTCGGGTCCTACCTAAGCGATAGATGGACTAGTTGCACCTACCGAGACGGAGTTATAATGCGGACGAGGGTTGTACGCGGTGTTCCGCAGAGATCAGTTCTGGGACCCCTGCTGTGGAACATCGAGTGATGGCTAGAGGAGAGTGCTGACGGGCCGCCTCATGTCTTGGAGGTCCAATTAAGAATAGGGAAGGGGTAGGGGAAAGATTAAGAAAGGGAAAAGAGTGGGAGACACGTGAATCTCGCGGCTACGGACCGTTGTGTGGCTCCGCCAGCTTGAATTAGTTGACAGAACCACACGAACAAAACGGTCTATTGGGCATGGCGCCTCGTCGCTTCGACCGCTTGCCTCCTCTCCTCTGGCGGTCTCCCAGCCTCCTGGAGCTCCCTCGAATGCCGGAAAACCAGCTGATTTCTCCAAGCTCCAGGAGCTCCAGAGGTGAGAGACACGCCAGAGTAGTCGCCGTCTCGTAGATGATGCGATACCCTCTAATCACCTGGATGACCAGCCGACGGTTGACGTGGCGCAGCATCTCCGTACTGCACCGGCTGGCATCCAGCTCCGGGGCCCAAACTGAAGCCCCGTAGGGGGCAATTGAAAGCACCACCTCCACATAGAGGCGACGGACTCCAATATCGGGCCCCCCGATATTCGAGAGAAGGTGGCCTAAAGCGGCAGTCGCCTTCTCCACCAGCTTAGGGGGGGGCCAAGCAGTCGAAGTGCTCGACGAAGCGCCACCGGCTGTCGAGGGTCAGGCCCAGATACTTCGTCTGGGCCTTCACCACGTCGTAGGCTGTCCTAACTCGAATCCACAGGCCGGCCGGTGGCACCCCACGGAGGTCAAGTCTTTGAAAGAACATGACCTCCGTTTTCTGGGGTGCCACCTCTAAGCCCAGCCTTCGGATTTCGGCGACGACGATGACGGTTCAGTAATCGAAGCCACAGTGTTCTTTGGTGAACCTCGCCCTCTGCTACAACCTTTCCCTGGTACTGTGGAAACTCGTTTCCTCAGTACCACACTCCTTCCACCCCCACCTCCCTTACAACATTTATACTTACATTCTAACACAATCTGTAGAAACAATCTTCTTGGTGTCTTTGTTAATCCCACGATGCTTTCCTAAAACATACACACTCACATACAATAAATACAACTCATACAAAACAAAAAAATATGAGATGTTTTCTTGAAACATAAAATCAGATAATAAATAACTAATTATGAAATAGATATTTCCTTAAAAGCGATTAAGATCAAATCCATATACCATTTCCAATTCTATTCTTCTATACTTCTATACTCTGTAAAAAGAACTTGTTCAAAAGATTAGTAGCTAAAATGATAATACATCAGTGTCATAGTAAAATTGTATAGATCATAGTAAAATTGATATCATAAAATTAATATTTGAATTAAATGTTCCACGCACAAAAATTGAAATTCATCTCAGTGTTAAGATAAATATCGAATAGATTGAAAATTTTATTCATTCGTTACCGTAGATTTTATTTTTCGTTTCGTTTTTCAAATAAAATTAATGATTGCAAAATTGAACAATTAAAAAATTTTCTTTTTATTAAATACGTGAATTAAATTTCATTCTCGATATACAGTGATAGATGTTTATAAGAATATACATATACTTTAAATAAGAAAACAGCGTTGAAGACACTTGAAAGAAGTTTTCAAGACGTATGTTACAATAATTATATTTCACTGTATTAAAAGCTAAGTTAGATTCTGAAATTGATGATATGAAATATCGAATTGTAATTTGCATAGAATTTTAATGCAAGCATTTTATTTTCCATCGATTGAAACAATGATCACGAACAAACTTTGATCTATGCAAAGAATTCCGAATACTTAAAAAAATATTTTATTTCATTTTATTTGTAAAATGTAACTTTTTTTAGTAAATCATCGCCAATCCAAAGTTGTAGAATCGTGCTGTAATGGTCGACATGTAATTTCTTTACTATACAAGGTGTTCGGCCATCCTTGGGAAAAATTGTAATGGATGATTCTAGAGGCCAAAATAAGACAAAAATCAAGAATACCAATTTGTTGATTGAGGCTTCGTTAAAAAGTTATTAACGTTTAAAATTCCGCCTGTAGAACGGCAATTTGTCGATCACAACAGGTTGGTCCCAGTGGTTCTCACTCAACATGGAAAACTCTACCTACTGACGTATCGAGAACCTTACAGTTTTCTAAGTGAGAACCACTATCACGCGTACGCAGCTGTTCGCAGATTGTCATTCTACAGGCGGAACTTTAAACGTTAATAACTTTTTAACGAAGCCTCCATCAACAAATTGGTATTCTTGATTTTTGTCTTCTTTTGGCCTCTAGAATCAGCCATAAAATTTTTTCCAGGCGTAGCCGAACACCCTGTATACGTGATATCTTTACGTTGCTCCTTCCACTACACACAAATATGCACATATTAAAACAAAACTACAAAATCTAAAACGGAAAAAATTTGATAGCTGGTTTATACATTTTTATTTTTCGTATAACATGAAGTAAATTTATAATTATCTATGAATTCCTGTTGTTTTCAAAGCCTGACAAATTAAAATTTGCTCTTGTTTCATTAATCAAATTTGGCACTAAACGACTTTACGTAATTCCTTAGTGCCTCAAGTCGACTTTGCTCGTTAAAAAATTTATTCATATACCAAACAAGAATCATGTACGTTTGTCAAACCATGTAAATTACGTTCTACAAATACAACTGAAATTATTATAAATATGTTAAAGCAACCTTGGAGGAGGATAAGAAACAGCTTGCTTTTTGATGTACATAATAAAGAAAAAATTTATACAATCAATTACAGTATCATATAAATAGTAACGACTATACACAAAATACAAGTATTATAATATTTTTACGCGTGTAGTAAAAAACATCATTTTGCGCTATACTACACTTACATGGTACTTAACGGTAATATATACAGTACTCTTTCCCGTCCTTATGGGAGTAGACGCTGAACATCTAGTTCGTAAAACTCAACGAGTCCAAATGTAAAAATAGTTCCATGACCGTAACATCGAGACATTGACTATTTACCAAACATGTGACAGTTATAAAATATTAGGATATTTATCACAGTCCATGGACTTTATAAAAATATATCAGAAATAAATTCCGAACTCAACTGGTACTTTTCTGAAATTCACTGCTAATGCCATTACTGCAAAAAAGTTAAAACCTTCGTGCACCTTTTTTCTCATTAATTACATATTTTACGACAAATAATTCTAACAAATGTGTCTTTATATAAATAAATTGGGCAACCAATGTTCTATTGTTTTGTAAGATATTTTTATATTTTTTATTTGTCCATGGACTGTGCTAAGAAGATGCTGTTCGCCTCGTCAGAAGATCAAAAGACCGTTTCATAGAAATCAAACATTGGAACGGTGACACTGAAACCTTAAAAATCTAATATAAGTTAAAAATCGAGATACGAAGTACTGCCAGAGCATCCGTAATTACGCGCAAGAACGCACTTCGAGTGCTAAATGAAGAATTACAAAAATATCATCTATGGATTTTTTCTTATCTCTCACACCAAACATTGAGAAAATTTTTGTATTTAATGGTCCTTTTCATGAGAAGGCACATTACTTAAATAGATATTTTGCAGAAGTGTTAATGAGGCACGAACTTCGGTGAATCCTTGTAAAGAATTAACAACATTTCGTTTATATTCCTTGCAATCTTTCAATTTGAATCATCGTGTCAATTGAACGAGAATATTACTGATCAATTCTTTGTATTCTCGTTAACGTTAAAGGCAATTAAACTGATTATTGGACACGAGAAAAGATTGCAAAGAGTACATTTCATTATTAAATCCACAAGGACTTCAAATATAATTGACGCTTATGTTTCATGAAACAATACTCTTCCAAATATTATATTTAAATTATCAACAAGTTACATACATACTATTAAATCCATACAATCGATCAATTTGTTTATTGTATTGATTGGTAATATTTTGTGTGTAAAAATAGTATATTGTATCTCTTGTACCTTTACACGCATCACATATTTATTTTCTGCGACACAAGTTTTAACTAAATCTGACAATTTGACACCTTAATGTTTCTTTTATAATATGGCAGAAATAAATTTTATTAATTTTATAACTTAATCATTCAAAATTTAATCTTTGCGCAAGAAAATTTCAAAATGATTAAACTAATATAAAAGTAACTTTGTCATACCACAATTATCATAATATTTGATTAATGTTCAGAGAAAGAAAAATTTATATATTCAGAGAGATTTTATTTACAATCGAAATAAGAAACTATTTAAATTCTTTGTGGTTACCGAGAGAAATACTTCAAACTATGATTTGCTTTTCACTTTTTTTAACGATATGACAAATATCTTCCAAATCTTGTGATATGTTCCTTTAATAAACTGCTCTTTGAGCTGAAATATTTACAAATATTTCTTTTATACTATGGATAAAATGTAGTTCTAGATATAGTATTATAATATGCTAGAAACAGTTATTGTGCATCCAAAAACATTACGACACAGAAAATAGTGATTTTGATTTTGTACCAATATTCTATTTTTATATTTATTATGAATCGCACAATCGTTCACGCTGCTCGATAATCGAATATTTTAAGAAGATTTACATTATTATAAATCACATATACGATTAATATAATTGAAAAACATATAAACGGCTATACGAATACTTCAGACCTGTGGTCGAATTAATGAAATATACTTCGTATTTAATAAAAACATAAACATTTATGCATTTGAAATGTAGACATCAGAATAGATTATAATCTAAGTGATCAACTACATATTTGAATGTAAATTTTTATAAAGTCAGCAATTACAATAAGCGTATAATTGGAGAATTAAACAAAGTAATAGCAATGTAATGTTATAGTAATCGCCATTGCAAATTAGTCTGCCAAGGCCACTCTGCCTATATCGCTGCCTTTTTTGTTTCGAGCGTTGCACAGAAAAGTGAAATAGACATCGGTATAAGCAGAATAGCTTCGATATGCCAGTCGAGTGGCGTTTACTATAATAAATTATGACTTTTTACAACTATTTCATATTACATGGTAGATTATTTAGAAGAAGTCTCGATATTAACGCGTTTCAAATCTAATTTTCTTTCACCATATCATCGTATAATCCCTTTGAAAATCTTATTCTAATGCAATTACACAGTTATAAAAAAGAAATAAACATACTACAATATACATTTGCTTTTAACAGAACTACAATTTCCAGTGGCACTATACCGTACACAATTCTAATGAGAGAAATGAAAATCAAAGCAAATTAATCTGAATAAAGATAACAATAATGAGGATGATGAAGCCATAGTGAATTATTGCAATTTACACTCATGAATTAAAACTGCAATGGTATTAAACATGGCAGTTGAATTAAAGCTTATGTAAGAAATGTATAGTTAATATTAATTTAATGAATTAACGTTGCACATTTCTTTTTTTCTCTTTAACGGAGCACAAATTGTCTCTAACGCTCTAATAAATTCTAAATGTACCTTATACGATAAAATTAAATGGCACAAAAATAATATTCGTACTTTCATTTCTTATAAAAGGTGTATCATAGTAAGATTTGTATTATAGCACTGGAAATCTAATGTCCTTTTACTTTCTGTAAATCCAATTCCATCTGTCTTCCTGAGGCAAGCACTTGAATTATCTGAATGTCATATATCAAAATTAACGATCGATACGGTATTAAATACGGTACATCGTTAACATATAGTTGTAACTTCTTAAAGAATAACTGGCAATGTACATTTTCCTTATAAAACACATGTGGTTCTGTTGGCACATGGCAAGTAGAACATTTTAATTCATATATAGTAATTTACAGACGGCATCTTTCTTGTGTCTGCCCTTTACATGAATATTTTACACATTCGTGGATTTCCAAGATCAACACTATGATCATATTATAAAAACTCATCTTTCCATAAACGTTTCCGATCCTCTCTACTTTTTCATGTAGGCTTTTCATTGACGCCAAAGAAAAAGGTATGACTCAATTGCACATTATCATACCCTGCACTTCAAAGCTCGGATTTGTCCTGCATGACTTCCTCTGAACAATTTCTGAAGGATAAACAAAGTAAAGTCAAAAAGACTATGGAAACATATAGAACAAATTCAACTGCATCAACTCTTATGTCACAAATACGCATGTCTACTTCATATTTCCGAGTTAACCGAGTTAATGAAGAGATTTATACAAAACAAATATCGATAATGAACAAGATAAAAATGTTTTGTTGTTTTATGATCAGAAAATGTAGCAAGCATGACTATTTTGCAATTTATCGACACAGAAAAATGCAAAGGAAAACAAAACCTAGAATAATTTAATAAATATGCATTAGCTAAGCTTAAACATTAAATTAGTTGTTATAACGACTTTCTGATCAATGCTGTAGGCACTAAATAGACACCATTATTAGTATCGTTTTTATAATATTCTATGTTAGCATTAGGTACTTATGAATCATCTTGATTACAAACTTTAGATACAACATGAATTGTGATAAACAATATAGGTACTTCCTTTTCATAGAAACGTATGTACATACAAGTGATACCAACGAAAAAAATAAGATCCAAGATCAAAAGCAATTAAGTGCAATCTTGACACTGCTTTTGCGAAATATGCAAATTTTATAATTTGTTACAGCGAACTCTGACCAACATGAATATTTTAATCCATAACGTAAGTTACAACGTATTATCCATAAATCTTCATTCAAATTTTTTCAGATGAAGCAACAACCTTCTTCAACACATTTATATAGTATTTAGTAATAATAACTTTAGAATATTCTAAATGTACATACAATAAGAAATTTAAGTCCAGTCTCTAGAATCGTTCAAAATTAAGCGACTTACGCATCCGCATATTGGTATACCTATACCAATATGTGAAAGATAGTTTACGTATATGGATCTTACATGAGTTTATAAATATGTTTCGGAAGAAAAATAAACTCAAGATGAAAGAAATTCAACGCACATTAACAATGAGAAAGTTGACCAAATGTGGTTATGCAATAGTAGCAAAAACAAAAATGCATTGCTTCTGACACTAATTACAACCTTCTTAATGGAGTCATAGTGAGGGAACTGCATTTGGCCTTTCGTGTCGGTTGAACCGACATGGGTGCTACTAGAACATCATCTCTAGATGGCGAACTTGAACCACTATTACCCAGCTCCTGGAAAGATATACGAATATCCATGTATCCTATTCATATAAACAATTCTGATAGAAAATACTTGAAGCAATTGAAAAAATGAAAAACAATCATCAAACAAGGAAAACTTCAAACGTATAAATAACATCTAACTTATGCTAAATTATAGTTCGTAGAGAAAGGAAAGATAATTTATAAATCATGCAATTTCATAAAAGTAATGAAGAAAAAAGTACTAGTAGACGTAGTTTTTATCAGTGCAAATATATTTTACAAAAAAAAAAAAAGTATAAAAAATACACAAAGAGATCCAGCCTGTTTGAGCTTTTTTCTGCAAACCGTAACAAAAACAAAAATATAAACGAAAATACTCTGTCGATATAAAATGCCTGTATAAGAGCAAAGTTAATCGTATAAGAATATAAATTTTCAACATCTGTAGAATCCATTTGAAGGATATCACTCATTAACAATATAAATATAGATTGCTTTATTTAATGTGTGACTCAAAGTATTTTGATCCAGTCGAAACACTGTGTGACATCACATTCCTAAAATGAATTTTGCCTGTGAGAAATAGGACTCTATTAACCCTCCTCTCTACTCCCTTTCACGAGAGAAGACGTTAAAAGGTTATTTTTTTTATTTCAAATACATTCTTAAATGGAACGTTAATGAACTGTTTTATATAAACTACGTAATTTAATAAATATCCAGTAAGATAAGGCACTATAATAACGTAATATACTTACATGATAGGAAATAAAAATTTATCCATTAATATTGCATCAGCATAAACACAAAATTTACAATTAATCTTGTGCCAGTACAAAACATAGCAAAAAAGAAAACACACACTATGGATGAATCAATATAACTCGTGAAATAAAAGATTAGAAAATGTATTAAGATGAACATAAGAGATTAATATATTATAATGTATGTACAATAAATTAATCTTTTAAGCATATTTATGATGCTTTAAAATGAACAAACGAAAACGGAATATGTTAATTTAATTAGATGTTTTAAAATATATGCAAGAATACAATATCAAATTTACAATCTCATATTCTTAAAATATATACAAGAAAGAATAATATTAAAAGCAAATTGGTTAATTTTTTAGCCATGCATTTAAGCGGATTCTCATCAAGAATGGACAAAAATCTTGATATAAACAGAAACGGTTGTGATTTCGAGTTAAATAGAAATTATTGGAAAAGAGATTTTCAGAAAGTAAGAGTGATTTTGAATGGTATTAAAGAGATAACAATCTCCTGTCGTGAAACGAAAGTAACCAGAGAGAAATAAATAAAAAAAAAAAGCGTAAGCACAGCAAAAGAAGAATACATGCGGTAATAAACTGTCAACTAACATTAATATTGTTGCAACTAGCAAGCCGCATCTGTGCAAGTTGTTGACTTGCTGGAGTAAGGCTGTTAGTTGATCCAAATGGCGACATCATCGTTGACATTGCTCTTTTCAATTTACTCGGGGTTTTGTTAAAACTAAACGCTCTGCCAACTTTCATCCTTGTGCGAGATGCAAACCTGAAGAAAAATATTCATTAAAAATTTATTTATATTTAATTCTGCGGAAAGATCAAAAGCAACATCGAAATTTTATTTCCCCCTAATAGTTTATTAAGTTCGTTCGACTATCTAAAATAAAGTAATTCCCCTTGAGAGTTTACGCTAATAAACAGGAGGAAATAAATTTTCCAACCGACAAAGGAATTAGCAAACATAAAATTGAAGAAAAATCCCAAACCTTATTAAACCAGTTCAAGTAAATATTATACTATAACTGTTAATTTGAATGTTCATGCCAAAGCTAAATTACAATTCATAAAATTTTGTCCATGCTGAACTACAAAAAATAATTACGCCATATCTGCCAATCTACATTGTAAATATATGAACGCGCAAATGGGATTCAATTTTAAAACTGAAAACTTTTAAATAATTACTGCAACCTTTTTTTACATTTTATAAAATAAAAGCAGAAATGACTAGAACACATTTGTTATACGGATTTACAAGATATACTAACATTTTAATCAGATATATATTAAATATTTTAATCGACTAATGTTAATGATCTAAATCAGGCTGATATTAACAATATTACGCTTGAACTGATCAAATTGTTTTCGCGAAACAATTTAATTTTACATATACTCGACTTCATGAAATGAAACCGAGTGATCTAAACAAGCAAGGAACAAAGGATTAAAGCAAGTAAAAAAAATATAATCAGCCTGGTGCGAAAACTGACGGTAGTGGGACATGTAACGTGGTTTCACACATGCTATTGAGTAGGAACACATACGGGTCCATATACTCCAGGTAAAAATTATGAAATAGGCTCCTGCAACCAAACGAGTCGTCGCCCCATTATTTTTTGTTAACATGCAATACAGGAGAAAAACGGTTTAGAACACCTAATATTTTTCCTTTCACAGCTGTACGTATTGCTCGTAAGAATATGAATTCCATTTAACATATATCTGTGTAAATTTATGTAAAGGGTGTTCCGTAATTCATGATGCAAATTGGGTCAAATGGATCGTATGACTCAAAATAAAACAAAAATCAAGAATAACGTAATTGAGTGGGAGACTTCTTTTTCGAGAAAATTGAATTTAAAATGAATTTACTATTAGAATAATAAAAAACTATTTAAAATAATAAAATGACTGCATTAATTTCATTGGTCGTGATAAACCTAACATCTTTGGATTTTTATCTGCAACGAAACGTGGAAAGAATAGTTGATTCTGATAACATCACACGTTTGGCATATTTCAAATAACAAACTATCGTAGCACTTGAACAAATAAAAACTTCTGGCACGCAACAAGCAAATATAACAAAAAATTTAATTAAAAGACTACAACTTTGCATACTGGAAATCGGGTAACACTTTGAACAATATCTAGATTAAAAATAATAAACTAAATTTAATGAAAGATACAGTAATTATGATACTACCCTAAGTTCTGACATTATATCATGTACACAAATGATCACAACAGCTGTCTGTAATGATCAGTTATTAATTAAGTACACGTATACTAGACTGATATTTAAATTCAATTTTCACGAAAACGAAGTGTCCTACAAAATTTCATTATTTTTGATTTTCGTCTTATTTAAAGCCATAAAGTCTATCTGACATGGTACCAATTGATGGTACCATGAATTATAGAACACGCTGTATATATGATTTCTTCAAAACATTCTAAATATGAATATCATTTAAGAGCTTACAGTTTAGTAAAACTTAGTAATAATGCAACAAAGCTAATCTAAGAGAACAGAAATGCTAAATACTAATTATTTGCCCATATTGTGCGTAATAGAATTTCAACTTTTCTAAATAATATAATCGTATACTTTAAAACATTCCTCTACAAAACTGTAAGTACTACCCTCATGATATATGATGTAATTTAATATTTAAAAATATACAAGGTGAGTTACCTAAAACTAGAATTTAAAGAATAAGGATATATACAGGATCGTAAAAATTCTTTTTTCCGTAATCACAATTTTCAAAGTTTTATGGTTTTTAGTTTTTTTTTTTCTTATACTACATATCGTATAGTTTTATTGAAAAATTCAAAAGTAGAATACATTTTAAGTTGTACTAAATAGAAAATGAAACCTGTATGTCACATTCAAGTTCTTAAAAAAAAAATTTGAATTATCTTAAAACTTCAAGAACTATTGCTCTAAGGAAAAATGATTATTACTATATTATGAACCATTTCGAAATCGGTATTTTTGTCTTTAAATCTTGTATGCCTAATCAAAAACAACAAGATATATTCTAGAGTCTAGTATTAAATAACTCACTTTGTACATGTAACATATAATAAATAAAAAAATGTACTTAAAGTTATGAGAGAAACACAATCATTTACAATATTAAAACTGTACAACAGATTCAGTTTAACCTTGGACTACTTACTTAAATGCTTTACTTAATGTTCCTAATGCTACATCACTTGTGTCAATTTGAAGCTGATGCGAATCAAGACTGATCAGGAACGTATCCTAAATATAAAAATAAAATAAAGCCATAGCCAATTAGTGAGTAACGAAATACTATTAGTATAACGATAATGAAATAAAATGTATTAAAATGAACATATGTTAAATAAATACTATGACTTACCGCATCAGCTTTGCATACTGTATTAGCCATTTGTCTGCACAAAGTCCGTAAATAATTTGTCTTATTTACTTCTTCGTCAGTGATTGTAAATGAAAACAGTTTTTCTTTTAACTCTTGATTACTTCTCACCGTTAAAGCAAATACTTTATGACATTCTATATAATATACAAAACAAATAATGTTTATACCGTATAATTAATTTATAGTACATATAAATAAAAATTGTCACAAATTCTATCCAAGTTTATATATACGTGGTTATTATTTGTAAAAAAACAAAGTAACCAACAGATTATAATGGAAATTTTTAACAAAACGGATATTTAAACTAAATAATACAATCCAATTAAAATTTTGAAACATTGTTAACAATATTATTGACTTACCGTCAGTTTCTCGTATATCAACAACCTTTTTTATTGTACTTAATGATAACATCTTGATATGTTTATATGGTTTGCCTTGACTTAATTTAGCTGTATGAAATCCATTTGCTGTATTAGGACTCTTTAATGAATTAAAGGCTTTTGACCTTTTCTTACATATTTCAAGTGTATCAGAAAACAGGAACAAAACTAAATGATCACCACGCCCGCTTAAACCTTCACTAAGTTCCATCACATCACATTTTCCAATAAATGATCGATGTGAAGAAACTAAATGCGGTGGACAGTTGTCAATTTCATTGAAAATGTCGAACATAACTAATTGGCCCTCAGTTTTTCTTTTATCTTCATTTATATACGTCATGACTTCCTTAATACTGCTAATTGACAATTCCAATGCGCTGTGATCTGGATTATTTTTATTTGTATGTTTAAGGATATCTGCAACACACATATTATACAATGTCACAAATATTAATTAACTTTATTATTATTATATTTAACGAAACAATTATAATTAACACACTTACCATTTAATAATAAACTAATACTGGGTAACCTTTGTACTGGCTTGATCAATAACTCCTTTAAACTTTGTCGACCACATTCAGGTTTTGTCTGACAAACTTTCAGAAAAGCGTGAAATCTTGGTTTGTTTTGATCACACTGATCGAGCATCTCCTTTGTATTTTCGAAGAAATTGACATACGATGGGTATGCCTTGACTAAGTCAGGTGCAAACTTCAGAAATATATTACCTATGCTAATGTCCTCCATCCAATGTGTAGCACTATATTTTAATTCTTCTAACATTTTTTTATGAACTTCATAAATGGGTGGAAAATTACCAAATATAATTTTAGCTTCTGTGCCATTTAATAACTCGCCACTTGTATCTATGAGATCTTCTAATGGTGACTTAAACAACTAAAAAGATAAATTAAATCGCATCTCGTTTCCACGTAATATACATAAAAAAAAAGAATTCTTACCGTCATAATTGTACTGAGAATGCCAACGTAATTTGATTCCGTTTGTACTAATTCTAAAAAAACTTGATGTCGGGGTGATAAATTTTTCCTAGAGGTATCTGTGTTAACAGCTTCCACTTCTGGAATATCTGATAGTTATTAATAATTCAATTTTATATTATCTTCCCCTTCGTATGGTTCATATAACAAATTACCAATCGTTAGCAATATTAAGTTGGAAAATTTGGATTATATGTACTGTTAGTTCAATAATGTTACAGATAAATATGCAAAATATATCACTTTATTGAACACATGAACCACAAGGGAAGGGAAGATGTAGTAGGGCTGTTAAAAAGACAGTAAAATATTATATAAATGACAAGTGATAATCATAAAAATTCTTTAAAAAATAAAATAATAGACTTACATGAAAAAAGACATAATAAGCTATGTATCTTAGAACAAAATAACTAACCATCGAGTAATGGTTTATCTGGACTTGCTGTGCAATCAAGGAAACTTCCACTAACACTTAAAAGTCCTGCATCACTGATACTGGATCGTCTCTTATGCAAGGCTGGTGAATCTGCACCATTCTGAACCAAACTAGATAAAGTTTCTGCTAAACGTTTACGTTTTCGTCTTGTAGACGCTGTACTCGGAGTTGTAGTTTGTTGACTATCTCGTCTAGCTGATATAGTTGGCGATAAAACAGACTCCAAGTACTGGACACAAAATAAACTATTAAACAAGAAATTTATCCAATAATCTTAATAAACTTACATCTTCGAATAAATACTCCTTCTCATCAGCTGCGCCCTCATTTTGTACAGATGTCCAAAACCATTCAGCTTTTACAATATGAGCTCTCACAGAAGCTAAATCCGGTAATGCATTTACATTTGATTCATCCACAACCTAAAATAAGTAGAATTTATATGCAATTAATACGTAATTAATTTATGTTTTCCTAATAGTTTAAACAAAGACAACAGATACATTTGAAACATATAATAGACTTAATGTTTTGTTAGTTCCAGTAATACTATTACAATAGGAAGTTTGTAGTGATACGATATGTTGCGCAAGGTAAAATATAAATATTTATGAATTAATGATTTATACTACTTATATAAATGTCCTACAGTAACTACTATAGGTCTGTAAATATAGAGTGATACGTTACGAAGATAGTAAAAAAGACAAAGACATATAACAATTTACTATATTTAAATTGTTAAATTATACTTGATCTACATGTAACACATACATTCATTAACAAATACTTTGTTTCTACGTTTGTATTTAGTATTTGAATACTTTCACTTCACATCTTAATTTTTATAATATTCTTATAACAAATTAAATAAACAATCAATTAATCTGTACTTCCACAACCTATAAAATCCCATCAAAAAAAAAAAAAGATACCGAGGATACTGGTTTGTCCTCCTGTTTCTCCTGTTTTATATGATCATCTTTCAGAGTGCAAATTTTAGAAGAAACCTTTGTATATTTTCCATGTGACATAAGATTATTTCTTGAGCCATGTTCAGAATTTGATAATTTTGCTACCTTTTCAAGTGCAGGAAAAGGACAATATAAAGGAGTATACTTTTGTTTTTTATGATTGTCTGGAATTTGGGAGCACGAACTAACAAGTACGTATTGTTTAAACATGGGAGACAATTTTAAACGATTAAATTTCGATAAAATGGATGAATTTAATTTACATGTACTTAAGAAACTTCTATTACATTTTGTTGGTGTAGGTGAACTATCCAAAAGAGAATCATTGAATTCTGAGTCATATTGATTTAATAAATTAGGATGAGAATGCATTCTTTTTAATTTTAATTTGTCTGAAGAATTTATTCTGTGAATCATAATACAAGACTTAACTTTTCGCCATTTAATATACCGTTTAGGAGTTACAATTTTCCTCTGATGGCAAAAAGAATTTTGTGTACACTGTATATTTTTACAAAATTTCAAGACATGATCTTCACTATCAGGACAGTGTTTGTTTATATGTTGAGTAATTCTCTTCTTACATAGTGTTGATGACTTCAAATTATGTAGTTCTGATCGAGTACATATATTTTCACTTGAAAGAACATCAGATATTTTATTTTCTGATTTTTTATCATTGTGTACTACTGAGGATGAAAACGCAGAATGCATATCTAACATAGTAGATGTTACCGGAAAATTAGATTGTTGTGGCAGAGTTAATTCATTTGCTTGTATTATATTATGCAGATATTTTGTCGTAGACATATCAATGCCAGAATCAGTTCGTGCTATAGATAATTCAGACATATTATGAAACTCGTCTGTCAAATTTGTATAATTATATAAATTATCATCCATTGAAATGGCTGAGTCTTGACTTATATTGTCTGGTAGAGAGTGATTAAATTTACTTTCTTTATTTCCAAAATACTGTGGCATAGGAGAACAAAAATATGAGAATCGTCTAGTATTCAAATTTTTTGACTGTGGAGAATTCGTTGTTTTCATCTTAGGGATCGTATTAGTATATGGATTGTAAAAAATAAAGGAAAATGGTTTTGTTTTTGTGTAGTGGTATGGGATATAATTGGGATTTTTAGTACAAGGTAGCATGTCAAATGCATTGTTGAATTTCTTATACTCATGAGTTCCTATGTTTGTTACCTAAAGAATTTAATGTCCTCTTATATATTAGATGTTTATGTATATGATGTTAATATTATACACTGCAAATAATATGTATTAGTTATGAAATATTTTATTATAAACTTACCACATGTGTACAATTTGGATCATCAATTTCTGTAGATTCACCACCTTGTTGTTGAAGAACTTCACACATGTGACGTTTTTCTTCGTCAGGGAAACCAAAGAAGCATACTTTTGCACCAAAAAATGGTTTTAATTTATAAGTTGTGATCTGTATAAAAATTATGTTTTCATCATATTAAGCGTAAAATTTAAAAATCTGGTAAAACTCTATTGCATACTTTCACACTTTCTTCATTTGTATCGCATACTTAAATAAGAAAAAACTAAATTATCACATAATGATTGTTATTAATAAAACTATTACCAGATCTTCATTATTTCCATAGTTAGAAATATCGTCTTTGGCATTCCATAAAGCTGTTACCCAATCCATTGACATTATAGGCACCCGAAATGTAACAGCATATCTATACTTATCACCGCCACAACAATTAGCAATGAGATGCGTCACCTTTGCTCCCATCTCCTTTCTAATACTTCCACCCATATTATGAATCATGTTGATCAACTTGGTCTGAAATAATAAAATTAACATTATAAAACTAAATTTTAATTTAATTCATTTTATAATATATTAAATATAAATTCATGTTTTGATACTAACCAATTCATCCTTTTTTCTAAATCCAGTAAATACTACTACCGTGCCTACCATAGCTTGTGTATACATTGGTCTATTAATACTAGGTAGCGAGTCCTTCCTTTCTGCCAACTGCAGAAGTGCCGTCGGTCCCAATATTCTACAATTTGTTAAATTAAAACAACCAAAAGTCAGATCCTTTTGATTATTTTTTAACAAATTAGAAAGTACATGAAGTTAATTTCAACAAACCTATGGGCACTTTTATGAAGATCATCATATTCAGGTCCCTCAAATTGTTTCAATACGAAGTAAGTACAATATGTTGTATCTTCTATATATTCTAAACCTGTTTCCGATTTAAGAACAGGCACACAAAACTGCTGGGCAGCTACGCCCAGTGCAGCATCGTCGCAAGTTTCACCGATCAGGCATATCCTTTTTTTGCGTGGTATAATCACAGCTGAAATTAGAACGATAAGGTAAACAATGTTATAAATTTCTGCACTGACATATTACTGTTACTTAGCGACTTATGTTTCACAATACAAATTGCAATTTGTCATTGAACTTAAAATGCCATTAGGCAGCATTCTATGAGTCATTATCTGTGGGTCAATGTTCATGAATCTTGACCAACTACTGATATATGAATAAACAGCGAGTTTGTGATACTCTTTATTTATCTTTTGAAGTTTCATTTCTGATAAATAGAATCATAGAAACCATCAAAGGTCTAAAAGTATAACAGCCTCTCTATTGGCTTAACAGCTTTACATTAAGTCAGATTTTATTTAACACAAAAATGGATAAAACACAATATTTAAAACCTATGCCCTAGCACAAATTAGATTGATTCATAACAACACGAATAAAATATTCAATCTCGAAAAATTCTCATTAAATTAAATTATATTCAAACTTTAAAATTTCTTCTATATTCTTATTTTTCTCTATCCAATGCATATTTCTTTGTTATTGTATACTATATTTTAATTCTATTTTATTAATTACACTTGATAGATTTATCTATTATTCTCTATGCTCTTTTCTAAGTCACTTATATTAGCATTGAAATGGTAAAGCATGCTCTAACACTTTAAACAAACACGAATCTACCGGAAAGGATATCGTAAATCAAGCAGAATATTCTTTCTATATTCTTATGATACAGAATTTCACAAACAGAATAAACAAATTTATATTATTAAAAATATTTAAACCAAACAATCTAAACATTTTTAAACAATTTTGCAAACATCTCACATAGATTGACACGAATATTCTCATAATTAAAATCAAACAAATTTTATAAGCTTAAATTATTGCAAATAAAAAATATAATAAAAAACAATATTGTAGAATTTCAATAATCCATACAACAATATACACTATTTATACAAGTCAGTATTGCTTTTTGCAACACTGTTTTCATATATTATATATTTTAATAATAAATCGTTAAATAAATATTAGAAACATTTCACATAAATAATATGCTAAGTTTAAACAACAATCATAGTTAAAAGGAATAACACAAGTTTGAAGCGACAATTCATAAATACTCACAACTGACAGTAAAGGAAATCCTTTTGTATTTACAGCAAGCATTGCAGGAAATGCCTATTGTTATATACCTAATCTCACTTCACATAATAGATACCAAGCAACCCTCTTGTTCCTCCTACTTTCTCATTTTAAACCCCCCCATAAAGAATGACTAATTCAAAACAAAGATATATGAACACAAAAGTATCTGAAGTGAATTCCACATTTATTTACTAGTCACTAATTATACTAAATTTATTGCCAAAAATGAATATACCGATAAAAAATAAAAAAATTATTATGGAGTCTATGATATTTTATAACAAGTAATATTTTCTTGTATGATGCTAATTTATTCAAACATATGATCAACCTTTAAATTACGTGAGAGTAAACGATAACGATACTGTAAACATCAAACAAAAATACAACATACATACTACAAAAAAAGCTCATAAAGGTACTTCGAACTGATAAATTGTTCGTTTCTGACGTAATTTTGGAGAATAAGCCAAGGCCGACTTTATAAGAAACCGTTGACAATTCATTCTACGTAAAGTTTAAAACATAATACGAAAATGTATAGCGAAAGTAACGGATATTATATCTTGGTTAATCTACGGATCAGGATGGATGACAGATACATATAAGACACAAGTATTGTCGTGTGAGTTTTGATAAAAGGTGAGGTAGGGTTAGTTTGTGCAAGTGCCTAATAGATGTGCATCGTTAACATCATATGTTGGATCTTAAACACAACTTTAAAAAATGACAACACTGACAGACTTACGCTCACTTCTAACTGCCTCTTCACTATTTATATCACTGATACTGCTATGAACGCTTTGCTCTTCCATTTTGGCCGTTAGTTACAACATCGTTTCACTCGTACGTTCTTCTTCGTACTGATTATTGGAAGCGCCTCCTATAGGCGAATCCAGTGAGAGAAAGGACCCGGAAAAATAAGGGAGATCGGTGGGGTTTAATGGCGCAGTGTATAGCGCCCTTGGTATAGATGAAATCCGAGTTCGAATCTTGAACAGGTCCCCCACGTGAATCTTTTTTTACAGATCCTACAGCAGACATAAGAAACCTCAGCATTGTGTATGTGCGCTTGCGCACGCGTAATGAATACATTCGCGTTTGTACTATGTGACGTGCCAAAATTTGAAAACTTTTCGTTTCATTTAAATTTAAATGAAACTTTAATTTCTTTGTTTCACTGCCATTCCCTATACTAAATATTGACAATACCTTAATAGATTACAGAACGTCGAAAATTTGTTTTCAAAGAACAATTATAATTTCAATCGGTTCAAAGTATGTTGATGCAATTAAGTATTTATTCTTATAGAAAGTAATCCATAATTATTAGATTTTAATGAATCATAATATTTTTATAAATCAATAAAATATTTTTTATCCCTGATATCCCAGAGACAGATAAACAGAAACAGATGAAGAGAAACATATATGAGAAGTATAAGAGGTAGATCTTTAAAAAACAAAAATTTCATAGTTTTTAATATTCAAGAAATGTGTTAAAAAAATATATAAAACAAATAAAGTGTGTCCTAATAACTAAAAATTTTATTAGAAGAAAAGAAAACAAAAAAATAGTAATAGATGTTAACAAATATGTGGTAATTATTGCCAATTCATAAGAATTTTTCATTATGTAGATAAAACCCCATACATGTGAATGTAATTTATATGATTCTACAGCTTGGGGCAAACTTTATATTCATAAAGCCAATACTTTAAAAGAATAACAATTTGCTCAACAATTTTCAAATCAGTTATTTGAATAATATAGAAATTGAAAATTAGCTATTATCAAAGGAATGCTATCAAGAATGAAATACATAGAATTTTTTAGAGAATGTTTATTGTCTTTTATACAAAAATTTAAAGAAGATAGGTTACACATTTTTCAATAGAATAACAATGTTAAATATACTGCACATATGACAACAAATTTGTTTTAGAAAATACTGTAATTTTGTTCGACCTCTCAAAGTCTAGATGTAAAGAAGGAATATTTGAGAGAGACATCAGGTAGATAAATACTCTATGATCAATGCTGTACAAAACCAAAATTTATAACAACCTTAAGATCAAAATGGAACAAGATTAACTTTGATATACAAGGTGTCTGACTACAACTAATGGTAATCTTTATAGTGAGTAATTCTACAGGCCAAAATGCAATGAAAACCAAAAATAATGAAATTGTGTTTAAAACATTTTACTTTTCAACCTTTAGGAAAGGTTATATATTCAACAAATGTATTTTATGGAAAACATTAAAATCTTCTGATCACGTTTTGACCATACAAAATATATACTATATTGTACATCCTTATGTACATATACCATATGTATGATTGTATTTAAGTAGCTAAATATATTTTCTCCTGTAGTCCTTGATTTTTCTAATATACACTCATCATTTCTAAACATTATTAATAAATCTTAAAGAAAATTCGATTTTACATGCAAAACTTAAAAAACCTTTTTCCTACCTTTTCTAATAATACAAAGAAATGAATGAAATCTTATTTTATTTATGTATTTTTAATAATTAATAATTTGAACAAGAAGTGTCTATAATTTTATCTTTCTTGATTTTTGTGTTATTTTGACATGTAGGTTTTGCCATTGGTAGCTGAACACCCTGTATAAATAAAATTAACATTTAATATAACTAATTTTAAAAATTGTAAAAACAAGATTCTTAAATATTGGTTAATAGTTAAACATTGCAATTATTCAATACTTATATATTGAAAAATGTCTTCCTTTTTCCGTTATTAAAAATATTATATTATTACTTACATTAGTATTATAAAAGAAGTTAAAAAATGTTTTTATACCATTAATAACCATCATCTTCATTTCTATAATACTATTTCCCCTCAGTTAGATAAAATACGATACGTCAACATAAATACCAACGCGATTGTATATATGCTCGAATATTGATACTAAACGACATTTTCTACCCTCTACGTTTATTTAAAATCCATTATGAATATGACTGCAATATGATCCACACTGTTTCCCTGTTAAGTTTCATACGAAAGTGATGGAGTTGCACATAATCGTAATTATCAGTAGTGCCGCGTTTCTTTTTCTTTTCCTTATTTCAGTCCTTTTCTTTCTATATTGTTCTACCCACTTACTATTGCTCACTAATTGTTGAAATTTTACTTCTTTGTCCACTTCCAGCACACGCACACAGTTAATGATTATCACTCATTTCAGATTAGTATGAATAATTCCCTTGATCGTCCACATAGAACTTAATAAATTGAGGTTAAAGTCAACATTTCATGCGATAGAAACTACAATTTACAGTAGAGTTTAAAAACAAATACACGTGCGTAATAATCTATGGTGGAAGATCATATTTTAATAACATTAAGCGACCTTAAATATTAAAAACCAACAATATACGAATGACAAACACTGCACCCGTTGTTAATACTAATGTAACGTGAAGTTATCGCTAATGTTAGGTGTCTTGTATACCAATTTGTATTGACATGAATTACATTTTCCTTCATTTTAACAAATTACATAAACAGCAATTTTTAAATTTTATACTTCCCAATTAATAAGTATATAACAGAAAGTCACGTCTTGAATATAGAGTTGAAAAAATTATATAAAATTGAGTAGCCCAAGTCACGCATATTGGCTGCATTGCAACTGAAACATTTGGCAACATTGACATTGACAAGAGGACTTCGCGTAATACAGATCACCAATTTGGTTCAAATTTTATACACAGTTAGTTCACATAATGAATAATAATATAGTAAACGTGTATATCTCACTATACAATATTTTTCGAGAATATCATGTTTAAAGGTTTTATATTTCCTGTGTGCAGACAATATAAGGTATGTACAAAAAATGACTACATACAAAATTAACACACCGGTAGCATTTCCGACTACCGCCTCAAAGTCGCGAGTTCGGATGTCCACCATAGATCAATGATTTTTTTTTATTCATATAAATACATATTTTTACCGCATTTAATTGATTTTCATATAATTGTTCAATTAAATCGATGATATGTTACATGCAAAGCTGACCAGTCACTAAACTGAAGTGCAGTAAGCTTTTAATATAATTTTAGCAAAGTTTTATAATTATTATTAGTAATGTATTGTGTATTTAACCATATTTCCATATAGCGTATGAAGTTGATTGTATTTTAGGCACAAGTAACATTTTTACGATAAATTGAACATGTAACAGATATATATTTGTAAATCATCGATCATTGATCCGAGGGGAAAGATCTGAACTCGCGTCCCCGAAGGTGGTATACATATGTAGTCTGAAATGCTACCGGTGTATTGAATTTTGATGTAGTTTTTTGTACATATCTGTATATTTTGTGCACACGAAAAGTATAAAAACGTTAAACGAATTTTTTTCGAAAAATATAGGACAGTGAGATCTATGCATTTATTACGTTATTACTCATTATGAGCACTGTCTCTTTGTTAGTCACATTTCTATAGTAAATAATTTTAATTTTTGAAACCGTACAAAATTTATGAACGATTTATGAACGATAATGATGTAATACTTAATAGAAGTTGAGGGTACTATAGGAATTATACTTTGTATTTATACAAAGTAAAACTAATGAAATTTCATCAATTGTTTATTATTACAGTTCTAAAAGTAAATTAACGTGTTTAGATTACAAATATATGTTGTTGACAATGCAATAAATTCTTTAGAAATAGAGTATTAATACCTCATACTAAAAGAAAAATACATGTACTAAAAGAACATAAATACATAAACTATATTTTACAGTGATCTTTAAATACCTTAAAATACATTGCTTACATTAATATACAACGTAAGATCTCACTGAACGAACATTCTATTAGTTTTAATCTTTTAATTATACAAATAAAATGGAACGCGCAAGTTAATTATTACATTTGTGTTTGTATTTAAGTAGACATGATTTCTGATATTAATATGGATATATGACCATTTTGCTTTAAAAACATATAATTTAATGTTGCATTATAAAAAAGACCTAATCTTAAAAGAAAACTTAAAGTTACATAAGTTTATTTTGTCATTCATAAAACTGTGCGTATCCAACCATTATGAGATGTAGATATTCAAACATATTGCAAGTATTATACTTATTGCGCGTTATAAAACGTAATTAATTTATGCATCAGTTACTTTGAGGAATAAACATTAACATATTTTCAAAAAATTCTTGCATACTTTAAACAAATATGTACTACATGTACTTAAATTAAAGGCATAGGACTCAGGTACCATTGGTACATTTTAAGAAACAGAAGGTTATTAATTTATACAAACATACATTTTGTCTTATATATATCTATATTCATTCGACTTCAGATTTATATCAGAAACTCATCTAACACATGTTAGCCTGGAACTATACATTATTAACAAAGTAATTATGTATCAAAAGTAAAGAATAAATAATATTTTTATCATACATTTTATCTGTACGCATCAAAACAGATGGTTGGAAAATAAATAATATATTGAATATATATTGCAACAGAAATATTTTTTAAACGATTAATTATAAGGTAACTTGTATAAAATATTATATAAAATTCGTAAGAAAGTAATTGAAAATTGAGGCTATTGATGGAAAAAAAGCACATAAGTTTATGTGTCCTTTTTCCGAAAATCGTCTAAATCGATTCAGGTATATGTATAATATATATATACCAAGGACACATTACTTTTCTATTGTTTATATTATCTAGATTCTGGTTTTTGTGACTTTAAATACGACTCGCGTCGTGTTGTCGTGCAATATTCTTTTTTGAAAGAGACATTCACATAAATGAAATATTGAATCCATAAAGAAGCTAATTTAGGAAAAAAATGATCTTTAGATCAGTTTGAAATAAATAATCGAAGAAGCTAAAATATTTCAGGGTACAAAGTTAGACATCTCATTTGGGAAAACTGGTGAAAAAAAAAAATTTTTTTTTGTTACAAAATACTGTAAAGACAGAGTGTCGCAAAGAATTTGACAGTGACCAACAAGCATTTATTTACTTCTTTTGGTAATTCAATTGAAAAACAATTTAGCGCACATTCCTTACTAGCTATGTATAAAGAACGAACCTACAACAAATATGTTCTCATTATAAATAAATCTGAAAATAAATAGAATGAATATTCGTCAGCACTTTCTTAAAAATAATGAAAACAGTTATGTGTGTGTCTTAAATTTTTACTAGATTGGCATAGAGAAGTTAAAAATATTGATACCTTTGAAGAAAGAAGAACAAAGCACGAGAACAACCTTAATAAAGTAATTAATGAAATCTCACTTAAATTCTTTTTCATAAAGAAAATCACGATTGTTAGCATAAATCTTTAGACTATTTGAATAATTCTAACTAAAATGTAAAAAAAAACATTAAAATAGAAAAAAAGAAGTAATAATGTTGACAAAAGATGACGAATAATTTTATGTAACTTATTGGAGGTAAGTAACAAAAATGATATAATCCAATTTATAGAAAAGTACTTAAAAGAACAAATTTTTTTTGTTAATTTTTTGAATAATTTTGTATTTTTTATTTAAACAATATATAAAAAAAGGTGTAACTGAATAAATAAACAAAATTATATTTAATCAAATAAATTAAAAAAGAAACATTTTTTTAAATAATTTTATCCTATTTATAAAAAAGGACACATAAAATAATTTTGTTAAACTTACAAAAGAAATCACATCATCTTTAAATTGTGGCCTCTGTTTTGAAAGCGTTTAAAAAACTATCATTTGTAACATAGAAACTTAGTAAGAATACAATGAATGGTAATGAAAAATTCTTGAAACAAGATGTAACAAATATATAAAACAATCTATCTGATTTCTGTTTGTAATCGTACATATTAATAATACATATTCTAATCTGCGTATTATAATCCATAATCGAATCGAATTTTTACTACAGGTAATTTTTTGTTGTGTATAATATGAAATCATGTCATAAAAAGACTATCGAGCATTGTATTATAATCCATATCAGCAGATCACATGGCTGTATGAAAATATCTATAAACATTCTTGATGAAATTACACAATATATTTGGTCAGAATACTATTCTGGGAAAATGGCTTATCACTTAGACTGCAAATTTTCCTCTTCATCGTCACTATAGTCATCGCTTAAATAGTAATTATTCTGTGAAAATTCGAAACGGCCAGTCTTTTTTGGTGGTGGGCTGTAACATAATACCAATACATTAATTACACACATATTTACGTTAACACGCAATAGATATACATTTTCGCATTTTACATTTGCGTTTTATTTAAATAAAGATTTTTATGACGATACTGTACGATATGTAAGTTAGATTTTATTCTTCAAAATAAGACAGAAATCAAGAATACCAATTTGTTGATGGAGGCTTCGTTAAAAAGTTATTAACGTTTAAAGTTCCGCCTGTAGAAGAGCAATCTGTGAACAGCTGCGCACGCGTGATAGTGGTTCTCACTCACAAAACTGTAAGACTGCCGATACGTCAGTAAGTAGAGTTTCTCATGCTGAATGCGCACGCAGCTGTTCGCAGATTGCCGTTCTACAGGCGGAACTTTAAACGTTAATAACTTTTTAACAAAGCTTCAATCAACAAATTGGTATTCTCGATTTTCGTCTTATTTTGGCCTCTAGAATCTCCTTTTAAAATTTTTCCCAGAGGTGGCCGAACATCCTGTATACCGATGATTATTGAAGTTGTCGCGTGATCGTGAGATCGCGTTAACGACAGCGCCTAAATTCGCGTGATTTTGTGACATCACAATACTTCAATGATTACCAGTGTACAGGCACATACATATACATATATTACCGCTCAAAAATTTGAGTAAGCTTTATCACAAGAAAGTTTTTGTTAAATTTTGGAATTACAGGAGAGTCAAGATTTTCTTTCTTACTTTGACTTTAATTCATTAGATATCTTAAATAATACAACATGCGAATGTATGGTACACTTCATAATTATTTTTTCTTTCATACATACATATATTTTACAAATTTTTGTCATTCTAATTATCAATTTCTCCAATATTTCTTTTTGTATGTTTTTGCAACTATTCTGCGATAGTTCTTACAGATGTTTCTTAGACCTCAGATTCTGATTTCGGATTCTCTTGTTTAATTCGTCCTATAAAGCTCGATGAAGTTCAAATCTGACGATTGTGGTGATCATACCATTATTTTCAGGTACCCCTTCCTCCCCTTTTCCTTTAAATAGTTTTTACCCAACATGGATATGCTTTTTGGATCGTTATCTTGTAAAATGAAATTGTTGCCAATGAGTCGAGGTCCGAATGGTATCATGTGTTTTAGATCCTTCTTTGTTTAAAATTCTGTTCGATTTTTATCAATTTTCCAATTCTATCAAAACAAAAATATCCCCAAACTAAAATATATTTTCCATCTTGTTTAACTGTGGATATGGCACATTGGGGGAGTCAAACTTTCGTTAGAATCGAACACTTGGAATTTTGAATGCTCAAAGTATATTTTCCCACATTTTAAGCTTTTAACTTTGTT